AAAGAATCTTGCAAAAACCGTTTGAAAACATAGATAGTTATATAGTAAAATCATGTAAAATATGGTGATATCAGAAACCCTCAGCCAAGCATTGAAGATCCTCTTCTAGACCAAGATCACGTGGTCATGACACCTAAAGAGGGAGAAACCTTGAAGCTATGATGCATCAGTTCATGGAGAATCAAGAGACAATTCATTGAAGGAATGAAGCAATGCGCCAAAGATAACAAAAACCTTGGTTTCAAGATGGATAGCATGCATGATCATCTTCAAAGGAGTAACCAGGAGCTGTATGAGAGATTTATCAACCTCTCTAATCATGTTAAGATGGTGGAAGTGCAAGTTTCCCAAATTGCAGAAGGATCCAAGAGACAAGCCAATGTTCTTCCGGGAAAAGTGGAGGAGAACCCTAAGTTTTGCAAGGTGATAACAACCAAGAAGAAGATGCCGTTTCACCAGCCCCTAGAGTTCAATCAACCTTCCAAGATCATGTGACAAGGCGTGAAGATGATGAGCCTATTTCAAAAGCACCACATCAAAGGAGGCTTAAGAAGAGAGAAGATCCAGTGAAGTTTATCTTCCCTTGCACAATCAATGGTATTGACTTTATTGACTCTTTGTGTGATACAGGATCTACAGTGAATCTCATGTCTAAAATCATAGCAAAGAAGCTTGGGATTGTAGAGATGGAGCCTCCTGGAAAGATGCTCAAGTTTGCAGATGCTTCTAGCACAACTCCATATGGCTTTGTGCGTGATCTAGAGATGCAAGTAGGGGATGTCTAGTCCCCACCGATTTCCACATCATAGAGATGCAAGATGAAGCTTCTATGTCACTGGTCCTTGGGACTCCTTTCCTTACAACCGTGGGAGCAATGTTTGATTTTCGCAAGGGACAAGTCTCTTTCTCTGAAATCAAGAAGAAGGTCTTCTATCCTGGCGTTCCTACTGAAACCTCATGTTGTACAACCATCTACAGTGAGGAGAGAGCAATTTTAGACCCTGGAGATGACATTAAAAGGTCACAAGACGTTCCTCAAGAAGCTCTCTACATTAGGTCTTATGACATTTACAAGCCGGCACAAGGTGAATGCCAAGGTGTTTCAAGTGATAGTGGTTCAGTTTTGGCTCCTAAAGATCATCATACATGGGATGTTTTCAAGCTTGAGACACGTCCTAGAGCACCACCAAGACCAGCACCATCCGAATCTCCTTGGTATAGACACATTGCCAACTACCTTGCTGCTGAGCACCCACCACCTCAATTCTTTGGCTACAAGAAAAAGAAGTTCTTAAGGGATGTTAAAAGGTACATCTGGGATGAACCTTGTCTTTATAAAGGTACTTCTGGGATGAACCTTATCTTTATAAACATTGTTTTGAGTTTAATGAGGAGTGCCTTAAGTCCTGGACTTTGCTGAAGGATGCTCTGGTTTCTGCTCCAATTGTTCAAACTCCCAATTGGGACTACCCATTTGAGATCACGTGTGATGCTTCTGATTATGCAGTTGGAGCTGTTTTTGGCCAGAAGATTGACGAGAAGGTGAATGTAATCTACTATGCTAGCAGAACTATGGATGATGCTCAAGTCAAGTATGCAACCACTAAGAAGGAGCTCCTTGCTGTTGTCTTTGCCTTTGAGAAATTTCGCAACTACTTGGTTGGATCCAAGGTGATTGTCTACACAGATCATGCTGCTCTTAGACACATCTATGCTAAGAAGGATACAAAACCCAGGCTTATTGGATGGTTTTTGTTGAAATATTGAATACGAAACAGAGTAAGAAGAAAACAGAGTATTGTGTAATCAAACTTTTATTGATGATGATTGTATCACACTGTATACATTACAAGAGTTTGACTCCACATACTTATACAACACAAAACAAAGTGTTTAAACGACACGACTCTAAACAAACGTCACTTTTGTGTTAAGTAACTAACTAATACAAATGTAACTGACTTATGCGAGATTTGATTATAGTTCAACATTCCTCCTTAATCAAATATCTGCTGCACTCCAAGCTTCTCCCGAAGGTCTTCAAATCGTGATACGCTTAATCCCTTAGTGAGTAAGTCTGTGAGTTGATCTTCTCCTTTGAACGTATTGATGAGACGAATGTTGTTCCCCGTAATGATGATGTCGTCTACGTATAGACTCACGATCAACACATCTCCTTCTTGCTTCATGATGTACAAGGCTGCATCATTCATACTTCTCTCAAATCCATTTTGAATAAAGTATGAATCCATTCTTGCATACCAAGTCCGAGGGACTTGTTTTACACCATATAAGGCTTTGTGTAGCCTTAACACCTTCTCTTCCTTTCCTTCAATCACGAACCCAGGTGGCTGCGTGACATAGACATCTTCTTTTAATTCTCCGTTGAGAAAAGCTGACTTCACGTCCATTAGGTATAGCCTCCACTTCATTTGAGCAGTATATGCAAATATGGCTCTTATTGTTTCGTATCTTGAGACTGGGACAAATGTCTCAAGATAATCTACTCCATACTCTTGAGAAAAACCTCTCGCTACTAATCTTGCCTTGTCCTTGACTTGATTGCCGTTGGCGTGTGTTTTGATCTTGTAGATCCATTTAACGTTGATCACTTTTTTCTTTTCTGGCTTGTCTACAAGTTCCCAAGTCTTGTTCTTCTCAATCATCTCTATTTCTTCAGTCATGGCCTTTCTCCATTCTTTGCTGTCGCTTGCTTTATCGTAAGTTTGTGGCTCCTCATGTGCAACAAGACAAACTTCGATTGTTTGAGCCGCTTCTTCAAACTCCACTCTCGGGGCTTCTTGTAAACACTCGCTCATGGATCTATACTTCTTTGGAGGTTCAGATGTTTCTCCTTCTTCTTCTTCTATGTGAGCGTGATTTTCATTTGAAGGGAGAGTAGGGCTAGAGATGCTTACGGGTTGATCTTTTGGTGGTGGATTGTTTTCTACGGATACGACAATGGTCTTTTCGGCTTCTTCTTGCTTATCCCAATTCCACCTCTTGTTTTCTTCTTGCTTGTTCGCATTCATGGCTTCTTCGAAGACATAACTCATCTTGATTCTGAAACTCTTATGAGTCATCGGAATCTCCATAGTCTTCTTGCCGTATGCATCTGGAATGATGCATTTCTTGTTTTGGAAATAAATTTGATAACCGCTCGAGATGATTTGAGGAACGCTCAACAAGTTTTTCTCCAAACCAGGGACTAAGAAAACGTTTTTGATTGTTTTCTTTCCACAACTAGTCATGACGGTGATATCTCCTTTACCGGCCGTCATAACTATGCTCCCATTTCCGAGTTTGATCGGAACCTGGATACTTTTATCCATTTTGGAAAAGTATCTCTCTTCGTTGGTCATATGGTTAGTGCATCCACTGTCTACTAACCATATTTCTTCTTCCAATGTTGTTGTCGATGCTTCACTCACACTGACATGTGATCTTCCTCTGAGTCTTCTTCTTCGAGACTTACATGTGCTTTCTCCTTTTTCTTTGAGTAGCACTCATTTGAGGAGTGGCCGATCTTGCCACAGTTGTAACACTCCTTGTTACTCTTCTGGCCCTTGCCTTGACCGTTTTTCTTTGGTTTTGACCAACATTCATTCTCTGTGTGGTTGCTTCTCTTGCAAAACTCACACCAATTCTTGCCTTGATTCACACGGCTTCTGTGTTGTCTCTTTTGAAACCAGAATCTCTTTGTCTTGAGTGAGCATTGAATGCTCCTTCGTTGTTGCTTTCCTCTCTTACGGACAGTCTTGCCTCATGCGCCTTCAAGATACCGATTAACTCCGTCATCGTTGTTGTAGTCAAGTCGCGAGTTTGCTCCAACACGCTAACAATGCTATCGAACTTGGCCGGGAGAGAGATGAGTATCTTTTGTACGAGTTGTGTGTTGGTCTTCTTTTCTCCATGATAAGTTAATTGATTTTCCAAAACAATTAACTTATCCGTGAATGTCTTGACGTCTTCTCCATCGTACATTTTTAGGTTTTCGTATTCTCGACGTAACGTTTGAAGTTTGGTCAAACGAACTTGAGAAGAACCTTCGTACTCAGTCTTCAACGCATCCCATGCCTCTTTTGATGTTGTTGCTGCCGCAATTCGTGAGAATATTTGATCCGTCACGGCGGTTTGCAAAATTTGCAAAGCCGATCGGTTGCCATCGCTTCTTCTCTAAGAGATTTTGCCCTGGCGGTTTCAGGGGTTTCTTCCGCTACCACCGGTACTCCTTCTTCAACCACAGAATGGTTGTCATCTTGATGCTCCAGAAATCATACTTCTCCCCATCAAATATAGGGATCACTTGATATGAAGAGCCTTGCATCGTCTCGGCTTGTTACTTAGACGAATACGATCTCTCCTTCTTGCTATCTCTCTCTGTTTTTGTGTTCTCTCTTGATCCTCTCAATAGTAAAGCTCTGATACCATGTGGAAATATTGAATACGAAACAGAGTAAGAAGAAAACAGAGTATTGTGTAATCAAACTTTTATTGATGATGATTGTATCACACTACATACATTACAAGAGTTTGACTCCACATATTTATACAACACGAAACAAAGTGTTTAAACGACACGACTCTAAACAAACGTCACTTTTGTGTTAAGTAACTAACTAATACAAATGTAACTGACTTATGCGAGATTTGATTATAGTTCAACAGTTTTTGCTGCTCCAAGAGTTTGATATGGAGATTGTGGATAAGAAAGGAATAGACAATGGGGTAGCTGATCATTTATCCAGAATGTGAATTGAAGACATTGTCCCTATCAATGATTCTATGCCTGAATAACAGTTGATGGCAATCAGGACTTTAAAAGAAGGCTTTGATGAGAAAGTCAGACTCGATGAAGTTAAGGCTCTGCGAGATGAGGATTTGCCTTGATATGCTGATATAGTGAATTTCATGGTAGCTGGAGAGGTTCCTAATGATTTCGATGCTTACAAGAGGAAGAAGTTCTTTAAAGATGCTAGGCACTACTATTGGGATGAATCTAATTTGTACAGAAGAGGGCCATATAGCATCTATAGAAGATGCATAGCTGAAGAAGATGTACAAGGTGTTTTAGAACATTGCCATGGGTCTGCTTATGGAGGTCACTTTGCCACATTCAAACCAGCAAACAAGGTCTTGCAAGCTGAACTATGGTTGCCTACCTTGTTCAAGAATGAAACAAGCTTCAGTTCTAGATGTGATCCATGCCAAAGGAAAGGAGTGATCACCAAGAAGAACAAGATGCCTCAGAATCCCATTCTAGAGATTGAGATTTTCGATGTATGAGGATAGACTTCATGGGCCCTTTTAACCATGTCTTGCATGAAAAAAATTACATTCTGGTGGCTGTGGACTATGTGTACAAGTGGATAGAAGCTATTGCCTGCCCTGCTTATGATGCCAAGGTTGTTGTCAAGCTGTTTAAGACCATCATCTTCCCAAGATATGGCATCCCTAAAGTTGTGATCTCAGATGGAGGCTCCCACTTCATCAACAAGGTGTTTGAGAAGTTAATGAAGAATTATGGAGTTAAGCACAAGGTGGCTACGCCCTATCACCCCCAGACCAGCGGACAAGTTGAGGTCTCTAACAGGCAGGTAAAGGCTATCCTTGAGAAGACAGTGAGCTTCACAAGGAAGGATTTGGCGACCAGGCTCGACGAAGCACTTTGGGCTTACAGGACAGCCTACAAGACACCAATAGGAAGGTCACCTTTCAACCTATTGTATGGCAAAGCTTGCCACTTACCCGTGGAGATTGAGTATAAGGCACTTTGGGCAATCAAGATGCTCAACTTTGATATGAAAACAGCACATGAGAAGAAGGTCATGGACTTGCACGAATTTGAGGAAATCAGACTAGATGCCTATGAGAACTCTAAGATCTATAAGGAAAGGACTAAGGCAGCCAATGACAAGCTGATTCGCCTTAAAGATTTCAAGGCTTGGGATAGTGTGCTCTTTGTTCAATTTGAAGTTGAAGCTGTTTCCAGGAAAGCTGAGATCAAAATGGTCAGGACCATTCAAAATCCATGAAGTTCTACCTTATGACTCTCTCACCCTGATCAACAAGGATGAAAAAGAGTTCAAAGTGAATGGTCATAGGTGCAAGCCTTACCTAGGTGGAGCCTATGTTGAAGAGGACATCACAACTCCTCTTCATGACCCAACTCCTGCCTAATATGAAGGTTAAGATATGGGACCTTAAACAAGCTCACTTGGGAGGAATTCCCATGTCTATCCTATAGATATCGCTTTATTTAGTTTTTATGTGGCTCCCTCTGTCTAAGTCTCTCAGAAGCCAATTTTAAGGAGAAGTTATGCTGACTCGACCAGCAGACTCGATCAAGCCCAAGGAGAAAGAGCACGAACTCGACCAAGCCCAAGCCCGAGCCCGCCCTCTCCATCTCATGACCTTGCTTCCCAGTTTTTTGGGGAGCACTAAGGTATCAAATATTTCTTCTCTTGTACATACCATTTCATTTTCATGCATTTCTACAACATGTGATTGATCTCCCATTTCTGTCATCCTTAAGAGTTTAATGTTTGTTTTAAACTCTTCAATCTTTCTTGGAGCTTCTACCACACAAAGGACTGTGTGAATTAAGTTTGGGGGAGGGTTTAACTTTGTTTATTCTGGTTCTTAGTTCAATTTTTCATGCATCATCAAGGCATAGAAAACCCCTAAAAATTGATAAATATTCGAAAATCCAAAAAATATTTCATGTAGTTGCATTCATATTTGTAGAATTGTTTTAGGATTGCATCATTTAGCTCTGTTTTGTTGTGCATTGTTGATTTAACCTTGTGAACTAGCTTTCTTATGCGATTTGTTAAGTGCACCATTTCTAGATTCTTTTGTGCATCAGCATGAGATTTAATGAACAAGAAAGCACCATATTTAGCTTGATTAATCACTGTATGCACATCTCATTTAACCATTGCTGTGATTTGATGCATTTCCTTATCTATTTAAACCCTAAACTTGATCTCTAATTACCATTCCTTGCATTTGATTTCGACTCATGGATACCATATACGTATATGGACATTCTTTTCCCTTGTTTATCCCTCTTGCTTGTTCAAATACATGTTCTCCATCTTTGAGACAGTTTACCACACCCTAAACCTTAAACCTTTTCATTCAAACCCCCATTTATCTCTTGTGCGAATTGTGAGGCCTTGTTCCTGACCATACTTAGTATAAGGTGGTGTGTTTAAACCGGCAAGAGCAAGAGTTCTAGTTGTCTAGTTCTTCTTGGGTTGTTTTCAGGTTAAGTTTGGGGGTGTTCATTTGGACTTGGGCGAGTTCATTATTTAAAATCAAGAAAAGTGGTAAAGGTGAGAAAAGAAAAGAAAAGAGTTTTGGTTAAGTCCAGGGAGTTGGTCTGTGTTTCAAATGGTCTAGTAAAGGTTTAGGAAGTGTTAAAAGAAAGAAAACGGGGTTCTAAGTAGTAAAGAAAAGAAGGCAAAGTCTCAAGTGTTCAAAAAGGAAAAGAAAAGAGTTCCCTAAGTGTTTAGTAATCCCAAACCGCTATATGTTACCTAAAGAAGCATCTCCCTGTGTTGTGCTCAAACAAAAGAGAAAGAAAAGTGAGCAAAGCTCCTCTTGCATTTGCTTGTTTATGTTCATTTCTTGCATTTGTTTCTTTACTACATTCATTTACCGCTTTCAATTGCATTTTCATTATCATTAGGTTGTTAGTTATTACACCTTCATTCTCTAAACCAATTGGCTTGACTTCCAAGCATCGCATAGTTTTAAAGAGCAACAACTTACCCATATGGATTGATAACCTCTTATGCTACATTGACTATGATGTTAAAGAGGAATTGATTGTCTGTGATCTTATCTGTTTATCATACCATCTCATCTTCATTCCACCCAATCACCACATACATCTCATTATATATCATTCCATCTCACAGTAAAATCCTTTCATCTGGAACCAGGTGGTATGTTCATTTTCTGCCTTGGGAAGGTTCCTTGTTGTCCTTGGAAGTTCCCTTTTTGGCCATAAATTTGTTGTGGAGGCTGACTCGATGAAGCTTGTTGCTGAGGAGGGTAAACTTGATCCTAAGGGTTTGCAACATCAGTGTTCCTATAACACATGTTGGGATTAGCCTTATAGTTGTAGTAAACCTTCTGGTATCTTCCTTGTCCATTGCTTATGTAGCATACTTTAGCAAATTGATTACCCTCCCCTTCTTGGACAAGAACCAACTCTTCAGCAGACACAAAGTTAACCTTCTTCATGGTGGATTGAATTAAGATAAGCTTATCCAACTTCTCGTTCAAAGCCTTGACATCCTTTCTGAGTTTATCATCAGACTCGATCGAGCTGGAGGTCGAGCTTCGGTTAGTGCGATCATACTCCTCCCCATAACTTCCATTTGAATTGGCAATGTTCTCCACAAGCTGTCAGCCATCATCAACGTCCTGGTTAAGGAAGTTTCCATTGCTAGCTGTGTCCAGCATCTCTCTGTATCTAGGCAAAACTCATATGTGTAGTGTGGAAAGTAGAGACTGATTGTTGAAGCCATGATGAGGGCACTGACTTATATAACCCTTGAATCTCTCCCAAGCTTCAGCGAATGTCTCATTGTTCTTCTGAATGAAACCTGATATCTCTCACTCCTCAGCTTAGCAGTGTGACCAGTGGAGAAGAACTTAGTCAGAAAGGCTTTCTTGCAATCATCCTAAGTAGTAACTAGTAAAGGACCCGCGCAAACACGTGGTGTGACGTTGCAATTTTGTGAAGAAAATCTAAATCATAAACCTAAGTCCGACCCAAAAACCCTAATCAAAAATTTTAAAAACCCAAACGTTTTTAATATGTCTAAACCCGAAAATTCGAAATCCAAAAAATCCCGAAAACCCTGACCGAATAAAAAAAACTCTAATTTTTTGACCCGAAACCCTAATCCGACCTAAAAACCCTAATCAAAATTTAAAATACCCAAACTTTTTAATATGTCTAAATCCGAAAACCCTAAATCAAAAAAATCTGGAAAACCCTGAACTGAACCCAAAAAAACTCAAACTCAAACCGAACAGAAATTTTCAAAAAAAATCCGAACAATTTCTATATCTCTATATATCTATGAAATTAGGTATGGATTTTCACCCAAACCCGAACTTGTTTAGAAAAACCCAAACCAAACCCGATTCAGAAATTTAAAAAACTTGAACGACTTTTATATCACTAAACCCAAAAACCAAAAAAAACTTTAAAAGAAACCTGAATTGAACCTGAATTGAACCCGAATTAAAATTAAAAAAAAACTTTAAACCCGAAAATCCAAAATCATTTTCTATTGATTTGGTATTATCGTTAGATTATGTTAAGTTTTTTTTTTTTTGCAGATTTTTAAGAGCTGGAAAACGAAGTTTTCTAAACCATCGGTTTGTTTTAAGTTATTATTCTTGTATCCAAACAATTTTTTCCATTTATTCTTCTATCCAAATAGTTTTTTTCTCTTATTCTTGTATCCAAACATTACAATGTACTAAATTGACCCTCATTAAATCTGTTGCCAAACACTTTCTCTTCATAATTAGATTGGTTTTTTGGTCATAATGTTTTCATGTACTTCTCAATTAATAATATAAAGATTGATCCATAGGGCAAACTCTTCTCCCATTGATGAGCCTTATCACCAAGAGACATAGGAAAGAGTATCAGCTTGATGGCATCTTCAGACATACCATTGATCTTTGTCAAATCACACAACCTATCAAACTCATCAAGATGATCTATTGGGTCTTCACAAGGCAACCCATGGAACATCTTGTTATGCACCAGATTGATCATTCCTAGCTTGATCTCAAAGTTGTGGTTCTGGACAGGAGGAGGGACAATTCCTTGCCTTTGTTGGTGACGGTTTGGAGCATCTTCAAGACCAATGGTCGGCTCTGCCTAGCTCGACCATTCCCATTGCCCAGAGGGTTTCCATTACTCTGTGGATCGTCCATTGTATCAGTACCAGTGACCTCTTGCTCAGCTAGTTGCTTCTGGCTTTTATTTCCCTGTCTTTTACCAATGTTGTTATCTAACTCGACCAAATCCTCTGTAGAAGAGCTCGATCGAGTTCGCATACACCTGCAAGACAGTAGAAAACCCAGTAGAACAAGCAACAAAAGGTGGAACAGTACTTTATCATTCAAGTGAATTAGAGTTTCAAATGCAACAAAATCAAACCCAAATGGCAACAGCGCCAAATTGATGAAAGGATTTTTCTGTCAATGATGTATAATGGATGGTATGAGATAATGTGCAAGTGATGGTGGAATGATATGATATGACAAGTTCAATCATAAACAGTCAATTCCTCAAGATATCATCATGTCAATGCAGTATTTGAGGTGACAATCCATAATGGGTATGAATGATGCTCTTTATACATCAAATGAAAGAGCAAAGCAAGATTAACAACTTTTATTGAAATAGCAAAGTTCAAATTCGAAATAACAAAGCCTAGATCTAAGATTCAATGAGCATAAGCTCAAGAACACAAAAAAAGGGCTAAAAGCTAAAAGAAGAAAATAAAATTATAAGATTAAGCAAAAGTTGTGATTATTTCGTGGCCATATGCCTTTTATAGGAAACAAACTAGGGTTTAAGGTCAAAGGAGTCGAAGGGAAGCAATAGATCTCGGATTTTTTTCCCCTGGAAAGCAATTCAATCGAGCGTCTTCTGGCCGGTCGAGCAAGTGCAATGTCGGAAAAGTTTGACCTAGCTCGACCGGTTGGTCGAGCAGCTGGGTTGAGCTGGTCATAAAGGCACCACGTTTGAACTTTTAAGCTGCGCGGTCGAGTTGTGTCCCATGCAGAGTCCTTCCTTGCTCCTCAAGTTCCAAGTGATCCAAAGTGCTCCAAAATGACTTGTTTAAGGCTCAAACATGCACATGTATGCAAATGCAAGTCTAATGCAACTAAGAATGTAAAAGAAAAGAAAAGCAACAAGATATGATGCTAATGATGAGTAAAACTATGCAAAAGTAGTACAAAAGATGTACTAAAACCATCTAAAATATGAGTACGTCAGAAATGGATTGGAGATTCCTTATGATCACTTGGACTACTTTGAGACGTTGTGTAGCACATTTATGATTGGTGGTGTGCCTCAAGATAGTATAAAGTTACTTTTGTTTCCATTTTCACTTGCAAAAAAGGCAAGCAAATGGGAGAGAGCTATACCCATCTCATTTGGTCAATTCTTGGGATGATTGCTAGATGGTCTTCTTTCTAAGATTCTATTCTACACAAAGAACACATCAAATAAGGAGAAACATCTTGAGCTTCAACCAAGGAAGCCATGAGACATTTCATGAAGCATGGGAGAGGTTTAGAAGTTACATTAGAGATTGTCCACATCATGGGTTTACAAGAGAAGCTATACTTGGCTATTTCTATTGGTGAGTTGCTAAGGATCACAAATAGACATTGAATGTAGCTAGCAAAGGATTTCTTCTAAAGTTCACCATAGAGCAAGGAGAACTACTTGTTGAGAACTTTTCTAAGAGTGAGGAAAGCTACAATGAAACCATGATGCAATCCCTAAAGAAGGTTCATATGAAGACTTCAAGTGGACAACCTCGCATGATAAGTTGAATAGACTAGAAAACCTCCTAACTGTGAAAAAAGAGGAGTTTGTTTGGATCATGAGCATCACCAAGAGGACACCAAATTCGTGGTCAACAATGGGAACTACAACCAAGAGAGTAAGCTTCTCATTCAATGGTCTAACCATGAAATCCAACAAGGCTACTAAGAGAACTATGAAACTTCTCCAATCTCTAATCATGTTGATGTTGAGATTAATGAGGAAAGGACATCCTTTGGTTCTAATGGACAACTTGATGAACCCAAGCATGAAGAAAAGCCTGAGGACGTGGGCACACCTCTACAAGATGATTTGGAGTCCATCCATAGGGTTCATGAAGAAAAGAGTGCTCTTGAGGAGATTGAAGGGAATGCATTTGCACTCAATGGAACATGTCTAAGCTATTTCTTCTTTCCCTCATTGGAGACTAAAGAGAATGTGACTGAACATGATGAGAGTGTAATGGTGATGAAAGATGATCATAACAAGCTTGTTGAGTATGTCAAAGGCGTCATAGATAGAGAGTGTGTACAAAAGTTGTTTGGTGAGCACATGGGAAGTTCTCAAGATAAGAAAGTGGGTAGAGCTGAAAGGGCTAATCTGCGAATCACAAGAATGATGAAAGAACCCTAGTTTCTCTCCATTGATCTGCGCTCTCTACATAGCTAGACATGTTGATGTCGTCCAGATCCGGTATGGGGAGTATGATACCCCGTAAAGTGTCAGACCACTGACACTTCTTGATGAGGACTTCTTATGTGCATCGTCTACCAATGACTTGTAGGGAATACCTCGACGACTTGTAGGCAATAACTCGACGACTTGTAGGGAATAACTCGACGACTTGTAAGGAATACCTCGACGACTTGCAGCAGCTATCGCGTGCCGGAAAGGTATTTTGAGCATCTGAAAACTTCCTGCATGTACATGTCCTCTTCGCTTGATGTAAGACTCGGTGGTGAGACTTAGATCTGTTGGATCGTGATGGGAAGATGGGATCTAGAGGCTGGCTTTAACGCTCTCTCCTTTAGATCAGTGGATGAGGATGGTAAGACAAGGCTTGATTCCACAAGACTTGAATCGAGGCGGTGTTCAACAAGCTGGCTATCACGCTCTCTCTTGTATGAACGAAAAGGGGATGTCGAAGGTGGATCGATGGCACCACAGAGATTATGGAAGGGTCTCTGATACAGCAAAGAACTCTCAAGAGAAATGCATCTCACAAACTCTCTTTAGAAATTCCGAAAATAAGCATAAAGCTTAACAAGAGAAAACTCTTAATCTTAATTCATTATTCAAGTCTGTTTCTTTACAAATGATATGAATGAGCTTATATAGAGCTCTTACACGTTTTTACATAATGAAATACAATAAAATAAATATTCAAATCAATCAATTGAAATCAATCAAAAGGCTGGTCAATTGAGACTTAGATCTGTTGGATCGTGATGGGAAGATGGGATCTAGAGGCTGGCTTTAACGCTCTCTCCTTTAGATCAGTGGATGAGGATGGTAAGACAAGGCTTGATTCCACAAGACTTGAATCGAGGCGGTGTTCAACAAGCTGGCTATCACGCTCTCTCTTGTATGAACGAAAAGGGGATGTCGAAGGTGGATCGATGGCACCACAGAGATTATGGAAGGGTCTCTGATACAGCAAAGAACTCTCAAGAGAAATGCATCTCACAAACTCTCTTTAGAAATTCCGAAAATAAGCATAAAGCTTAACAAGAGAAAACTCTTAATCTTAATTCATTATTCAAGTCTGTTTCTTTACAAATGATATGAATGAGCTTATATAGAGCTCTTACACGTTTTTACATAATGAAATACAATAAAATAAATATTCAAATCAATCAATTGAAATCAATCAAAAGGCTGGTCAATTGAGACTTAGATCTGTTGGATCGTGATGGGAAGATGGGATCTAGAGGCTGGCTTTAACGCTCTCTCCTTTAGATCAGTGGATGAGGATGGTAAGACAAGGCTTGATTCCACAAGACTTGAATCGAGGCGGTGTTCAACAAGCTGGCTATCACGCTCTCTCTTGTATGAACGAAAAGGGGATGTCGAAGGTGGATCGATGGCACCACAGAGATTATGGAAGGGTCTCTAATACAGCAAAGAACTCTCAAGAGAAATGCATCTCACAAACTCTCTTTAGAAATTCCGAAAATAAGCATAAAGCTTAACAAGAGAAAACTCTTAATCTTAATTCATTATTCAAGTCTGTTTCTTTACAAATGATATGAATGAGCTTATATAGAGCTCTTACACGTTTTTACATAATAAAATACAATAAAATAAATATTCAAATCAATCAATTGAAATCAATCAAAAGGCTGGTCTTAAGGGATTTGATTATGACCATTGACTGGATGAATGTAGACATATCTTTCTTGATCACCTTTGGACGTCTAAGATTAACAGGAATAAATGTGGGGTCAAGATCTCCCATAAATAATTCGCTCTTGATCAGCGAGTAAAGACTAGTTTCCATAATTGACACAGACTCGGGTTGACGTGCGGTCTTGAGCATCTTCTCTTAGTTTGCTTGAGAACTCGCTTGACGACCTCATCACGATTAGTTTGATTGAGCACTAACTTGATGACCTCATCATACTCACCCTCTTCAAAAGGTTTTGTCCTCAAAACCAAAACATTGGATTTGTGACTATGATGCTCATTTGATGGCTCCATAATTCCAGCACACATTGCCTTTGCCTCATCAAAATTTAACAACTTGATCACTGAAAACAAATCTTTCTAAAAAGCCATCTTTTTCCTTTTTTTTTTTTGTAATAAGGAAAACAAAAACGAAATGAAAACTTTTTTTTTTTAATAAGAGCAAAGAAAATATTTCTGGTTTTTGTTTTATAAAAAAAAATGAACAAACTCGCAATTTTTTTATTTTTTTTTTGAATAATAAGAAAAAAATTGAAAACAAAACAGATAGATGATAGGAGCTTTGAGCTCTGATACCAAAATGATGTAAGACTCGGTGGTGAGACTTAGATCTGTTGGATCGTGATGGGAAGATGGGATCTAGAGGCTGGCTTTAACGCTCTCTCCTTTAGATCAGTGGATGAGGATGGTAAGACAAGGCTTGATTCCACAAGACTTGAATCGAGGCGGTGTTCAACAAGCTGGCTATCACGCTCTCTCTTGTATGAACGAAAAGGGGATGTCGAAGGTGGATCGATGGCACCACAGAGATTATGGAAGGGTCTCTGATACAGCAAAGAACTCTCAAGAGAAATGCATCTCACAAACTCTCTTTAGAAATTCCGAAAATAAGCATAAAGCTTAACAAGAGAAAACTCTTAATCTTAATTCATTATTCAAGTCTGTTTCTTTACAAATGATATGAATGAGCTTATATAGAGCTCTTACACGTTTTTACATAATGAAATACAATAAAATAAATATTCAAATCAATCAATTGAAATCAATCAAAAGGCTGGTCTTAAGGGATTTGACTATGACCATTGACTGGATGAATGTAGACATATCTTTCTTGATCACCTTTGGACGTCTAAGATCAACAGGAATAAATGTGGGGTCAAGATCTCCCATAAATAATTCGCTCTTGATCAGCGAGTAAAGACTAGTTTCCATAATTGACACAAACTCGGGTTGACGTGCGGTCTTGAGCATCTTCTCAGGATTAGTTTGCTTGAGAACTCGCTTGACGACCTCATCACGATTAGTTTGATTGAGCACTAACTTGATGACCTCATCATCGCTAGTGACACATGATGTGACTTGTTGTTAAGACTGACTTCGAAATCTGATATACCTCTATTTTACATGCTTTTTCTACTATTTTAGTATGGTTTTCTAATGATTTTTGGCAGATTTTCTATCTAAAAAGGTAGTTTTATTGGATTTATAGTACTTAGAGTCTAAACAGGTGAAATGATGCATTTTGGAGCAAAACCATAGAATTTGCGCTTCAAGCCGCTCCATACCCAAGCATCAACTTTGAGAGGGCCCAAAAAAATATCTATTCAATGGATTTCATCAAGACCAGTCCCCACGTGCTCCGAGTGAGTTAACTCTCCAACGCAATTGGATTGGCATCATTTGGATGAGTAGAAGTGAAGTTATGATCAAATTAGTGAAGACTGGTCCAGACGGCCTTATCGAGGATTCGCATCCTGAGCCGCGCACACCGGCCGACCGATCCATCCGTCCGACCAGGAAGGCTTCGTCCCATGACCGGCCAAGATTCATCGGCCAAAATATCCATCCGTCCGATCCCGTCGGCCGAACACGAAAACTCTCGGCCACGATCGTTCCGACCGTGCCGATAGCCGACCACGACCCGATAGCCGGCCGACCGTCCCGACCGACCGTCCGAACGGTCCGATCGACCCGAAGCCTGTTTCACACGTTTTCACGGCCCGGCTTGACCTAATGCCGCCTCTGAAGACCTAGCACTATAAATACAACTTTTTAGCCTCTTGAGAGAGAGAGCCGCCTTGTATCACGATTTTCTACTTAGAGTTTTTGCAATCATGTTTTCTTCATCTTTATGTGTTATTGCTTTGATCATGTCTGAGTAATCCACTAGTTAGGTTGCTAGGGTTACTAATCAATGAGTTGCTTGCATGATCTTTGATTTCGATGTTTAGCTAGGGATTATCTTAGAGTCTTTGTCTCGTCTTGTGCACTTAACTAATGCTGATTGCTTTACCGCGCATCTAGTAATCCGATCTTAGGTTGATTTGAGCCTCGAAAGTGTTGTATCATTCGCCGGACATATTCTTTGACAAGCTAGGTTTCTTAGACTGCGAAAGTTGATTTACTATAACTAGTGAACTGTATCAGAACCTGCTCGATCTAATGCTTGATTTAATCACCTAGGGACATACCAAAAGTTTAGCGACTAGGTAGATTAACAAAGGAACCGGAGCCTCGAAAGTGGAATGGTTTTATATTCGTGATCTGTGTTCTAGACGGTTTTAATATCCCAATATCCCTACATCAATTCATCTATCATTGTTTCATTGATCATTGCTTGCTTCTCTGCGATTAGCCCCTGTTGACCTAGCGCTTCTTCCTTATTGATTTACAACCTCGTTTACTTGCTAGTTCTAGTTACAATTACAACCTCCAATCATACTTTTGTTTTAGCTTGATCCAAAATCCATAGTTTCAAAGTGTACTCAATAGCCAGTCCTTGTGTTCGATACCCATACTTCCGCGATCTGTGCACTTGCAGAGGTCTAAAGAGTTTGGTAAAACCTGACTCACATCAAAATCCCACACCGAGAGTTCTCTGACCGTGAGAGAAGTGGATAGATTGAACTGTTTCAACAGCTCTTTATTGACAGCCGGTGGAATCTCCTCATCTTGACCCATCTTCTCTATTTTCCTGCATCTACTCACGAACCACCTGCTTAGCATGTGCCTTATGAATTCTATCACAGTGACGACGGGGCTGCATTCGAAGTACGATCTTGGCCAGAGGCGAACATCTATAAGCTCCATATATTTCCAACACTTCAAATCTGTTTCCTTCAGAAGCTCGTATACTCTTTTAAACTTAGCTTTCGTGTACGCTTCCCCTGCTACGCCGACAATGTACTACTGTCTCCGTTTAGTGAACTTCTGATTGACATGCCTCTGAATATGTAGAAGACAGCTTCCGTGATGTGTTAGCAGATAATGTACCTCCTTCGCTGAAGCTATTGACGGAGCCATGTCCGATACCAATGTAAAGTCCGCCCCATCGCTAATAACATCTACCAGCTTCTCAAAGAACCATAGCCAAGACTCGTCATTCTCACTGTCAACCTAAATATATGCGTACCATCCACCACCACGACTTTGCGAATTTGTTTCCATCCATCGGTACAAGTTTTAAGTGCCATGAAGGCATACTTAAACCTACAATCACTTTTCTTGTCCAGCTCTGTATGCAGATGGCATAAGCTCCTGGGATTAGCGTACTTCAGAAGATACATGTACTCCTTTGTTCGTTTGCATCCGAGATTGCAAGTTCTTTAGTCCCACCGCCGGAAGATCCTTGGATCGGGGTCGAACACACGATTCATATTTCGATCTCAGCATTGCTGCTATAGCTTTTGATGTTGCGTGTTTTGTATATGACCCTCTTACATCTACCTCACATATGTGCTTTAGATGTGCCTTTTTCACCTCGTACGTCTGCGATTCACAAACTTGCTTCACCATGATTCTCCAATCACACTTTCTTGAGATGCACCTCGCGACCGTATAGTTATGCGCGTGCTTGTGATACCTGAAGCGGAATAGATTCTTAAGTGCATAGATTGCTAGCGTTGTCTTGAAATGTTGCTTGTGTTTGAACAGCATGCCTATGAAAATCTTTGTATCTTCGTATGATAAGCCCAAGTCGTGAATTGTAAACATAATTTGATCATCCATGTTGTTGAACATAGGCTCCACATCTTTGAAATCATATATTTTAGTTAGCCGAATTCCCTTCATCAGATTGGCAGGAGCAAGCTCTACGCTTTATGCGGAAGCATATGGAGGATCAATGAAATCGTCACTGTAATAGCCTTCCTCGCGTTTCCTGAATAACTTATGCAGATATTACTTTGGTTTGGGAGGGGTTTCCACCACAAAGTCACCCCCATCATCTCCTCTTTTTGTATCTTCACTCTTTTTTACGCAGTGGTGGATGTTCAAAAAAATCTTCATCATAAATCAAGTCCACTTCTCTCTACAACGCGGAGGTGGATCAGCACAAGCTTTTATCCTGCTTGTCCATTTCCGGATGTTACGCACTCGTGGATTCTCTACAAAGTCATCATCATCATCACTGCCTACTAATCCTCTGTTTCTCACATACGCTTCCCCTTTCCCGTTGTTTCTCACATAGTCCATCCACCAGTCCCAATCATAGTCACTACCCTCGTAATAGTAGTCACCCTCATCAATATATGGCACGTCATCAGACCCGATGCCAGCCTCGTCTTTGTACTCGTAATCCTCCTCAAATTCTGGCAAGTCATCAAACCCGATGTCATCATCAGATTCCTCCTACCATCCACTCGCAGCTGCTCCTATCCCGGTTTTTGCTTCCAATGCATCAACCGCCCTTTGAAATTCTTCATCTTAGCTTTCTTCTAAAATCGAATATCGTCCCTTCACACCATCCAATCCGTTGCTAGTAGTTTGATCTACATCATCCTCTACCCCACTATTAAGTTCTTCAAGTGATAATCCAGTTCTCAAGCTCGCCTTCGGTTTCATAATCACCAGTTCTCTCTGAACGTCACAAATAAGTTGAAAGACTTGTCGGCCTTGTGCAAAGACAAAAAGCTTATCTAATCATGAATGCTCACAAGCTTTGTTGGTTGAAAACCGTTTCCATACTTTTCAGCCAACACATCCTCTATCAAGTACAGTCGATATCGTACTCAACGCTGACTTTCGACCTAAATGCATCAATTCCGTCTGTTTTCCTGCAATTAATAGACCTACACATCTTAGACATGTCAAATTTGAACTCGAAAACCCCGTCTTGCTGCCGTATCCACGTTCCCGCGAGGAGGAAAATATTATCATCCCTTACAGCTGTGAATTAAAAACTCAACTTAAGTATATACAATTTAAACGAGGGAGGAGAAGAGGTGTACAGGTAAACAACAACATCAATTACCTGCTTCTTCTTCGCCAACAACATCCAATTTCACCGAATCTGATTTTGGAGACATCGCAAGACAACATTCAATGGCACAAAATCTCGTCCACTTTTATCTCTTATAAACTCTGATTATTCTGTTTTTAGGGTTTGTTTATACGTCAATCTCTATTTATCGAGTAATCTCGTCCACTCACCATAATCTTTGGTCCAACACATATTCTCTCTATTTTCCGATGCAAGCATCTTCTTTTTTGGACCGGTGTCAAAGAAATAGCACACCTCAAACTGAAACTAAACCGGAAACCTAGTCAGAAATACTAGTCTATGTGGACACGATTTTCTCTCACCGAAGCTAACGTGGACAAAACGCCAAGGAAAAATCCCACTTTCTTCCCGCTTCTCTCCCATACTCTCTCCAAATTCTTTCCCTTTCTCACACTAAGAGACAAGGTTAATTTTGTATTTAAAATTCTTTCTCTTTTCAATTTGTCTCTTTTCATGATATAAAACTTACATTTGCCTTTTTTGACAATTACAAACATAAAAACTGTCTAGTTTGTAAATTAACCCCAAAATTTATGAAGTTTATTTACAATTTTGTGTATAAAATTTTGTTTATTTGCTTACACATAGAAATGCGAGAATAGAGGGGTAAAAATCGAGTAAAGGTAACTCATGTATAAAAAATAGTATTCAAATTATACTTATAAAATCAGGTAATAGTGCAAGTAAGAGCCAATAGCTAAAATCATTACTTTCGGGATTGAAAATCATAACAAATATTCTAAATCATGAGTATAATAATAGATTTCGAAAATTAAATATAAATAATCTTATATATAATTAGGGAGTTTTCTCTCCTTTTAAGTTGTCCACATCATCAAATTAACACCTTTTATGGACCCACTTCTAATTAATTTCACTCTTAAATATTAGCTTCTTTATATTAATTAAAAAATTAATTTAGACATTTATGTTATTATATTTCACTAAATGTTTTTTATTATGCCAAAAATGTCTAAAATATATTTTACAAAATAAATTAATGAAATTATAAACTAAGAAAAATTAATAGAAAATAGATAAATAAATAAAATAAAAAAATGTTTTTAACATAAAGATTCAAAATATATGGAGAAGACCAAAAATAAGTACTCCCTCAATTCCACAATGTTTGTCAATTAATACTAACAAACTAGAAACTTAAAAAAATACTCATTAAAAGTAATTAAATTCTTGAATTTCGATTGGTTACTATTTATTAAAAAAGTGGTTTGGGTGATAAAAATATATATTAATTGTTAAACAATAATTTTTTTTTTAATTTGTGTGAAAACTCTATAACATCATATATTGTGGAACAAATGGAGTAAAAGATAGTGTTAAAATCTCAAAGTATTATTTTTTACTCTCAAGTAAACAATAGTGAAAGAAAAAAATGCATATGAAAATGATAAAAAAAAATATAGTTTTGTACTCCGTTTAGAATCAATATGTTACGATGTGTTATATGTGAATGAGGAAAATTTGAAAGTAAAATAGATGCAAGAGATAAATGAGTCCATTCTCCATAATTGAAGAAATGAATAATAGTTGAAATATATTAAGTAAAGACAAAATATTGAAGTTTTTAGTATAATCAATACTAAAATAAATGTTTCAACCCACTGTTATTGTCAGATGAAATGAATGAGTTAAATTAAAATATTAATTTTAGTAATATATATATATATATATAGTATGTTATTTGGTACTCCCTCTGTTACATATTATAAGGGGTTTTAGGGTTGGACACAAGGATTAAAAACTTATTTAATTTTTTAAGTTTTCAAAATAAAGCATGTTTTATCATCAATTCCAAAACAATTCAACCAATAAAAAATATATGCACAATTAATAAAGTAAAAAACAACCAAAAAGTTGAAAACACCTTATATTATGAAACAAAAAAACAGTCTTAAACCCCTATATATTGAAACAGATGGAGTACATTAGTTTCATGTATATATATATATATATCTATATATATATAAAGTTCATGCAATTCTATTCTGGTGCTGCCATGTTAGCAGAAGAGATTGTCTCTAAATTCACTAATTCGCCACATTAGCATAGCATTGTATTTAATAATTTTAATTTATTATATTTTCTTTTTTTATATTTTAATTCTTTATGATCATTCATTAATATAATCATTAAATAATACAATAATTTTTACAAGAATTTGAAAAGTCATTTTTATAAAAGAAAATAAATATTATCTATAAATCTTACAAAACTATTACTTAAAAATAATAATAATAAAAATATATTATACAAAGAACATTGTTTTTTTCTATAGTATTTTTGGATGAAAAGGGACAAGATTGAATATGACGAGACAAAAAAAAATAGAATTGGAGAAAAGGAGAATTTTGTTTACTTTACAATATTAAGTGACGAGGACGAGATCTAAAGGAACAGAAAAGAACGGAATAGGACAAGACGAAATTTTCGCCTACATCTAATTATATTTAGGGATGGAACGGAAAAAAGCATGATGAGAGAGAACAAGACAAAAATGTTGGATGGGACAAAATGAAAAGAAATGGAATGTGACGGGATTGGACGGGAAGAGATGAAAAATGATATAATGGGACGGGAAGGGAAGGGATGAGAATTTTGCATACCCCTTATTATATTTAGAGGCGAGACAAAGATAAAACAAAATGGAAATGAACATAATAAGATATGATGGGACTAGATGGGGCGGACAAAACGAACGGGATGGGAAAAAACATGACAAGATGAAAAGGAACATAATGGGATAGAATTATGTCTAACCCTAATTATATTTAGGGAACGAGACGATAATAAACAAAATGGAACGAATGATAATGGGATATGATAGGACTGAACGGGATGGGACATACTGGAGGAATGAGACGGGAAAGATTAAAGAACGTACACGATGAAAATGAACAGAATGGGACGAGATGAAACAAGATGGTAAAAAAAATTGCTTAACTCTAATTATATTTAAGTAATATATGTATAATATCTTGAAACAATATTAAATTTGCGGAAAAACAATAAAACTAACGCAACCCGCGTGTAGCGCGGATCACCCCCTAGTTTATATATATACTTATATAGATTTTCTTTGCAAACTAAAATATTTTTTTAGATTCAAATTTTTATTGTTATAGTTTTATATAAAATCATGCGCAATGCGTGGGTGTATAAATCTAGTTATAATAAAATTAAAACAAAAAAATTTAAAACGTAGTATATGTACTAGTAGAGTACCCGCACGTTTGTGCGGTGTGACGTTGTGGTTTTGTGTAGAAAATTTAAACCCTAAATCCGAACCCGACCAAAAAAACCCTAATTTTTTAATATGTCTAAACCAAAAATCCGAAATCAAAAAAATCCCGAAAACCCTGAACTGAACAAAAAAAATCAAACAAAAAAAATCTGGAAACTTTTTCACCCGGAACCCGACCCAAATACCCTAATCAAAATTTTAAAATACTCAATTTTTTTAATATATCTAAACCCGAAAACCTGAAATCCAAAAATCCGGAAAACCCTAAACTGAAAAAAAAAACTCGAACCAACCCGAACAGAAATTTTCAAAGAAACCCGAACAATTTCTATATCTCTATAAAATTAGGTCTCAGATTTTCACCCAAACCCGAACTTGTCTATAAAAACCCGAAAATCCAAAAAGCATATTCTATTGATTTGGTATTATCGTTAGATTATGTTAAGTTTTCTTTTTGCAGATTTTTAAGAGCTGGAAAACGGAAGTTTTCTAAACCATCGGTTTGTTTTAAGTTATTATTCTTGTATCCAAACAATTTTTTCCATTTATTCTTCTATCCAAATATTTTTTCTTATTCTTGTATCCAAACATTATAATGTACTAAATTGATCATAACTAAATCTGTTGTCCAAACATTTTCTCTTAATAATTAAATTGGTTTTTTTGTTTAATTTTTTCATATACTTTTCAATTAATAATATAAAAAAGATAGTTTTAGTTCCGCGCATCACGCATGTTAAAAGACTTTTAAAATCTTACGTAATTTTTCCTTATATTTACAATTTAGTCCCTACATTTAATACAGAGTCTAGAACCGTAAGATAAAGTCTTGTCCATTAATCATCATCAGATCACTCGTCTTTCTTTCACACATACTTTTCTACCTGTATTTCCCGTACGTACGCGAATTCTTCTTTCTTCTTCCTTATAGTTTTATAATAACACTTTTTGTCCATTTCCCATCTACAAATTTTCTCTTGTTTTCTAGACAAGGAATAGGAGAGAGATAGTCTTTTTTTTTTTAGTTTTCCATAGTTAATAGAGAGATAGTCTTACTAGTCTCTGGTTAGTCTAATAGTCTCTCTCACAAGCTTTTAATTTTGTTGTCTTTCTCTTTCAGTCTTTTGTTTAATTTTCCAGGAAATCTCTTTCTCCTGGTAGTTAAATAGATCTGTGTTCATACTTAATCATAAACCACAATTCAGTACTCGCTTTTTCTTTCTCTTAAGTTTTTCATTTTTCATAAAATCTATCTTCTCACTTGTATAGATTAGGAACCCAGCAAAGGAAGCTTTTTTGGGTTTAACTAATCGGATCGAAAGGACCTCATTTTTGTTTTATTTCATCAAAATTCCAATCTTTTTACTCAATTTTGTTCCTCCTTACGACATGAATTGTATGTTCTTGTTCAAATCAAAGAAACCTAAACCCAGAAATCAACAAGGAGACAGCAACAAGAATAGCAAAAAGACCAAAAGAAAAGGAAAAGAGACGCAAAATTCAGCTCCAGAGTTGACGACGGAAACGTCGTCGTTTAATCTCCAAACGCCGAGATCTTTGCCTTCTCCACGAAGTATCAGAGACTTGTATACAGAGAGAGAACAGAATCTTAGGGTTTTCACTTACCAAGAACTCAGTGAAGCCACTTGTTGTTTTAGCAGGAAGCTCAAGATCGGTGAAGGTGGATTTGGTAGTGTTTATAAAGGAAAGGTTTTGATCACAGGAGCAGATTCTGATTCCAATTCTTCAATTGTCGTCGCCATTAAGAAACTCAATCGACAAGGATTGCAGGTAATTTCCAAAACTCAATCACTTTACTCTGTTTTGTGCTAAGCTAATCATGAAGAGATAATTAAGCTAGAAACTGAAGCTTAATTAGAGACTGTTTGACGTATTTTGAAGCTAAACCGAACTTTGTCACTTGCATTGATGTAAAACTGAAGAAACTTTTCTCTTTGTGTGACTTGGTTTAATCTAAGTGTAAAATTGAAGAAACTTTGATCTTTGTGTGACTTGGTTTAATCTAAGTGTGAAGAAATTTGTCTCAGAGTTTTGATCTTTCCTGTTGTGTGTGTAATGTAATAGGGTCACAAGCAATGGCTAGCAGAGGTTCAGTTTCTAGGGGTAGTGAATCACCAGAACGTTGTGAAGCTCTTAGGTTATTGCTCGGAAGACGATGGCGAGACCGGGATTGAGAGGCTTTTGGTTTATGAGTTCATGTCGAATCGAAGTTTAGAAGACCATCTTTTCACCCGTGGATCCTACACATTGCCGTGGAAACAAAGGCTTAAGATCATGCTTGGTGCAGCTGAAGGATTAGCTTATTTACATGAAGTTAAGGTAACCAAAAAAAATAAAAAAATGGAAGACAAAAATCCTTTTTACTTGTTCTTGACATTTTAGGACAGACACAATCTAAAAACATTAGTCACATAGATGATTTGGTGGATGATACTTTCTGGTTTTTATTTTGTTGGCAGGTGATATACAGAGACTTCAAATCTTCTAATGTGCTCTTAGATGATGAATTATGTCCGAAATTATCGGACTTTGGTCTGGCCAGAGAAGGACCTCAGGGAGACAATACTCATGTTACAACCGCAGTAAGAATCGAATGCTTCTCTCGGTAAATTATGCTCTTCTTTGCGTGGTGATTCGGTTTTTTCCGGTTTGATTCGAATCGGTTATCTCAATTCGTTCTATGTTTGAGTACTAAGAACCTAATTGAAGCTTAATCTTTTAAATTTGAAAAAGAAAAATAAAATCAGTTTGGCTTGGTTTTTTGTTCATAATCAGCTTAGTTTGGATTAAAAAGTAAAATTTAGAGGAGTTTATTGGTTGTATAATTTATAAATCCATATAAGATTTGAAAATCTTGATTTTATTTTTTGGAAAATTTTAACTTGTAAACAATTCCAAATCCACTGAAGTCTAAAGTGGATTTTGAGATCAAATCAAATCACGAATTTCGGTTTGGGTTAATTTGTAGTCATTGGTAGGAGAAACTAATCCGTTCCTGGTTTGGGTTTGGTTCGGATGTTTCGGTTTAATTTGATACAATACATACATATATGGTATTACTCAATTTTTAAAAAGTGTTACAACATTTATTCTTTTTCATAATTCTGTGTATAGAGAGTTGGAACACAAGGCTATGCAGCTCCTGAATACGTGCAAACCGGCCATCTTCGGTTAAAGAGCGATGTGTACAGTTTCGGAGTTGTGCTGTACGAGATCATAACCGGACGCAGAACCATTGAGAGGAACAAGCCAGCGGCTGAGCGAAGGCTATTGGATTGGGTTAAAGAATATCCTGCCGATAGTCAACGCTTTAGCATGATCGTTGACCCAAGGCTACGCAACAATTATCCAGCTGCTGGAGCCAGGAATCTGGCTAAACTGGCTGATCTTTGTCTTAAAAGGAACGATAAAGACCGACCGTCCATGGAGACTGTAGTGGAAAGACTGAAGAAGATAGTTGAAGAGTTCGATAATGGAGATTGTTCCAAGGCTAGTCTGGTGAGGAGACAAGTGGCAGAACCTGTGAAGGTGAAGCCAAGTTTGAGAGGAGGAGTTAGTGTTAGAGGATGATTCTAAGTTTACAAGATTTTGGTTTATGGTTTAAGCGATTTGTTGGTCTCTTAAGTAAGCTTTGGCTTTATAGTGTGTTTATAAATGAACCTTATTTATTTTGGAAAATATTGTACTACCATTTTCGTAATAAAAATTGTACTACCAAAAAGCATTTGAAGGAAAAAGATGTTTGTTACACCTTTATTTTCCACTTTTCGCAAGCCACCGAACTTACCAGAGAGAATCAAATTTGGTACTATCAGTTCTCAGTCATAAATCAAATCACAAAACTGTATGATAAAATGAGAACTTGGCGAAAACATAATATAAAGTTATAAACAAGCTTTCATATAGTTTTCTCGTATATATTCTCATGGTTTGAAACATGTAGATTTCATATTACATAAGTATTTTTCTTACTCAACAAGGAAAATTTACTCAAGCATGCCATGGACGTTAATTCAAACTGGCATTTACAATTTCTCTTCCCAAAACTTTAAGTCAAACAAAAAGGAAAGGAAAATAAAGAAAAAGATGAAAGGAAGAAGTGACTATCTTTTTAGCTTTCTATTTTCTCTGAAACTTCAAGCTAAAGTAAATTAATCCAAAAACCAGCTTTTTTGTAGACGATATTCTTTCTTTTTTTGTTTTCTAAACTTAATTATTATTATCATATAATTCTCAAATTCATGAAGATTCGAATTTTCAAGCAGCAGCAACAATACCGTTGTGAAAAGCATAATTGCGAGATCTAGTTGGAGAAGAAGAACTTCGTTTTTCTTTTCTCCTCATTGCTGATTCCACAGAATAAGACAGATTCTGTTTCTTCTCTTTTGCTTCATCTCTCTCTATCTGTTCTTGCCTACTGATAGATCCTGAGACTGTTCATCCTAGCGTAAGAGAAAGGACTTGAAACGACGCTGTTTTGCGAGTTTCCATTGTTACCAGAAAATCAGCTTCCATCGCCGACAAAGAAGAAGCTAAATCATCATCTTCTTCAATGAAATAAGGATTTCTCCCTGAAACCTCCATTTTTCTGGTTTTGAGAGAGAGAGAGAGCTGTGAGGAAAGTGTGAGTGGGATTTTATAGCAAAAGAGAGATATTTTTGTTTTTGAGGGGTTTAAAAGAGAGAGAGTAAACAAGGGGCGATTTTTGAGAGAGAGAATCTATTGTTTTCACTTTTTTTGTAGTAACCAAAAAACCTTTCTTTGCTTTTTTTCTTTTCTGAAAGTACAAGAAATCGAAAACCACTTTTGTTATTTTCTAGAAATACTTTATTAGTTTATTGACATATAAGGAAATTTATTGAGGCGTTAGGAAATACTTCCTCCGTTCTTTAAAGATAAATTTTCTAGAGTTTTTACACATATTAAGGAAAAGCTGATTTTCAATCATTGATGCATAGATTTTTGCAATAAAACAACTTTTTATAATTTTCAAATCAATAAAAGTCCAACAAATACAATTAATATTTCTTGAAAACTGAAAAAGCATCGAAAAGCTAGAAGCTTTATCTTTGTGAAACAACAAATAATGTCTAGAAAATTTATCTTAAAAAAAACGGAAGGAGTACTAATTTTTTTGTGACTTATTCATCCTGCAGTTTTAGAGGAACTTTAGAGAGGGCCTAGTGAAAAAGTAATTACTCTTTCCGCATTTGCTTTTAAAAATGAATTAGTATATTATTAAAGTATTTGCTCACTTTAACTTTTCAATCAGTATTCAATACAATAATACTCTAAGGAGTACATGAAAAACTTTACATGAATTTTTCAAATTGAAATGGTGTGATTGGTAAGTAGAGTTAGAATTTTCAGAAACTACAACAATATTTATATAACGTACATGAAGGATATCTGTATTTCGTAGTCAAGTATCTTTTCACAATACTAAGATTGAATCGTAAACAAATTATGCTTTTTCATGCAAATTTTAAATAAGTAACATGGTTTCACATATAAAATAAAAGTATATCATATCTTTAAAGAATCAAGTGGTTTTCACTTGATGAAAATTTGCATGTTGATCTTATTTAAACTATTCTTATTTGGCTACATGAATATAGTTTCTTGTTTTCGGTATATTTGAATATTCGCCTTTCCCCGCCTTCCACCCCCGACATAGAGTCGGAGGGTCCGCCTTTCCCCGCCGGTAAGCTCCTCCTGCCTCTCTTCTTCCTTCAGTCACTAAAGGAAACCACAATCAGCTCATCTCTCACTACAAGAACAAAATGGCAAGATGCTACACTTACGCAGAGAAAGGCAAAGGTTTGGTAACCTCCAAGCGATCCCCACCCCGTCTCCGCATTCGAGCCCTGCCATGGATACCTCTGACCTTGTCCGAAAGAACGCCCTAACCCTCATCGGACGCCTAACGGACCCATCTGAGCAGCGGATGAGAACAATGCTGCCTTACTTCTCCAACAAATGGGAACTGCGAGGAAACATAACCGGAGCGGACCTGGGAAATGGTTGCTTCTAGTATCGGTTCGACTATGAAGAAGACCTCCGCAAAGTCCTCGAAAACCGACCTTACCAGTACTCCAGATGGATGGTGATTCTAGAAAAGTGAGAGCCAATCATCTCAGCCTCCTTCCCATCTCAGATCCCCTTTTGGATCTCACTCAGAGGACTACCACTTCATTACTGGAAGAGAGAACTTCTGGAGGACATTGGAGACAAACTTGGAGACCTCAAATCCTATGAACTCACTTCCACAGCAGCAAAAATCAGAGTCGAGATTGATGGACTCAAACCTATCACAAAGGAGGTTGTTGTGGAATTTGAAGGAGGCCAGGAAGCGGTTGTTACCCTTGAGTATCATAAGTACTGCTCTTTCTGCCTCAGGCTTACCCATGAGGAGGAAGACTGCCCTGAAAACCCTAGATCTCGCCTGAACCTCCCACCTACAAAAACCCTAAGCCACGGGACAGCAAACCACCTAAAACCCCCCTTCTTCACAAACCCTAGAGATTCAGCGCCTAACCAATACCAAGACAGACCTAGGGCAGTCAGACTAGAACGGTCTGCTACTAGACACATCCCTAGTAACCACTCTCCCCCCAGATCCACCAACAACAACCGGGAGCAGACCAGACTACCTTCAAACCAAAGCTACCACAGAACAACTATCTCTCCCCCCTACCAGAGGGACCGCTGAGGGCACAAGAAACTACTCACCAAGAAGATCCGCTGAGGAAAGGCTAAGGAGACACGTCCGCTCGCCAAACCGTCCTGCAACCCAACAAATCTGGAGAGAGAAAACAAATCAAAGAACTGAAACAATGGAAGACAACTTCAGCCCAAACCAAAGACGTCCATTACCTCTTGAAAGAAACCTCGACCAAGACGACTTCCCAACCCCACCACTGAGAATCCAAACGGAGTCAGAGATCCTACAGGACCTCCATGACATTGACATCCGCTACATAAACTGTGGAGATCCAGTAGAAAGTGCAGTCAGGAGGCAACGAGTACTTGAGAGCGACCTAAATGGCCTGGTGGAGGAAACAGCCAACCGGCTCCACAATGCTCCTTCCAACCAACTCCCCCAGGAAGATAGGATCCGATTTGCCTCACCCAACATAGCGCAGCAGCCAAACCCCATACCACAAACTGAGTTATCAGGCAATGTAAGCCCCATTGGAGACCCAGAACGTAATCTAAACTTAGGGCAAACCAAGAAGAGAAGAGGTAGACCACCTACTAAACACCTAACCTCAACAAACAAAAACTCAACTACAGCCGGTCCGTCTAAACGCAAAACTAAGGTTCAGCGAAAATCACCACTCCTCCGCCTATCCCCTTTCTCAAGGGTCATCCACAACAGAGCTAACCTAACCCCTCAAAACCAAGGATCAGTGCGTAGTAGAAGCAACACAACAACTCCAATTACTCAATCACAACTATTGGGACACTTACCAGCAATACTGCCACCTCGTTCGCGCAAAGCACCGGCACAACTTCAGGATGGAGCGGGTTTTCGGACTCTGCGAAGTCCTCTTCCTTAGCACTCTTGAGCTGGAACTGTTGTGGGTTGGGGAATCCCATCACAGTTCATAGACTGACGGAGCTGAGAAAGAAACATGCTCCTGACATCATATTCCTCATGGAAACCAAGAATAGCGAAGAGTATATTACGAAGCACGTACCAATGACAGAGTATGGATCAAGATTCTTGGTACTGCCACATAGCCCGGGAGGTGGAGGACTAGCCCTTTACTGGAAGCAAGGGATAGACCTAACCGTTCTATCCTCCTGCCACAACTACATTGAAGCCTCACTGTCCTACAAAGGGAAAAATTTTATTACCCACTTTGTCTACGGAGAACCTGACCACTCAAAAAGAAAGGAGATTTGAGAGGAACTAACAGCAAAGAACGGAAATCGCGTCTTACCATGGTTCCTAACCGGAGATTTCAATGACATTCTAGACCATGAAGAAAAAACTGGAGGACCACAACGAACTGAGGGATCGTTTGGTCAGTTCCGGACTTTCATCTCTCAGTGTGATCTGTACGACCTCCCCCACTCAGGAAACCTGCTATCTTGGAGAGGGGTCAGATACACCCACCTTGTCCATTGTCGGCTAGACCGTGCCATCTCTAATGGCCTCTGGGTAGAAGAATACCCGGCAAGCCGCTGCTATTACCTGGATTTTGAAGGCTCTGACCACAGACCACTCCTGCCTGTGCTTAAACCAAACCTAAAGAAGAAGAGAGGCATTTTTAGGTACGATCGAAGTATGAAAGATAACCCAGCCATAACGGAGCTAGTGGAGAAAGCTTGGAACCAACCTGGTAATACTTCAGTGGAACAGAGAATAATCGCAGACGAGAAATCTCAAAGTGGAACAGAGAGCACCACAAGAACTCGCAAGCAGCCATAAAGGAGGAGAAAGAAAACCTGGAGTTAGCTATGAGCTCATCTGTCCTCGACCAAGGCAAGATAATGGAAATAAATACAAACCTCAAAATCGCTTATCAAAAAGAGGAGGAGTATTGGCGACAAAGAAGCAGGACCCTGTGGCTTGCCTTGGGTGATAAAAATTCTGGCTATTTCCATGCCATCACAAGAGGGAGAAGAACTGTAAACAAGTTAGCAATCATTGAGGATGTAAACGGAGACTCAATGTACAAGGAGGATTAAATAGTCCAAGTTATAAGCTCTTACTTTCAGGACCTCTTCATTACCCGATCCGCCAACTGTATTGAGACAGTTAACCAAGCTCTACGACCACGCATCTCGGAGACTGTCAATGCTACTTTGATAGCAGACCCCAAACCTGAGGAGATCAAAGATGCCCTCTTCACCATCAGTCCTGACAAAGCCCCGGGACCAGACGGATTCTCAGCCTGCTTTTTAAAACACATTGGTTAGTAATGGGACCAAAGATAATACAGGAAATCTAACAAATATTTTCGTCAGACTCCTTACCAAAGTCTATCAACGATACTTATGTCCGACTGATCCCGAAAGTTCCAAGCCCAAGAACAGTTGCAGAGTACAAACCGATAGCCCTCTGCAACGTGTACTACAAGGTCATATCCAAGATCCTTATGAAGCGCCTCCAACCAATATTGCCTACAATAATATCAGAAAACCAAACAGCGTTTGTTCCGGGAAGAGGCATATCCGATAATGTACTAATAACCCATGAGACGCTACATTACCTGCAGAGATCCGGCGCTACCAAGCACTGCTCCATGGCTGTCAAAACTGACATGAGTAAGGCCTATGACAGGTTGGAATGGGGCATCGTGGCAGTGATGGAACGATTGGGCTTTCACCCCAAATGGATCAATTGGGTCCTCCAGTGTATCTCCACAGTTACCTACTAGTTCCTCGTGAATGGTTCAGCCCAAGGAAGAGTCATCCCACAGAGAGGCATTAGGCAAGGGGACCCGCTCTCACCTTTCATATTCATTCTCTGTGGAAAAGTACTCTCGGGATTGTGCACGAATGCCTTGAACAATGGTTATCTCGCGGGCCTCAGAGTAGCAAGAGGAAACCCTAGAATCAACTACCTCCTTTTTGCCGATGAGATTATGTTCTTCTGTAAGACATCCCCACAAATCTGCGAAACCCTAAGAGCCATCCTACAGAGATACGAAGAAGCCTCAGGTCAGATGATTAACCTCCAGAAGTCATCAATTACTTTCTCAAAAAAGACACTACAAGATATCATGCTAAGAGTCAAAACTACTCTGAACATAGACAAAGAAGGTGGACAAGGGAAGTACCTTGGCTTACCAGAGAGTTTTGGCCGCAAAAAGAAGGATCTTTTCACTCTGATAGTTGACCGCATCCGACAAAAATCAATCCACTATTCGTCAATATTCCTCTCCAACGCCGGCAAAGTTACAATGATCAAATCCGTACTTGCTTCTATCCCCACCTACTCCATGTCTTGCTTCAAACTACCTACAGGGTTGTGTAAACGCATTCAATCAGCCTTGACTAGGTTTTGGTGGGACATAAAACCTGGAAAGCGAAAAATGTGCTGGCTTGTTTGGGGAAAACTTACCAGACCAAAAAATCAGGGAGGACTAGGCTTCCGAGAAATACAGAGCTTCAATGACTCACTCCTAGCGAAGCTGAGCTGGAGAATCCTCACCACACCCGACTGTCTTCTAAGCAGAATCCTAAAAGGAAAATATTGCCGGGACACCGATTTCCTCAACGTTCCAATTACCTCCTCCACATCACATGGCTGGCGAGGCATATTAATTGGTCGAGACCTATGGAAGACTAACTTGGGAAAAGTCATTGGCGATGGCAAGGATAACGTCACTGTGGAACGACCCCTGGCTCTCCCTGGACCACCCTACCCGTCCCACAGGACCACCAAACCTACACGACAAAGATCTCAGAGTCTCAGCAATCATCAGAGAACAAACCGGAGAATGGAACCAAGAGGAGATCCAAAAAATATTACCCCACCAAAGCCATCTCATCCGACCAATCAGGCCAAGTAAGAAAGGAGCACCCGATGCCTATATCTGGCTACCTACAAAGACCGGAGTCTATTCAGTTAAAACGGGCTACTATGCAGCAATGCTTCAACAAGAAGAATAGAGCTATCAGTCGGACCACCCCAATTTCAACTGGAACGCCTCAATATGGCACGAGAAAATATCCCCCAAGATAAAAGTTTTTCTATGGAAAATTATACAAGAAGCTTTACCTATCGGAGAAAACCTCTTGAATCGAGGAATCCCAGATTCCGCCTGTTGTGTTCACTGCGGTGATCTAGAGACTATGAAACACCTCTTCTTCCACTGCAAATTCGCAAAAGCAGTCTGGAACCTAGCCCCTATCTCAATCCCGCTAGACTCATCCCACTTCCAAAGCTTTCTCTCAACCCTCTCAATCTCCAAAACCTGGACTTGTCTCCCACCCACAGGCGTAAGCAATGGACCTCTCTTCCCATGGGTTTGCTGGACCATAAGGAAGACGCGAAACTACTGCCTCTTTGAAGAGCGCCAATTCTCCCCTGAAGAAACAATCAGTAAAGCTATTAAAGAGGCAAGAGAATGGCAACAAGCCCAACACCCCACGAAGACTATCCAACGACGATCTAACCTATCATACCCGAGTGTAACAAACCCAAACGTCATTACCTGTTTCGCAGATGGAGCCTGGTGTAAGGATGCATGCATCGGAGGAGCAGGATGGATTTTCATCGGCAATGAAGGCACCGAACTACACCGAGGCCAGGCAGCGGAGCGATTCGTTTCTTCCCCGCTGATGGCAGAGGCAATGGCAATCCGATCGGCACTTAACTATGCCTTGGATCACGGCATCGCCAACCTCAAACTTCACTCAGACGCTCAAGATCTCATCCGAGTCATCAATACGCAGGAGCAATCGAAGGAGATCTATGGTCTCCTTTTTGATATCTTCACTCTTGCTTCAATGTTTGAATCAATCTCATTCCACTTCATCCCTAGATCTAAAAACCTTTTGGCTGATTCTCTTGCAAAGAACGCCAAAGAGATTTTAGTTGCTTCAATGCCCGATATGGGCCCCACCGTGTAGTTGGTTTATTAATTAATGTGTTGTTCAAAAAAAAAAATGAATATTCATATAAATATATACCCATAAGCTACACTTACACCATGGAAGGTCTATAACGTATTTTCTATAAAAACTCAAAATTCAGAATTAGAATTTTTTTTTTATCAAAGAACGTTTTTCATTTCTTCTGTTTTTTTTCTTTTTCATATGTTTTCTAACTTCAACCATTAACACATTAAGATATTGGATTCTTTACAAACATTTGTAGTTAACATTTCTAAATTTTTGCTTACTCTCTCTTTTATTATCATGTTCCTAAGTTTTTCTACCCTTTTTAGGTTGTAAGAGTTGAAGATTTTGATTTCTTTACATAAATTGTGCATGTTTGATTATTAGTTATATAAAACTGATCATATTTAAGACTAATTAGTTGTATGATTAACCTAAAATAAATAAATAAATTTTGAGGGTAAAAATAATCATAAAAGAAAATAAAAGATGAATATTTATAAAAATTAAATTAAAGAAGGGTATGATTGGATTAAATTAATAAAGTCTAATGTTTAGTTAAAAAAAAAATTAGATATACAAAATAATAGTCAAAATGTCTTATTTTCCAGTTTTTTCTAGATAAGTTTACTGCTGATAAACATAAATTTGCTTAGTTGTCATCATATTTTGTTTTCTTTTCCGAAAACAATGATTATAAATTCAATAGATTAGTTTTTCACTGCTAAAATTAAAAGAGAAAATTGGAAATTTACACCAAACAAATGCTTTACTTGTCCATTTACACTTTCATAAAGTGACTTTGTCCTTTTAGGCCAATAATCCACTTTTGTCCCTCATATGATTTAGATAATTTTTCTAATTGTATCTTTAATTGAATTTATTGATTTTTTTTTTAAAAAAAAATTTCTTTTTGGTGGTTTATTTTTGGATGGTAGAGAGAAGAAAGGAAACAAAAATTTTAATTGCAATATTTTCTCGATTCTGGTAGAAGATGAATTCTACAAAAATGACAATTATTTTAGTAGAACGTCTAATAGAAACACAAATTGTCAGATGATAGCAAACTTGTTTCTAGTAGAACATTAACTTTACGGGTGACTGAATTAATTGTTACACGTAAGACACGGAAACTATAGACTATAGATGTCAGTGTTTAACGTAGAATTTGAAATCTACAATTAGCAGAAAACGGTTTATTTTGTAGAATATATTTGGAGAAAATTTTACCAAATGGTAGAACCTATAGTATTTGGTAGATATAGAATTCTGTTTATGGTAAAGGTATAAACTACTTTTAGATATTATCCTTTATATACTAAATCACAAGTCACTCGCCCAATGGCAAAGTGACATGTGTCAAGTTTAACATATTAAGCCTTAATATATGACACGTCACACTCAAGAAGCGTTTAATAATTTGCAAGAAAAAATACCGATCTTATTGGGTTTAGCCCACCAAATTGCTGGTACTTTAAAAATATTATTTATGAGGCCTATAAACAAGTTTGAGATTAAGTCCATTAATATTAATAAACAAAAGTGATGTTCGCTTCTTTTGGGGAGAGCACGATTTCTGAAAACCCCACAAATCGGAAAAAATAAACCCTCAATTATCGGCACCAAAATCCCCACGATTTCACGATTCCAACCAGATTATCAACCATAAAATCAGTCTCGTGTCCCTTTTTTATTTTCTATGTTCACTTTTTTGCTTCAATTCAAATCAGGTTCATGTCTCTTCTCCGTTTACGCTTCATCATCTTCAAAGATCGTGTGATACTGGGATTGTCAATTTTTCATCCATCTGTTTTTCTCTCTCATCTCTTCAGTCTCTCAAAACCGATTCAAACTATTATTTATGAGGCCTATAAACAAGTTTGAGATTAAGCCCATTAATATTAATAAACAAAACTGATGTTCGCTTCTTTTGGGGAGAGCACGATTTCTGAAAACCCCACAAATCGGAAAAAATAAACCCTCAATTATCGGCACCAAAATCCCCACGATTTCACGATTCCAACCAGATTATCAACCATAAAATCAGTCTCGTGTCCCTTTTTTATTTTCTATGTTCACTGTTTTTGCTTCAATTCAAATCAGTTTCATGTCTCTTCTCCGTTTACGCTTCATCATCTTCAAAGATCGTGTGATACTGGGATTGTCAATTTTTCATCCATCTGTTTTTCTCTCTCATCTCTTCAGTCTCTCAAAACCGATTCAAACTCGATATCACCACCAGATTTCTCAGATGCATCATCTCTTTCAGTTTTTGTTGTCAATGATCTTTAACCATGTTTATGATAAACCAGGTAGAGCGAAAATTTGATTTACAAGTTTCTTACTATTCCTCTTACATACTAAGTTCGATGTTTTTTTCTAATTTACAGGATGGCTTAGCATAATGAAACATCCAAACTTTGTGAAGCTGAACGAGGTCACTCGGGAAAATGATATCTGAAATTCGTGTTCGAATTCATGGTATACTTCTTACTACTTTTTGTTACCATAGCTTTTTTTTTCTCCATTGCCCTGAATGTGATGTACTTGCATTTTGCATAGTTTTAGTACATCTTTTATGCAGCTTTTGCATAGTTTTAGCGTTCATTAACATCATATCTTGTTCCTTTTCTTTCTTATGCATACATTGTAGTTTTAGGTTGCATTTGCACACATGTGCATGTTTGATCCTTATTTAGGTCTATTTGGAGCACTATGGAGCAACTAGGGACGTGAGGAGCAAGGAAGACATTGTGCATGGACTCAGCTTGGCCGCGCATGCTTGGAATGAAGAAAAAGCCGACTTTGAAGCCAGCTCGACCTCTGACTCGACCAATTGGTCGAGTTCACCAACTCGACCGGCCATCACCAACTCGATCGAGCTGCGGAGTCAATGTCAAACCCGAAAAAGTTGCTTCCCTTTGACTCCCCTTTGACCCTAAACCTAATTTCTTTTATATTTAAGGGCTTGTAGCCACGAAAAAGACAACACTTTTTAGCTTAATTTTGCATTTGCTTTATTTTAATTTTGTATCTTTTACTTTTAAGCCTCTCTTTGTGTTCTTGAGCTCTTGCTCATTGAACCTTAGATCTAGGCTCTATCTTTGTGTATTTGCACTTGCTTATTTCAATAAAAGTTGTTTAGTTTCTTCTCCTCTATCTTTTGATGTTTCTTTTGATGCATTTGGTTATGTATTTCGCAATGTGTAGTGAGTAGTTTTCCTTAGGGTTTAAGATGGGCTAGACTAGAGGATTTCTATGCTTAATCTCTCTTGCTTGATGTTCTTAACCTAAAATCTCTCTCTTTTGGACAAAGCCTAATGCAACACAACCACTATCCATGGTGTGTTTGATCTAAGCGGTTTTCCTCATGGGAATGATGGGAAATCGCTTGAAAAGGTCCACTAAGAGCTTCAACATGCTTGCTCTACGAAATGGAGTTTATAGGTGTTGAATGGGTGAGTTTGAGCATGTTTCTAATGCCTCTAAGGCTTGATTCTCACTGGCTGACCCCCTGTTTCTGAGATCTTGCTCTAGATGATAGCTTTCACCTTGGGAAAGGGTTAGCTAGGCTAAGAAGCTCAATGCCAAGAGATAGCTTGAGTACAAGTGTTTGAGAGCAAGATTGATTAAGTATAGCCTTCCCCTAGTCGCAAGACCCTGTCTTAGACCCTAACCTTCATCTTAATAGCTTAAAGTTTGCATCTTTATCGCTTTTCATTCGCATTTCCTCTGTTTTTACTTCAACTCGACCCCCAACTCGATCGAGCTCTAATGCTCTGTTTCTACTCGATCGAGTCCTAGGTCGAGCCACTTTTTTTGTTTGTTTCTTGCATTCATTTACTGCTTTCCTTGCATTTCATTTCATTAGGTTGTTAGAATCACCCATCTTTATCATATTTACTTGACTTTCTTGTTTTGCATATTCTCATAGAGTAGCAACAAACCCATTTGGATTGATAACCTCTTATACTACATTGACTATGATGATTAAGAGGAATTGATTGATTGTGATTGCACCATACCATCTCATGTTTATTCCACCCCTGTTTGCATCCATCTCATATCATTTACACATTTCATTCCACCATCACGCATAAATCCTATCATCAATTTGGCGCCGTTGCCGTTTGGGTTTGATTATTGTTGCATTTGAGTTTCCAAATCACTTGGACGATCAAGTTATACCCCACCTTTGTGCTTCTCTTGCTGGGTTTTTGATTGTTTTGGAGGTTTATGCGAACTCGATCGAGTTCATCAACTGAAGACTTGGTCGAGCTAGATATCAACACAGGCAGGCAACAAAGACAGAAAAGCCAGAGGCAAGAAGTTCAATCAGAGGTGGTTGTTACTGAAACCATGAACGATCTAGAGGTTAATGGAAACCCTTTGGGTAATGGACTCGGTCGAGCTCGGCAGACTCGACTGATTTGTTTATGAGATGCACCAAACTGCCATCAACAGAGACATGGAATTGTCCCCCCTCCAGTCCAAAACCACAACTTTGAGATCAAGTTGGGCATGATCAACCTTGTGTAGAACCAGATGTTCCATGGGCTACCAAGTGAAGATCCAATTGATCACCTTGATGAGTTTGATAGGTTGTGTGATTTGACAAAGATCAATGGTGTCTCTGAAGATGCCATCAAGCTGAGACTCTTCCCTATGTCTCTTGCTGACAAGGCTCACCAATGGGAGAAGAGTCTACCCCATGGTACCATCACCACTTGGGATGAATGCAAGAAGGCATTTCTTGCTAAGTTTTTTTCAACCGGTCGCACAGTCAAGCTAAGGAGTGAGTTCTCAGGTTTCACTCAGAGGAACAATGAGACTTTTGCTGAAGCTTGGGAAAGATTCAAGGGTTACACAAGTCAATGCCCTCATCATGGCTTCAAAAATGAGTCTTTGCTTTCTACACTCTATAGAGGTTGTTTGGCAAGGTATAGAGAGATGTTAGACACAGCCAGCAATGAGAATTTCCTTAATCAGGATGTAGATGATGGCTGGCAGCTTGTGGAGAATATAGCCAACTCAAATGGCAGCTATGGAGAGGAGTATGATCGCACAAACCGGAGCTCGACTCACTACTCGATCGAGTCAGATGACAAACTGAGAAAGAAAGTCAAAGCGCTGAATGAGAAGTTGGACAAGCTAATTCTAGCTCAATCCACTATGAAGAAGGTCAATTTTGTCTCTGCTGAGGAGATGGTCCCAATTCAAGAAGGGGAGGATACACAATTTGCTGAGGTTTGTTACATGAGCAATGGCCAAGGAGGATACAACAAAGGCTATTACACCTACAAAGCCAACCCAGCCTTTTCTTACAGAAACACATATATAACCAACCCTCAAGATCAGGTTTACCCTCAACACCAGCAAGCTCGATCGAGTCAAGCTCCTCAACAAGGATATGGTGCAAAAAACAACTATCAAGGCCCTCAAGGCACTTTTCCTGGACAGCCAATGCACATACCACCTGGATTTCCCCACCAACCACCCAAGCCTGCGCCTAACCAATAGCATGAGCTCAGGGCTATGTTGAAACAATTTCTCCAAGGTCAAGCTGATGATGTTGTGGAAACAAGCAAGAAATTGGCTGATATCAACTCCAAGATAGAGTCCTTGAACACTAGAGTCTACAGTTTGAAAAATCATGCTTCTTCTTTTGCTGCTGCAAAGCAAGTACAACTACCTGGTAAAGCTGTTCAGAATCCTAAAGAACATTGCAAAGTGATCTTCAGTCCACAAGAAGGACTTAATGAACAAGATGATGATGAGAGAACCATTGAGGAGTTTTGTATGCTGCTTAATGAGGAATACAATGTTGTTGCTGATGCTCATGGAGCCCAGAATGATCAACTTGAGGTGCAAGCTACTCAACTAGCTATTCACACTTCACCAGTTGAGCTCGCATAACAAGCTCGATCGGCAGCTCGATCGAGTCAGTTTATTTCTCCAACTCGATCGAGTCAGACAGTCCCTACTCCGAAACCGATTTTGCTTGAGCCTTAGCAACCTGTTGATCCAGATCCTAGTCGCCTACTCAGTCAAGGTCAGAAGGAAGTGATTCACAAGTTCAGAAGGGATCTCAGTGAGATAGGAGTTGAACTTCCTAGTATGGGAAGTATGAATGAAGCCTTTGAACAAATGAAGCTTATTCAAGCTGTGCTGGACAACAAGTACAAAGTGTCTAAGCTTCTGGAGGATTCTACTTCTCAGAACAACCTCCTGACCTCACCCACCTTGTTACCAAAGCTGAAGGATCAAGGGAAGTTTACACTCCCTTGTAAACTTGGACATTTGGAGCTTGATAATGCCTTGGTCGATTCTGGTGCTAGTATCAACCTCATCTCACTCACAATGGCACAGAAGCTTGGTATTCATGGAGCATTGCAGCGCCCTACTACATCAATCATGTTTGGAGATGCCACTTCTAAGTCTCCTCTTGGTGTATTCAAGAACTATCCTTTGAAAGTGGGAGAATGCATAGTACAAGCTGAGCTCACTGTCTTAGAAATGGAAGAAGAGAAGGATGTGCCTCTGATCTTGGGAACTCCCTTCCTTAGTATAGTTGACGCTTCAATCAATTTTCACAAGCAATAAGTGATTCTCCACAAAACTCACGCAGCCGCTGTTCTTCAACTTCTTTTTGTCGTGTAGTGGGCGATTTTGAGAGGAGAAGAGATTCGTGAGGCGGTTTTTGGTGTTTGGTGATTGATTCGAGACTGTTCGTCGCCGATTTGGAGGTTTGGGTGTGCGTGGTGGCTGCTGCGTGGTGTTTTAGATCGTGTTCTTCATGTCAAACACTCAAGTTGCAAATGCACAATGGATGGTTATATTCCACTAGATTGAAGATGTTAAGAACGGATCTGTTACGGTGGAACTTCTTACACTAAAGGTTATGTTCTCGATCTTACTAATATTTCAAGAGCAAAGCACTAAGAATAAATAATATCATCCTCGAAAAGATTAAGACTTTTCAATTTGTAAAGACTTTCTAGGTGTAATATCTACCGTTCAAGATGTGGAACTCACATAAGATCCCTCTATTCCGAGGAACATATATAACACTGATCCTAAGACTACCAGCATAATTGACTTGGTGCTTGAAGACACCTTGTAAGAATATCCTGACTATTGGTTGTATCTTTTGGAATTTATTTGCTGTCTTATGAATTATGATTTGAAAAGACAACTGATTTTTTTTTCCAGTGTAAATCATCTTAGGTGTCTTGGAAAGAGAGATTTAGTTCTATTTAAACGCTATTGGCTAAATTATGGTGTAATGGAAATAGTCATTTGCTTATTAACCGATTGGCGTGTGGTAGGCACAAATGGTTAGTTGTTCTACGAATCTTTTTTCCTATGGTTTAAATAAAAAATTGTCAACTACATAATATTTAAGATGATAATATATTTATAGATGGTATACAAGTTGAAGATGTAGAAGGATTTTCACAAACATATTGTAAGTATTTCAATTTTAAAACACGATGATGGTTAAATTGCTGTTTTACTTTTACATAGACCAAAAAGTAGTTTAGGCAAGATAAAACAAATTCCTTCTCTGCAGATTGCAGGTTGATGACATGAGTAGAAGAAATGGAAGAATAAAATCACCACTACAAGAATTTACTTGAATTAGCTGCGGACCGGCGACAGCATTTCCGTAGCCATCGCTATTGGCTACGCTAATGGCGAAAGATGGCGACAGAACAAATAATATTATTTTTGTAGCCAAAACTGTGGCAAATCTGTAGCAATATAGCTACGACTTGATGTGGTGGCCATTATGTAGCTAAATAGCTACACATTGGCTAGAGATAAGTTGTTGCCATAAATTTTATATTAGCAACGGATAGATATGAATATTTATGTTGCTATATGGCAACGGTTTGTGTGCCCTCACCAATCCATCGCATGGTGGCAATGACAAAGCAACGGAACTGATGTAGCTAAGTTCTTTAAAGTTGCTAGGTGATCAAATTTCATTTTTTAGTTTTCGTAAGATTTAAGAAACATTAATGTTTTTAAAATAAATTAATAATTAATAATATTTGTAATAGTTTTCTAATATACTCTCTTAATTTGGATCAATGTTAATATATATTGAAAAAAATAGATATATCAACATAGATCCAAATTAAAGAGAGAGTACAAAAATGTGACAAGGGATGTTTTTTACGCAGCCCAAAAGAGGAAGAAACAATCAAGGTCGACTAAAATGCAATATAGGTTTCTAGTGGTTTCTATGTGTCTCATGCGTTGTGACCTGTGAGAGACAAATCAGGCTAGCTATTATATCACAGTCGACAATCTTATTCACAAGTTGAACTGATTTGATAGAAAGATTAAAAGCTGGGAATGGGCCCTCGAGAGTATGAGTAATTCTCCATGTGGAAAACGACACGTACGTTCGTTGTGTCATGAATGGAAGTGATCAAAACTCTTCATAAGTCTGACAGACTGGCCAGCCTTTCTGGGACATGTTGCAGGTCTCATTGAGCTAACTAGAGATCAAGTAGGATGAGACAACTGTTTCGAAGCTCAAAATTGTAACCGAAGAGCCTTTGAGATTGCAAAAAGTGTGGTCATGGACAATCGTCTAATTTCGTATGTGGCAAAAGGTGGACCGAGATGGATGCGAGAGCTCTTCGAAAATGAGATGCCAATTACCATGGTGTAGTCTGAATATTCTCTTTTTATGCTCTTGAAAAAGAGGCAAAGGTCTCGTTGTTGTCCTCTTTCATGAGCCATGGTTTTATTTTTGTGGTTGATACTCTGTTTTGACTCTTTGCTCTGTTCCTTCATTTTTTTACGAAAAAAAATTATGGATTATTTTTACACATGCACTTACACACAACAAGATTTGAATATATAACTTATAACTAGCCTTGTTACAAGAAACAAAAAAACTAGTTCAATCTTCGATGGTCAAGAACGGATCAAGACGTAATGTAGGGTGGCGGGTGCACATGTTCTTGAAATCGTTTTGTTTGTGGAGGGCTTTTACTTTTAAGTGGTTTCTCCTTTGAGTGCATCGAAAAATCTCTCTCTGTTTTAACCAACGCGTTTATGTTCTTGAAAATAAACGTGTCAGGTGGTGTTGATGTACTTGCATCTAGCATACTTTTAGTACATCTTTTATGCATCTTTTGCATAGTTTTAGCATACATTAGCATCATTATCTTGTTCCTTTTCCCTTCTTTTGCATCCACTGTAATTTTTAGGTTGCATTTACATACATGTGCATGTTTGATCCTTAAACAGATCCTTTTGGAGTACTATGGAGCAATTGGGATGTGAGGAGCAAGGAAGGACATTGTGCATGGACTCAACTTGACCGTGCATGCTTGGATTGAAGGAAGAAGCCGACTATGGACCCAGCTCGACCTATCTGACTCGACCAACCAGTCGAGTTCGCCAACTCGACAGGCCATCACCAACTCGATCGAGCGACGGAATCAACGGTCAAACCCGAAAAATATTGCTTCCCCTTTGAATCTCCTTTGACCCTAAACCTAAATCTCCTCCTATTTAAGGCATTGTAGCCACGAAAAAAACAAACTCTCTTTTAATCTTTTTAGCTTTCCATTTTGTTTTAAGTTCTTATTAAGCTGTAATTTTACTTTTAGCCTCTCTTTGTGTTCTTGGGCTTTATGCTCCTTGAACCTTAAATCTAGGCTCTGTCTTTGTGTATTTGCACTTGCTTATTTCAATAAAAGTTGTTTAGTTTCATCTCTTCTATCTTTTGATGTCTCATTCATTGCATTTCATCATGTATTTCACATTTTGTATTGAGTAGTCTTCTTTAGTGGTTTAAGATGGGCTAGACTAGAGGATTTCTATGCTTAATCTTCGTTGCTTGATGATCTTAATCTAAAAATCTCTCTCTTTTGGACAAAACCTAAGGCAACACAACCACTATACATGGTGTGATTGATCATAAGCGAATGTTGGGAAATCGCTTGAAAAGGTCCACTAAGAGCTCCAATATGCTTGCTCTCGAAATGGAGTATATAGGTGTTGGATGGGTTAGTTTGAGCAATGATCCTATTGCCTCTAAGGCTTGATTCTCACTGGATAACCCCCTGTTTCTGAGATCTGACCTTAGATGATAGCTTTCACCTTGGGAAAGGGTTAGCTAGGCTTTGAGAAACTCAATACCAAGAGATAACTTGAGTACAAGTAGGTTAAAGAGCAAGATTAATTAAGTATAGCCTTCCCCTTGTCGCAAGACCCTATCTTAGACCCTAATCTTAGTTTCAATAGTTTAAAGTTTGCATCTTTATCGCTTTTCATTCGCATTTCCTCTGTTTTTACTTCAACTCGACCCCCAACCCGATCGAGCGCTAATGCTCTGTTCTTACTCGGTCGAGTGGCCTTTAATCATTTGTTTCATGCTTTCTTTTACTTTCTGCATTGGATTTTCATTTCATTAGGTTCTTAGAATCGTCCATCTTTACTGCATTGCTTGACTTCCTAGTGTTTGCATAAATTCATAGAGCAACATCTCACCCATTTGGATTGATAACCTCTTATATTACATTGACTATGATGATTAAGAGGAACTGATTGATTGTGATTGCACCTTTCCATCTCATATCATTTACACCATTTCATTCCACATCCGCAATATCCTATCATCAGTGGAGCGTGTGGATAATTAGGAACCATGAAGGAATGGTAATTATATAGTAGAAGAGCCTTCAGTTTTATAGATAGAGGCCTCTGAGCTAGTAGAAATGATCACTCTCCCAACGGTTTGGCAAGTTTCCCGGTAACAATCTTTGGAGAGTATTAATGGTATGCAAGGAATTAATGAACAGAAATGACTAGTTGGAGTCGACTGGTCAAACAATGTGCATTGATTTGGTTTTTGGTTCTTTACTTAGTTTTTTTTGTTTAAAATAGCACTACTATGCTTTCTTTCCCAAAACAAATGTTATTGTAGGTAGTCATACAGTAACTGCTTGGACTTGGAACTTCACAGATTGATAACTATGATCCCATTGATCCACCAGCCGTTGTTCTTCTCTCTCAAGCTCGTTATGAGAGGGATCTGCTCAATTGGACTCGAGCTGTCAATCTTACGAGCCAGCAGCTGAGTGCTTTGTGTGCAGTTAGGGGAGTCATAGTGCCACTTGTGGCTGAGCAGCCACCTAATTCATCTCAGCCACCACACACTCAGACATCTCCAACTGAAGCATAGCAGCTACTGATTGCCTCAATCGATCTTTCCCCTTCTTCACCTCTCAGCACCAATGTGCAGATGAATATAGTCTAGGTAATGTTGACATTTCTTCTCGCTAGAACTTTTATTTGTACTGAAGATATAACAAAAAAAATATTTTGTATGTAAGCTTGGTTTAATATTTGGTTATGTTTTATGTTTTCACTTTTCGGATGTAATATTTTTTGTTTGTATACTAGAATGTTTTGACTTTTGTAATGAATGCTTAACGATTCTATTAGTTTTGATTATTTTGGATTTCTTGTTTTTTACAATATAAGATTTATTTATTAAAAATGCAAACATTATTGAGAAATTATAAACTATATTATCCTAGCTACAATTAATACAAAGCAACTTCTCTAGCTAGCAACAACAAAATCTGTTGCTAAACTAACACTTAGCCACATTTATATCCAAATATGTTGCTATGTTCGCTACAAAATTGTTAGGGGTAAACCGTAGTTATACTTTGTACCCAAATAGCTACACAAGATCCTTCGCTAAACCATCTAATGAGCAATGGAAGAAGTCGTAGCCATATCGTAACCATTGGCTGCGGAAGTTTCTCTTGCTAATCTGTCGCAAATGGGCAACAAAATAGCGACAAACCAATTTTAGCGTTGGCGCTGAGGTAACGAAATTAATTTGTCGCCATCTGTAGCCTTCCAAGTTTTTACTATGGATTGTGTCTTGTTGCTAAAAAAAAAAATGGTAGCTATTTCACTAAATTCTTGTAGTGCACTAACTATCCAAATTAACTATGTGAATTTCTTTTGGCACTTTTATTGCAAGTTTATGAACAAACTGTCTTTATTTTGTTAAAAAGCTTTTGAATTTTATCAAATTCTCTAAGCAATTGCAATGATTGAGGAATCTCCAAGAAAAACAACTACTAACAATCAAGGTTAAACATTTAGTGTAAAAGAAATGAGGTTTTCTTCACAAAACTGCAACTGTCACACTTCGAAAATACGCGGATCCTCTACTAGTACACTACATTTTTGTATGAGAAATTTGCCTAAGTAGGAAGAAAATACGTTGTATTTAGCTAACAAGGAAATAAGGTTTAACAAACTTTTGACGTTTTTTTAATACGATTTTAGCCTTACCAAATTTTTTAATAATTATGTTTGTTTTCTACTCTCTCTCCTTTCCTTTCTAGATCTTTCTCTCCTTCTCTTTTTCGAGTTTTCTTCTTTCTCTCTTCTCGTACGACGAAATCCAGAACAACATCATCAAATTTTTATGGATTGTAATGTTATATGATTCAAAGATAAAACATCTTAGATCATTCATCTATGTATTTTTTTCTGTTTCACTTGTGTATTTCTTTTCTCATTTTTTTTCTTTAATTTCTAGTTTTGTTTTCAAATCCACCATTACTATTAACTTTTTCAAAACTCTTCTCTCAATAATTTCAAATAGTTTCTTCAATCCTTGCCAATGATAAGTGCGTCTTCCGATCCTAGAGAACTAGGGCAAATCCTTTTTGGGTTCAACAAAACAGAGTTTTTCCGTACTCAGTTTCTGATAAAATGTGTTTGGAAGCTTCAAAGGAATATTTAAATCGAGATGATAAAGTATAATTTGGTATGTAGATCGAAGAACCCATATATTATTTTTGTTTAACAGTGCACATTTTATTTTAACATATTATGTATTTTAGTTAAGTGTTATATTTATTTGCAGTGCTCTAAAAATTTAATAACACACATAATGCTTTTGCAGAATTGAGCTCTAAAAAGTTTAGTAATGCACATAACATTCTGCTTATGTGTCGGTGGCCACAGAATTGAGCTCTGTTTAATCATGATTGTGGCCACTTACATAGTTATTTCTCATCGGCTGCATTGTTATGCTCATCCAGAAGAGTTCTAGTGCCTGGAAATTCCAATCGCATTGATCCACTTAAGCTTTTGATGATCAAGTTTAGCGAAGATGTACTTGACGATGGCCGGATAATTTCTAGGCGAAAATGTTTAATCTCAATGTTAAATTTTGTTGCTATGATCAGAAAACTCCTACATTTTAAAAATAAACACTAGAAATGTTTAGTTTTACATAATATATATTTATTACCAGGTTATTTTTACTTGTATCATGTTAAAAAGCATAATAACGCACATATTTTTGTATGATTTTATTTTGATTTATTCATGTTATCAATTTAACATCTTTAATACCGCGTCAAATATAAAATTAAATGTAAATATAGATATATGCATGTGATACAGTAGGTGTTAGCATGTTCCAAAAATAGATAACTCATTAACATAATGTATACCTTTAATATAATGTTTACAATAAAGAGATGTTGTTAGCCTTTAACAAAATCTCAACTACATCAACAGATTTTTGTACAAAAATGTTATCTTTACTACTAGTGATATGGTACAAACATTTTCATGTTAAATGTCACATTCGTCGCTCTGAAATCATTTTGTTTCTCCATTATCTCTTCTTTATTTTTTTACAAATAACCTCATAGTTATCTAACTAATAACTAATTTACCTTGTAAAACAATAACTTGTATATAAATCTATATAATTAATTATGATATAACAAATGTTTACTTGGTGCAAAAATATGTGACCATATATTCTTGAAATTCAAAAATAATGGTTTATTTACTAATAATTAATTTAACTTTTTTTAAAAAAAAAAGTTAGAGACAAATCTATATATCTAAATTTGATATAATAATTGTTTACTTGTTGCAAGAACATGTAACTAGTTAATGTAATATATATATAGATTTTGTGAATGGTTGGCCATTGACATAATTCTTAGATTCATATACTTTCTCTCAAATTTTTCATTTGAAATTTATCTGTACTAGGTTTTCAAGCCATGCGCACGCGCGGGGTTGTTTGCAACAACTTTTCCATTAAATTTTATTTATATTCGTTAATTTGAAATATATGATGCGTTTGTGTTAACATTTGGTTATGTTTTGAGTTATCCAACTACACATATTAAATATATGATCAATTTATTGTTTTTATTTTACATTAAAAAAATGTTAATTCCATATTTCATATCGAGTTTTCTCTTTCTAAAATGTAGCATGCTTTAGTCTACACTACAAGAAAAAACAAGTATTGCTACCATTTTTTTGTCACAATATCATAATATTTCGTCACAAAAACATTATTGTGAAAAATGATACGAATTACAAAACGTAGCAATGAATTCGTCACAACTCATTTTTAGTCTCAAAAACGTCACAAATGTTTGTTACGATTAACAATGGTAACAGTTTCATAAATTGTGACACAATTTAACAGTTACAGAAATGACACAATTGGTGACAAATTTTGTCACAAACAAGCCACAAATTCTGACAAAAAAAAGGTAGCATGCTGGCCACGAATTATTACCATATTTTAGTCAATAAAGTGTAACAAAAATGAGACCAGGAAAATGTTACAAATATGTCACAATTAGTGACTAAATTATAGTCATAGAATAGTCACTATTTGTTTTTAATTGTTACCCTTTTTCTTACTAGATGTGTAACAAATTGTGACGAACTATTACTTAATTGTCACCAATAAATATTCATCATTTTTAATTATAAAACAAAAGATAAAAGTTAAAATTATAAAAAAAACAATAATAAAATAGAAAATACTTAATTACTTAAAAATACAAAATATTTCAAAACAAAGAAAACTTACGAAAACAAATCCTAATAACATAACTTAAAAGAAATCCTAATATCACTTAAAAGGAAATCCTAATCATAACATAACAAAACAAAGAAACACAAACTTAAACACAATCCTAAGCGCCTTATGGAAACGTGAATGGTTTTGATGATGGAATTGGAATTAGGCATTTTGTCTTTCCAAACTCTCAAGTTTCTTCTCCAAAGCTTCAAGTCTCCTCTGAATTTGCAGATTCTCTTCACGGCTTTCTTTCAGCTCTGTTTCCATCTCTTGCATCCTTTGTGGACACATCTCTGGTTCTTCAAGTTGTGGTGCACTCGAAGAAGCTTCGCCAGCTAGTAAAACCTCACTACGTAGTGCTCCAAGTCCAAAGATGCCTTGGTTAGATACACCAGTAGCAGCCTAGAAGAAAAAAACCAAGAATATCTGAAAAGCAAATGCAGCATAAGCAAATGAAGAATACTCAAAGAAATACAGAAATACTTTCAGCTAATGAAATGTAATTAACGAGTAAATGAAAAGCAATCATTGGGTTTTGCATAAGAGTAATGAAGCCATAGATTGTTGGCTTCGACAGATTCATAAAATCCAACTGAGATTTCAATTAAGGATCAGTTTCAAAGCTTTACCTTGACATAAATTTCATTTTTTTCACGTAGGCCCAGATAATATCAAATCAAGACTCGATTTGCAAGAGCATTGCAATCGCAATGACTTGCTCATAAGGAGTGATGGAAAGGCACCAGTCCCAATTTTCAGATTACAAGGAGATGCCAAGAAAGTTCTTCTGGATTGGCTTGAAAAGGATGTTAAATTTCCAAATGGATATTCATCAAATTTATCTAACTGTGTTGATCTGGGGGAGGAATTAAAGTTAACCAGAATGAAAAGTCATGACTGCCATGTTTTAATGCAACGACTCCTTCCAATTGCCTTTTCCGAGCTGTTAGATGAATCTGTGCATAATGTGCTATCAAGTAAGTTCTAAACTCTCATTTAATTTATATTATTGTCTCTGCCCTTTTTATTGCTTTTATGTACGAGTCAATTACATCTATAGGCACTTTTGTCTTTTTTTTACACTTAAAGATACTTCTTGCTCCTAAAGGACTTTAGAGGGATAGAATGACCAAGAAACCCTTTCTTCTCTTCTTTTATTACAACTTTTGTTTACTTTTCCTTGTTTTACTTTATCTTTTATTTCCATCGTTTCACCGTTTCATCTTCTTTCGTCGGAGGAAGAAAACAATACAAAGGTAAGAAGAACAGATGTTGGATCTGGGAGATTTGTCTTAAAAAACTACTTTTTCCTACGTTGGAGGAAGAAGACCATTGCTAAGCTAAGAAGAAGAGTTGATGGATCTGAAAAAAATTATGTTGTTATTAGATGAATCTGGGTTAATTCGCGATCTGGAAAATTTTATGATGTTGTTAGAAGAAAAGCTATTGGATCTGGAAAACTTGCAGTTTCGTTGAAATTTGGAGAAGATGAATCTGGGTTAACTCGCGATCATGTCCACATCTACATGTCATGCAGTCGTGTACACGTCATGAGGCGCCCATCTGGACGTCTTTGTTTGGATAATTATTTTGGAATATGAATGGATATGGTATGACTCAAACCTCACCATCGAATTGGTATGTTTAGCAAGTTTCAAGAGTCTTATACGATCAATGTCCATACGATCATGCATGGGAGGCGTACAAGACTGCAATGCCGGCGGTAGGTAGTGTCGTATCTGGTAGCTGTGACACGAACATGGTCATTGGTGGACCGAATGATGTGGATGGGAACCGTGACTATGATAGACAGCAGTCCATGGACGGTGAACTCCACTGCCTAAGGGTGATATCGTTGGACTAAATCTTCTTTCATCAACATATATGATTTATTGTATACAAAAATCCACATCAATCAAGATTTTGTCATGGCTATACTATTGTATTTGAAAGTTATTGTGTTGGTAGCTTTAGCTTTGGCGTTTTACATCATTTCTCAACTTCATGTCTACTTTAACCTCAACTGTCAATACATTAGTGCTTTTGGGTGAGGCACCCCTCATTTTCACTTTTGTTTACAGTTTTAATTGTTTGGAATATAAACAATTTGTTTATAAGAAACATTACTTAGACTAAGTGATCTCTTATGCTAGTGCAATAGTTAAAGATAAAATGTTTAAATTTTTGTATCTTGATTGAGATGTATGCGTGTACATGACTGTGTGGACATGAAATCATGGATCTCTTCGTGATCTTAGTAGTTTTAATGGATCTCATAGACCTATTGCATTAATATTAGTTAATTGTTTTCTATATCCAAACGGATCCGTCCATATGGCTATGTCCAATGTTGTGTATGTACATGCATCCATTTTTAGGTCATCTTGGATGTTCAATATCCACTCACTCATATACAACAATCCATCCCATTATTATGTATTAGTGATAGGTGTAAAATTCTCCCTAAAATTAACTGCAAGTGTACAAAAAATTCTATGTCTATGTTATCTTGTCCACCGATTCGCTAGAAAGACAAAGATAATGAGAGAGCTAAATATGTCTATGTTATCTTGTCCACCCATTTATATCCACAATATCATGTCCACGAGATCATGTTGTTTTTAGCTCTATTGTTAACCATAATGCGTTTATGCATTCTATAAAACGTATATGTTGATAAGCGAAGATTGTGTCTACGATTTGATTTTCTTGATTGTATTCATGGTTCTATAAAACATATATGTTGATAAGAAATTCGCTAGAAAGACCAAGTTAATGAGAGAGCTAAATATGTATATGTTATCTTGTCCACAAATTCGTATCCACAATTATATATTAAGTTTTGGATAGACTGAGAACCAATTTTAGAACCATGTTTACACATTGGTATGAAAAAAGGTGTTATATATTCATATGGATACGAAGTATGGACATAAGCATATGAATACGGTTCTACAGAACAGTCTAGGAGATAAACAATAACTCAACAAACACTCACTCAGTTGTTAATTATCTTTGTATTCGCAAAATCATGTACGCGTAAACATGTCCACACACACATCTCATTCAAAAACAATTAATTATTAACACCTTTGTTCATACCAATGTGTACACGACTGCGTGGACATGTAGCTGTGGACATGATCACGAGTTAACAAGGACTCATCTTCTCCAAACTTCGATGAGATTGAAAAATTTCCAGATCCAATCGCCAACAGTAATTTTTTCGATGAATTCGACGACGAAATCTTTCAAATCGATTATCAATACAAAATTTGACGATGAAATCTCATAGTATACTTGTCTTCAGTTATAAAGACAAATCTCTCCCAGATTTACAACCGTTCTTCAGTTACTCTGGCAAGTTCATCCGCTACAGAAGAACACAGAGTTACTGCGGCGAGCATGGTAAAAAAGTAAAATTATAGCTGTAGTTACAAAATTAAAGTAAGGACAAGTCTGGATTTTCCCTTTGTTCCTTAAGGTTGTAACGACCCAAACCCACCGATATTGGGAAAGGCCCAATTTACTCCTCAAGCCCATTTGGAGTAAACCCTAGCCACGCCTCCTTCTTCGTCCTCGCATAAAAACCAGCCGCGAGAAGACCAAACGTCACAAGCTCTCGCCGACGCCAAACGCTGCCGGAATTCAGAGAGACCTGCCGCCGCCGTTGATCCCATCGCCACTGTCCGTGAAGCCGAGCCCTCCGTTGACCACCGTAGAGTTTCACCTGTGAGAAGGAGTCGACGTGATCGAGTACCGAGTCGTCGCCTCTTCGATTCCGCCGTCACAGACCACCACCGTCACCGATCTACTGCTCCGAGTCACCGTCGTCGTCTCTGACTCGTCGTTGGTAAGCGGATCACCATTTGTTCTTCATCTTCTTCACCCTCGTCATTGGCCAAGAGTTGTTCATGACCTCCATTGTTGTTACAGCTGTACCTTAAGCCCCAAGCTTCCTCTCTCTCCATCATTGGTCGTTGATTTGTTGTCTAGTGCTACGTAAGGTGAGTTGGACTCATGGTTCTTCTTATGTCTTCTTCCCGAGAGTACGTCATGGGCATGACGTGTTGTTGTGATGTACATTTGTTTCTTCAGGCTCAAGTCATCTGCTGAGAGAGTTGTGTTTACGTGAAAGGAAGGTGTTAGAGTGCTGAGTCGTCGTTTCATTTCCGTTTTAGTCTCTAGCCAAAAGAGACTAAGGTGAGGACCTTGCGGTGATTTCCATTACATATGTTCATAATTATGAACATTTGTTTAGTCTTAGGTTTTAATACATATACCTACGTATATATATAAATAAATATACGTATTTGAGTGCTAAATATAAATATATTATTATATATAATATTAATGATTGTGTGAGAATAACCTAGATGTGGTTAAGTTGTTTAAAAATGAATACGGTTGATTGATGATTGAATAATGTGTGATGATGCGTGATTTAAGAGTGAGATCGATTGCGAGTCGATAAGTTAGAAATGTCATTTTAGACATGTGGCGGAGATATTCGCGGTAACGGCGATCCGTTTGTGTGTTGAGCTATGATGACGACTCTTGCGTGGGCGGTCATAGTTCAGAAAAGGGCTGACGAGCCGGGTGCTGCATGGGCGTAGAAGGGTGGATTCCTGGAGCCGCAAGAGATGCAGGGACACCATAGTATTTTAGGACTTGATCCTTGTTGTAATGGCGCGTCACTAGGGCGTGATGCTTTACTGTGTGTTTTAACTTAAGATTAAACATCTGTCCGTGGTTATGAATGTGTGTGGTGGATCTAGTGAGCTCTAAGGCTCACACTCACTGAGTAATCCAAATTACTCACCCCTCCCTTTTCAGGTGAGCGTGCGGAGTAACCGGAGGAGTCAAATCGGTGTGGTGCTGTTTTTGGGAGCAAGGGCGGATTTTATTTAATTATATTATTTATTATGTTAAACTAAAAATACTTTAGTTGGTTTTATTTAATAATGGTTTAAAGACGGTTTTATGTTGAAACGGTTTAAGTTGGTTTAATAAGAGTATTATTTGAACTCGGAATTGGTTACTTGTGGTATAAGTTATTGAGGTGTTATGACTTCTTAAAGAAGGAAGAAACGGGTGTTACAAGTTGGTATCAGAGCAGGTTTGCCAAACCGGTTCTGTCCCGGGAGGCGGTTTTCAAAAAAAAAAAAAAAAAAAGTTTTCTTATTTTCGGATTATTTTCCGGATTTAAAAAAAAAAATGGGCGGGAAATTTTCAAAAGAGTTAAAAAGGTACCACCGGTATTGCACTTCTTTGGTGTTTTGTTGTGGTGTTGAGTTGTGAAGTTGGTTTGAGGCTATTTGATTCCAAGGAGTTGACCATTGTTGTGTTATGTTCATATGCCACCAAAGGGAAGAGGACGTGGAAAGGGACGTGCCGAAGCTCGTGGAGGAGCTACTACCCGTCAGGGAGCAAGAGCTGCAGCCCGAGAAGCGGTGTCAGAAAGTGTGCATGATGGAAACAGTGAGCAAGTGAATGCCGTTGCAGCTGCAGCAGCCGCTCAGGAAGATGTTCGAGCTGCCGAACATGCTGCTGTGTTGGAGGAACTTCAGAGGTACCAAACTCAGTTTGGAAATTTGGGTGTAGATCCAGTGGGAGGAGTAGGAGGAGTAGATGCACCGCCTCATGAAGCACCGAATGTTGCTGCTCCGGTCCACCGACCGCCGCCGCCGCCGCCACCTCCAGTGCAAGCTCACGGGTGGCAGATAACATATTGGGAGGCTATGGGCCATATGAAGAGCATGGGTACTGAAACTTTTGGGGGTAAGTCAAACCCCACAGCTGCAGATGATTGGAGGAAAAAGTTAGAGCGCAACTTTGATGTTGTGAGGTGCCCGTATGAGTATCGTAAGGATTTGGCGGTTCAATATCTGAAAGAGGAGGCACTTGTTTGGTGGGAAGGTGTGACAGAGAAACTGCGCTATGAGCTGAACTACGATGACTTCAAGAACGAGTTCATGAGGAAGTACTTTTCCCGTGAAATGATGAACAAGATCAATAATGAGTTCAAGGACATTTCTCAGGGAAACCGGGATGTCAGGCAATATGAAGCGGAGTTCAACCAGTTGAGAAGGTTTGCGGGCAGATACTTGGACGAGGAGGACCTAATCCGTAGGTTTCTGAAAGGAATGCGGGTCGAGTTGAGGAACCGCTGCATGCTTAAGGAATACATGTTTCTGGAAGACTTAGTCGAGACGGCTGCACAGCAGGAACTAGGATTGGAAGAGGATTTTAAGCAGAATAAGAGTGTCCAAGCAAAGACTGGGAAGAGGAGCTGGGATACTGCAAGTGCCGGGCCATCAACAACCCCTATTATTGTGTGCAAGACCTGCGGGAAGAGGCACCTCGGGACTTGCAGGAATGATATCACTTGCTTTAAGTGTAATCAGCGTGGGCATTATCAGAAGGAATGCCCTGCAAATGGTCAAGTAAGGGGTTGTTACCGCTGTGGAAAGACTGGTCACATCGCTAGAGACTGCATTGTTCGCCTACTGGGCCAACAGCAAGGAGACCGCAACCGTGAGCAGTTACCGCCACCGCCGAAGAGGCAAGCTGTAGCCCCGCGCGTGTTTGTCGCTGGAGACCACAATGGCGCTGAACCGATTGCTGGTAAGTAATGTTTTATTTTTACTTCTATCATGCTTACGAAATATGGAAAGTTGTGTGTGTGGTTGAAAAGCATGCTTAGACGTAAATAAAATATGTGTAGGATCGGTTTTGGTTGGGGGTGGGCTAGCCTTTACGCTTTTTGATACCGGTGCAACACATAGCTTTGTGAGCCCGGGACTGGTAAAGTATTGGACTTTTGCGGGTACGTTAATTCCAAGGAAGAGAGGAATTCAAACGGCGGGCACAGAGAAAGTAGAATCCAGCGGGATTTACGAGGAGGTGCCAATTTCAATTCAAGGTGTGGAGTTGATGGAAAATCTTAGAGAAATGGAGTTAAATCACTACGACGTGGTTCTCGGGATGGATTGGTTGACCCAACACAAGGCCGTGTTGGATTGTCAACGGACACGGGTTCATATCCCTAGAACGGAATGACGGTTGGTTTTTCAAGGAGTGAAAACAACCAGCGGGATTCCTATGATCTCGATGCTTCACGCAGAGGGGTTTCTGGAAAAAGGAAATGAGGCTTATTTGGCAACAATCTCCATGGTGGGAGAAAAGGCGGAAAAGGATTTGGACACTATACCAGTGGCATCGGAGTACAAGGACGTATTCGAATCATTGAGTGGACCGCCACCGACAAGAGGAGACCCGTTCACAATAGAGTTGGAGCCGGGAACGACACCTGTATCTAGAGCGCCATATCGTCTCGCACCCGCAGAAACGGCGGAGTTGAAAAAGCAGTTGGAGGATTTGACGGATAAAGGATTCATCCGTCCGAGCAGTTCACCGTGGGGTGCACCAGTTCTTTTTGTGAAGAAGAAAGATGGCAGTTTCCGACTCTGTATCGACTACCGCGGCCTGAACAAAGTTACTATCAAGAATAAGTATCCGCTACCACGGATTGACGAGCTGTTGGATCAACTGCAAGGAGCGTCGTGGTTCTCAAAGATCGATTTGGTGTCTGGTTATCATCAAATCACGATAGCGGAAGAAGATGTTCGGAAAACAGCTTTTCGAACCCGGTATGGGCACTACGAGTTTGTGGTGATGCCATTTGAATTGACTAATGCGCCAGCAGCATTTATGACGTTGATAAACAACGTGTTTTGGGAATACTTGGATAAGTGTGTAATTGTCTTCATTGATGACATATTGATCTACTCGAAGAGTAAGAAGGAGCACGAGTGGCATCTGCGAGTTGTCCTGGACAAACTAAGAGAGCAGAAGTTGTATGGAAAGCTGAGCAAGTGTAGTTTTTGGCAGAGAGAAATTGGATTTTTGGGTCATATTGTTTCGGAGGCCGGAGTGGCTGTGGATCCCGAAAAGATTACCGCCATCTCAGAGTGGCCGACACCGAAGAATGCCACAGAGATTCGAAGTTTTCTTGGATTGGCGGGTTAGTACCAAAAGTTTGTTAAAGGGTTCGCGAGCATAGCCAAGCCAATGACAAGTCTGACTGGTAAAGACGTAAAGTTTGAATGGTCGGAGGCATGCTCAAAAAGTTTTGAAAAGCTAAAGGAGCATTTGACACAGACGCCTATATTGGTTTTACCAAAGATGGGAATTCCATACGTGGTTTTCACAGATGCATCAGGATCTGGTCTAGGATGTGTGCTGACACAGAAAGAGCGTGTGATAGTTTATGCATCTAGACAGTTACGGAAACATGAGGTGAATTACCCGACCCACGATTTGGAGTTAGCAGCAGTTGTTTTTGCTCTTACGATTTGGCGGGCTTATCTTTATGGAGAGAAAGCACAAATAATGACGGATCACAAGAGTTTGAAATATATTTTCACTCAAGGAGAGCTGAATCTAAGGCAACGCAGATGGGTAGAGAAATTGGCAGATTATGATTTGGAGATCACTTACCATCCGGGAAAGGCTAATCAAGTGGCCGATGCTTTGAGCAGACGCAGAGTCAATGCTTCGACTACAAAAGATGTACAAGAGCTAATTGCGACATTAGCTAGTCTGAGTTTATGCGCTACTACAGTAGGAGAAAATTCTTTGGGATTAGAAGCTGTAGACCAAGCAGACTTATTATGGAGAATTAGAGAGACTCAGAAAGATGATTTTGCTCTACGGAAATTGGTGAACAAAGAAGTGGCTGGATATCACACTGATGGTAATGGAACATACCTGTACAGGAACCGGGTATGTGTCCCCGAGAACGAGGAACTTAAAAGACAGATTTTGCGTCAGGCACACCAGTCTCGTTTTTCTGTACATCCCGGAAACACAAAGATGTATCGAGACTTGAAGCAGTATTATCATTGGGGAGGCATGAAGCGAGATGTCGCTACTTGGGTATCACAGTGTCAAACATGTCAGTTGGTGAAAGCAGAACACCGAGTTCCTAGTGGACTTTTACAGAATTTGCCACTACCTGAGTGGAAATGGGATATGGTGACAATGGACTTTGTTACCGGACTACCAAGGACAAGTAACGGCAAAAATGCGATTTGGGTAATCGTAGATCGGCTACCAAGTCTGCTCATTTTCTACCAATCAAGAAGACCGATGGTGCGGATCAGTTGGCTCAGAAGTATTTGGATGTTATTGTTAAACTACATGGAGTGCCGGTGAGCATTGTGTCAGACAGAGACCCTAAGTTCACATTCGATATTCTGGCAAGCATTTCAAAAGGCATTGGGTACAAAGGTACGCCTAAGTACGGCCTATCATCCACAGACGGATGGTCAGTCTGAAAGGACAATTCAGACATTGGAGGATATGCTGAGAGCATGTGTCCTAGACTGGGAAGGCAAATGGGGAAAATATTTGCCACTAGCTGAATTTGCCTACAACAATAGTTATCACTCTAGCATTGAAATGTCACCATATGAGGCTCTATATGGAAGACCGTGCCGTACGCCCCTATATTGGACCGAAGTTGGGGAGCGCCTAGATTTAGAGCCGGAAATAGTCCAAGAGACAGTAGAGCAAGTGGAGTTGCTTCGGAGTAGACTTAAGGAGGCGCATGACCGTCAGAAAAGTTAAGCGGATAAGCGCAGAAAGGATCTTGAATTTGCAGTGGGCGATGAAGTGTATTTGAAAATGAGAACGTTTAGAGGGAATGACAAAACTCGGAAACTGAAAAAGCTTAAGCCGAGATATATGGGGCCGTATGTGATAACAGAGAGAATTGGTGCAGTGGCTTATAGGCTGGAGTTACCGCAGGAGTTGTCAGACTTTCATAACGTATTTCATGTTTCGGTACTAAGGAAAGTGGTTAGAGAACCGGAGTTAATTATTTCATGTGTGATGATGCGTGATTTAAGAGTGAGATCGATTGCGAGAGTGTGTGTAATTTTGTGTGTAATTTTACGTTTTCACGTTTTTCTTTCCTTGCAAATCATGTGTGTAATTTTAATGAACCTGTTTACTTGACTTACAATAAATGTTCCGAGAGTGTTTGTGCCTATTTGTTGTGGTCTGAATTGTTTTTCAAACTCAAATTGTCCTCAAATGCAGAACCAAAACGCCGGTCCATCAAACAGTGCATAACCGTGACGACAGCAGCGTCGCATATGTTAAGACCTATGTGCCAAGCAAAGAAGAATGCCTAGCAGACATCAGGAAGAATCAAAGGAAAGTTCAACGCGAAACTAATGGTCGCCAGGGCTAAGGATCAGAGGGAAAGGAAACTGGCCCCATCTCAAAAGTCTCCGTTCGTGGGAAACGTTACGGTTAAGGAGCTCATACGTAACAAGAAGCAGCGCTTAGCGGTCTACAATCCGTATCTGCCCGAAGACAAGAATGTTCGGAAGGAACTAACGGCGTTCCTGAAGTCTACAGCGTAAGTAACCCTCTGGAAAACTTCTTTATAATTCCGATTATTGTGATTAGTATACTAATTACACACTTTTGCTTTAGTGGGTATCCAAAGCTTGACAAGGATAAGTTTCCCGTGTGGTATTGGTGGTGGGAACTCATTACGCAGCCGCAATGGCTATCGGACTCGGTAAGCATTAGTACACCATTTAGAGAGGTCTACGTTTAGACCTCGATCGTAGACCTCTGTCATAATTCTCTTTTGTAGACCGCATATTGAGGTTTAGTGTAATTGTAATCTAATATTCAATCTTTTTCTTTTCATCAGCACATGGACGCGGTCATCAATCTGCTGCGGCTCAGAATGAAAGAACAACCGCACAGCTTTAGAAGTGACCGGCTGTGTCTCATCGATAGTGGTCTTAGTCTGTTTTGGACGGCAAAGTATGACGATTTCAAGAAGTCTGAGCCTAATGTCTTCGGACTTGGGAAAGTACCTCCCACCTGACGCACTTGACTATTTCCAAGGCACGAAACCAGAATTCTGCCAGACGAATAAACGATGGTGCAGGGACATTGACGAGATATATCTCCCGTTTAACATTGGGAAGAACCACTGGGTTGCTCTATTCATCTCCTTACCGAAGAGGCACATCACGATCTGGGATAGTTATCCCTGCCGTATGGACGATGAAGAACTGGAGACGAGGTGGAACCCGTGGCTGTGATGATGGCGTACATGTTACGCGAGATGGCACTAGTGGAAGAACGTGACAACTATCCGTTCGATAAATTTACTCACGAACGTATTGCTGGTGTGCCGGAGCAAGAGGGTCCCGGGGATTGCGGTGTCTACTGTCTGAAATACATCGAGTGTCACGCAACTGGAAACGCTTTCATCAACGCAATTCATAGTAGGTATGCTTGTGACATTTTCAAGGAGACCGATTGCAAGGGACCGAGGATCCGTGACTGGGACGGTATTGATCCTTACGACGGGAGATCCTGATCAAATCTAACTTTAGGAACGGCATCAGAGTGGGTGAGTTTTATTGTGCCCCACTAGTAACGGTGAAAGGGAGGGTTTATATTTTTTTTGGCCCCTCTTGACAACATTTATTTTGTATAACTAGTTTGCATAACTATTTTGGATGTAACACAAACTGAAACGCAATAAAAACCGTCTTTAGTAAGCAATGAAATCCGTCTTTTGTATTACGATCTCCGAGAACAAAGAAATCATCACTTAGTAGTACTTAAGTAATTGTACCAGACTATGAAAATAAAATTTAGTGGAAAAAGTTGTACGAAAGCAATAGTAGACCGCCCGTGGACACCTCGTAGACCTCTACGAAAACAAAAGTAGACCTCGAGTGGACGCCTCGTAGACCTTAAGTAATTGTACCAGACTATGAAAATAAAATTTAATGAAAACGAATGGAACTGCGAGACGCACGAAGCTTACACAGTACGGGCGAGTATGTCCTGGTTGTTTGCATTTGGAGCAGCAGTATGCTTTGGGCATCTTCCTTCGTCTTTTGTCTTTCTTCCTAGACTTCCTAGAAATTTCCAGCCATGACTGCCATCTTGATTTCTTCTTACGACCAGGCCCATCCTTTGGTTTGGGAGGTCGGCACCGCTCGCTCTTTTTCTTGTGGTTGTCATTTTCCTCCTCAGGATACACTGGATGGGCGTAGGTCGCATACAAGGAATCCTTTGAGTATGTGCAGCATGTGTAGTGCGAGACGTGCACGCCAGCCGACGCAAGCGCTGCAAGGACATGTGTACAGGGAATTTTCTCGACTTGGAACACTCCACACTCACATTTACCCTGTTCTAGATCAACTACGAAGTGAGAACGTCCAGCTGTAACATGGAAACGTATTGCATCTATTCGCTGAACATCCATTGATTGAGCGTAATGTTCACGGATGGCGAGTATATACTCAACTCCCTTGCTGTAACTCGTCTGAAGACTCAAAGCATCTTCACGCCTTTTGTAGAACCACCGCCCTAACTTCTCTCTAATAAACTGGAGTAGAGAGGGTATGGGAAAACCCCTTTGCCTTTTTAATAGCCGAGTTGATAGATTCAGCAATGTTGCTCGTCTTGATGTTGTACCTATCACCGGGAAAATGAACTCTAGACCAAAGCTTAGGGTCGGCCAACTCCATGTATGCTGCGAGGTCTGGGTGCGCAGCTCTTAGTGAGTCCATGCACCGATTATATTCAGCTAGAGTGTGGGCATAAGCAGCTCCTTTAACCAGATACATAAGCTCCTTACCACCATATGTCTTGATAATATTTTGCTGAAGATGGTAGTAGCATATTCCTCTAGTGACCCATGGAAGCACATTCACACAAGCATTTTCAATGGACAATGCTCTGTCTGAAACAATGACCATCGGATGTGGTGAGAAACAAGTCTGTAATTTATCAAAAAACCATCCCCAAGACTCATTAGTCTCCGCATCAACAACACCATATGCTAGAGGAAATACTTGAAAGTTTGCATCTTGTCCACATGCCACGAGTAATGTGCCTCCGTATTTCCCAGTAAGGTGTGTTCCATCAACCACAATAACCCTCTTCAAGTACTGAAATCCCGCTGTTGAAGCCGCTAACGCCACAAAACAGTACTTGAAGCGATCTTCTTCATCACAGAGCAGGTGTGTTATAGTGCCAGGGTTTGCTTGCTTCAGTCTTCTAAGGTAGGAAGGAAGGTTAGCATATCCATCTTCTGGAGTTCCCCTGACAAATACTTGAGCGAATTTGAGAGCCCGGTATGACGTTGTATAGGTAAGATTCAGACCAAACATGATCCTCATCGAATCTGCAATTTGTCGAGGGACAATTCCATCTATGAGTCCAGTCCGCTCCACAAACAATTGTCCAATATATCTTGGAGTAGCTCGTCTACGGTGAGCTACACGGTCCATAATTGAACAAGTGTGACCCTTTACGTACTTGGTAACCCAGAAGCAATCCGGTTCATTCTTCACAGCTGCTCTCAACTTCCATGCACATCCATTGACAACACATTTTGCCACAAACAATCCGTAGTGGACTTGTAGACTTTAAATGCGAATCTTGCCATCACAGCCGTCAGTCGCAACTCAGAAAGAAGGGCTTCTTTAGAGGCATAGCTGTGATTTACCAGAATAGTGTCACACCAAGTGCCTGTGAACCCTCCATTTCCACCATTCCAAACACCTCTACGGAGCCTTTCACGGAAAGACAAACTCTCTTCACCCTCTTCCTCATCTTTCACCTTGCCATACTTACTATAATCTGCATCGATATCGTCGGGGTTGTCGACATCATCAGCACTATCATTGTCATGAGTATCATCAGATTCATCTTCTGAATTTACATCCCATGCTTTGTCATTCCAGTTTACATCATCAGACTCGTTATCATCCCAGCCTTCATCACCGAATTCTTCTTCCACGTGTTCTTTATCCACCTCTTCAGACTTTTCTTCTTGGACACACTCATGTATTGGTTCGTTGTAGTTCCTTCCCATACCAACGCGGGTCGAGACGCAAAGACGGACCACATGCTCCTTACATAACTCCACCAAGCTCCCAACTTGTCTGTCGTTCGTCACATACATAGGAGGTGAATCCGTTGGCAATTTCTCCATCATAGCAGCTGGTAATGGATATGACAACTCCAGCAGCTCGCCATTAACTTGCAACATGTAGTCGTTCACAACCATTTCAACCAGCTCTTCATGTTTACAATCATCCTGCAGGTAGAACATTCTACCTCCTCTCGTTTTATCAACCTCAAAATACCATTTTCTGTCTCTGATAGTCCACGCTCCATACACGGATGCCAAACAAACCATGATCTGCATGAAAACCAAAGGGAAAACACATTAATATATATTGATGGATGCCCTGTAGACGGAAACGTTAGACCTCCACGGCTGCGGTCTACAGAGTTTAACCAAGTTACCAAATTTAACCAAAAATCTAATACAACCTTCATTACATAACATTAGCATGCAAAACTCTCATAGGGACAAGTTATTAGGCTAACAGAAGTATTTATGAAAAAAAATTAACAAAAACAATTTTAAATTTTCGCAGAAAATCGATTTTAAAAAACGGAAAAAATGTAGACCTCCAAACTAGATCGTAGACGTAAACCTACAAAGAGGTCTAAAAAAGGTTAGTTTTGCAATTGACCAAGGGAAGACTTTTTTGAGATCTACAAATGCGGTCTACAAAAAAAGAGGTTAGTTTTGCAATTCATCCAAAAAATTTGGGTAGACCTCACGAACAAAATAGACCTCAACCTGTAGTCTAGAAAAATTATACGGTCTACGGGGAGGTCTACGAAATCTGTAGACCTCAGACAGGTTACTTTTGCAATTGTTTGAAATTTTTTTCCACCTGTAGACCACTATCGTAGACCTCCTATTATTTTGCGTTGACCAACTTTTTAAGGTAGACCTAAGACTGAGATCTAAAACCTATGTAGACCTCTGACGTAGACGTCAGCTTAAAAATTTGTTTGTTATAGACCACATTAAGAGGTCTAAGGTAAAAACCAGAATTTCAGTCAATTGCAAAACTAACCTCTTTGACCAATAGACCTCATCTGTAGACCTAAAAAAAAAAGCCCTCCCTTGGTCAATTGCAAAACTAACCTGTTTTCAAAATAGACCTCTGCTTGAGGTTTACGATATTTTTTTTGTTTTCAAAGGGATTATGTAGAACTCTCTACGCGGTCTAACTCCACAGATTTGTCTTAGTCAATTGCAAAACTAACCTCTGCGTTGACCTATAGACCTAACCCTGAGATCTACGATATCGACTCAGATCTGAAAAAACGAAAATGGAGTAAACCACAACCTGGCCGTCGTCTTTAGGGCCGCCGAGGGATGAAACTTTGTCTTTAAGCCTTCACAACCGTTCGGCGGTGGTGAGGAAAGCCACAAACCCGATTTTGAGAAAATCAAGAACTTGAAATATGAAAAGTAGAATTAGAGAGTTTTTGGGATGAAAATGTGGAGAAAATGATAGTGTTAGAGTGTATGGGATGTGCAATTATGTTTGGAGTATCACAATTACTAGTATCAAGCATTAAAAGCTTGAAGTTAGTTGAAAATGGTGGTTGAGTTCATTGATGAGAGTGGCAGTTTCGTGAATAAGTGTAGAGGATGAGGTTCTGTTGGTCTTCTGGTCGGAACGTAGACCTCAGCCGTAGACCACAGGAAAAAAGTAATGGCATTTTCGTTATTATCTGGACAAAACTGGGTAAAGCTAAAATGAAAAAAACAGCAGGTTACTTTTGCCATTGACTTCAAATTGTGGGTTAGAAGTGCAAGAATCCCTTGTTTAAAGGGGTTGTTTCACATGTAGACCCAAAATTGTGGTCAAATGCAAAATAACCTCTGTTTTTTTCATTTTAAGTTTGTCCAGTTTTTTCAATTAATTACGGGAATGCCATTACTTTTTCGATTGGTAGACCGATATTTAGGTCTACCAAATCTGCTGAAAGACCAAACACCCCTCATCTTCTACATTTAATTGCCAAAAAGCCATATCATCAATGTTGACAACCACCATTTTTACCCAATTTGGAGCTGTTAATGCTCTGAAAACTCACTTTAGAGCTAGCATTGCTCCTTCTTTCATCTCACAAACTCTTATTTTTCCATTTTCTCTCCATTTTCATCCCAAAAACTTAAAAGAAAACTCAAATCTTGGGTCTTGGCATTTCCAATTGTTTAGCTTACAGTGATGACTGGAACTCGTAATTGAAGACATAAATTGAAGTTATCAACCATCGAAGAGACTTTCTCCGACGGCCAAGTAACTTTTCTTTCAAAATTTTAAGAATTTCAGTTTTGGTCTGCGAAGGTAGACTGAATTGTAGGTCTACCATTACATAGTAGACCTGAGTTTAGGTCTACTGGTCAACGCAGAGTTGACTGTACCATTTCCTTTGCAAACAAAAAAAATGAGTGGTAGACCTACACTTAGGTCTACTCCACGTGGAGGGTTAGTTTTGCAATTGATTGAGAAAAATGTTTTTTTTTAGGTCTACCTTGTCGGTCTACTCCACGTGGAGGGTTAGTTTTGCAATTGATAGAGAAAAATGTTTTTCGGAGGTCTACCTCTTAGGTCTACCTAAAAAAAAAAGTTGGTTTTGCCGTTGACTCAAGTTTGACTTTCCTCAAAAAGGAGAGATTTTGTGACATTGAGGTCTACCGTCTGGTAGACTGCAGTTGAGGTCTACTGGTCAACGCAAAAAACTGAGGTCTACCACGGAAGTCTACCCGAGGAAAGTCAAACTTGAGTCAACGGCAAAACAAACTGTTTTCGGTAGGTAGACCTAAGGCGTAGACTAATTAAGAGGTCTACTTTTTTTTGTAGACCGATTGAGAGGTCTACGTTTTCTGGTAGACGTATACGGTAGACCTCGTGTAAAAGTCAACGTTTGGTCAATTGCAAAACTAACCCTCCACGTGTAGTAGACCGACAAGGTAGACCTCCAAAAAAACATTTTTCTCGATCAATTGCAAAACTAACCCTCCACGTGGCCGTCCACGTGGAGCAGACCTAAGTGGAGGTCTACCATGAACGTCTACTCCGAACGTCTACGTTTTAGGTCTATTATTATGTGTTTTTTAAAATGTAGTTTTCCTTTCAATATATCAAATATTTTGAAATTTTCTCGAACAATTAGTTGTTTTTATTTGTTTATTTGCTTCTGTGTGAGTTTGAAATGTTCTTTCGGCGTAATTAAGGTTATATTCGGTTTTCTTTTGAATTAGGTAACTAGCTTATTTTTCTGGTCGACCAAATTGTGGGTCTACCTTGTCGGTCTACACCTTCTGTCTACTAACCATTTTGTGATCTGGTTTATTTTTGTTGCAGGTAATGGTTTGTCTAGCTTCCGTTTATGGAAAATGGATGGTGATGGAAGACAAGTCATGGCATTTTGAGATGGACAAAGGAAAAGGAGGGAGAATGTTCTACTTACGGGATGGTTGTACACATAAGGAGCCTCTTAGAATGGAACAAGCTGACTATATGTTGGATATGGAAGCAGACATGGTGGAATTATCTTATCAATTACCCAATGTGATGCTCCATCAAATACCCTCAGACTTTCCTCATATGTACATCACCAACGAGTAGGTTCATAGCTTGATAGAGTTTATAGTTGTTCGAAGTGCAGCAACCGGGACATATCCGCCTTCATTGCGTAAGCTAATGACAACTCACAGTGTGTTCATGGTTTCTGTTTTTTTTATTACATGAGTTTTATAAAATTGGATTTTGAACTGATGTAGATGAACAACACAGAGATAGACTGAAAATAAGGTCTACTTTGGAAAGGTAGACTAAATATGAGGTATAATTCGGAGAAGTAGACTGATAATAAGGTCTACAAATGCAATCTACAACTGAGATCTACGTAGTAGATCTACTTTGTGCTATTTTCAAGTTTTTTATGTAAGTTTTCAGTTAGACTTAATCTCTTTGAAGAAACAAAACCTATATTAATAATAAGTCATGTATTGATCTCTTTCAATAAACAAAATTTGTGTATCAAATAAGTGCAAATATCAAAAGAGATCATGACAATAATAATGAAAGTTTTTTATTAGAGAAGCAAAGTGTTACAATCAAAATTGAAAAGAAAAACTGAAATCCAACAAGTAACATGAGGCCTACTTTAAAAAGATAGATTAAAAATAAGGTCGACGATGAAGATCTACGTAGAAGGTCCACACCAGCGGTCTACGTAGAAGGTCCACACCAGAGGTCTACGTAAAAAGTCTACAGAACCTTTTTCTTTTGGAGATTGTTATTCCCATAGAGGAGAGGCCTCTCATCAGCAGCTTCTGTAGTAAGACCTTCTCTGCTACAAGTCAGAGTAATGAAACACAAATCTTAAGTTTAATGAAAGAAATAAGACTAGAAATTGAGATTTTTCTGGAAACAGAAATAGAGAATTTCTCTAAACTTTGGAGCTGATTTGCAGATGAAATATACCTCTGAATGGACAACTGAAAGAAGATCTGAAAAGTTGGGTTGGAGATCTTCAAAACCGCATGTAGATCTACTCCTAGTGACTTACGAATCGTCAGGAAATTGCTTCACAAAACCTTCACAAAAATAAATTGATATCCTAAAACAGATCTGACGTCACAAGAAGAAATATCCATAACTCTCTGAATATAACTCGGTTTACCGTAATTTTGGATGTTATGGAAAGCTGAGAAAATGATCTTTCCGATGGTACCAAAATCAGCTTCTGATACTTTATGAAACGGTTGGAAATCGCCCCGTAATTGCTGGAGGAGAGAGCTGGCGGGAGGGAGGGTCGTGGGAGTCAAGAGGAGAAGTCTTCTTGAGCAGATCTGAAGGGGAAAAAGCCAACTGCGGCGGTTCTAGATCTGGATCTGGAGGACACAGATGAATGGTGGTGGTTCAAGGAGAGGGAGGCGCCGTTTGAGAAAAGAGAGTTATTGTTAAAGCTCAAATCTACAAAGAAAAGAGAGTTTAGATCTGCAAAACCAACAAAAAGAAAGGGAGCTCAGATCCACAACCAAAAGAAACGAAGATAAACATGTTATGCATAAGGAGATTCTCCTTCATCCTGAGGAACCAAAGGAAGAACCTGCGAAGATCTCATCGGCAACCGCCGCAGATCAGATCTCAAGCACCGATGGCTCCACAGACGAACGCCGGAGAGAGAGAGAGAGCGAGAGAGAGGCGAGCGCCGTTTAAGAGAGGGGTTGGTTTTTTATTTTTAACAAAATTAGGGTTTCTTGTTTCTTTTATATCATGAGATAAATATTCCGGTTTAATAAAAATTCCGGTTCAATTAGATTTAGGTCTACCGCTTCGATCTACTCGAATTGTCTACCGATTTAGTCTACCACGAAATTACCGAAACGTCGATTCAATCTCAGCCGTCGGTTTGAAACTTCGGGATTCCCGCTAGGTTAAAACGGTTGGTAGACCTTCACTTCCGTCTACTCTATTAGTCTACCTGTTAGGTCTACTTTACCCTAAACCCTATATCGAACAATTTAGATGCAATTTTGCAACGATTTGCTTGCCATATTGTCAATTTACAATGTATATTACAAATAAACGAACATTGAATCGTAAAACCAATCAAAAACAATTATTCATCTAAATTTTTTCAAAACCCTACAACTTACACCATTAAACCCTAAACAATCTACTCAAACTCTTATCCTTATGAACTATTTACATATGATATTTATAGATTCATGAGTTTTTATGAAATTTCATTTTTAATATATGTTAAATGTCTATTATTTCGTTATTTGTGAAACAAATATTTCAAATTATTTTTTAAATTTTTCTTAATTTAAATTTAAGATTTGATGATTTAGTAGACCTACTTGGTAGACCTCTCATGGTTTTATAGGCTTTTAACCTAATTTGTTTTTTTTTCATAGTTCAGTTGGTTCAAATCTATGAAATTATATTTTAGATAGATGCAAGTTGTCTGTATTGTAATTATGTATAAATAATTTTCCTCAAAATATTTTTTTTTCAATTTTTATAATAAAAATTTAAATTTAATGATATAGTAGACTTACTCGGTAGACCTCAAACATTTTTATAGATATTAACCTATGTCTTTGCTTATCTATAAATGATTCATTTGTATGCATTTATATTTTTTGTAGATGATAATGTCTATATTAGAATTATTCATACTTGTTTTTGTATAAAAATATTTTTTATTGAATTATTAATTAAAATTTAAGATGTTATTATGAGGTAGACCTCTAACATTGTCTACCAGGTAGATCTACATGCCCTGGAGGTTATAATCGTAATCGAGGCATGCGTTTTTTTGTTTGGTCATGAGGGCTTGTGGGGTAATTTTACTACCCAAAGAGGTTACTTTTGCATTTGATTCAAATTGTGGTCTAGTTGACTAGAAAAAATGAAATTGTGGTCTAGATTTGGTAATTCCCCCTTGTTTAAATTCCTTTTTTCTTTTAATTTCCATATAAATACATATTTTAATAAATAGTTGTATATATATGTATAATAGTTTTTATATAATAATTATTAATTTATGATATTATTGGGACCATATTTTACATAGGAGTTTAGAAAAATTTATTATCTTATTATCTTATCGAATTATGTCAAAATTTACACCGGCCCAACTTCGGACCGGAGAAATTTATTAATTTATCGTGTTTATTAATTTATAGAGTTTATACTGTATTTGTTTTGTTGCGGTAGCATATAAGCATGATAACCATTGATTATTTTCTATTATGTTAGTTTTGTAAATATAAATTGTAATTTTTTGAAACAAATATATCACAATCCTTAAAATTTTCATGTTTTTCTTTGCAATAAAATTTATATATATTAACTCGAATTCACGTTGTTTTTTTTTAAATACTCTTAAGTCTAATTTCTCATTAGCTTTTTACTATATTAATTAGATTATATTATATATTTCTTTAACTCATAAACACATTATGACATTTTTAAATAGGATAATTTGTTTATACAACTTTTTGAATAAGAAACCAAACAATATACATACTATTTCGATGTAAATATTTATTTAGTTCATCTTTATTTTATATTATAACTTTCATTAACTTTTAACAGCAAGTAGGTGGTGACCCACACTACGTGCGATTTATCTGTTGCCGTAGTAATTTTATTTCCGGATATCAGAGTGAATTTTAGTTATGAGATACTATGTCCTGCAGTTGTCTCTAGCATTCGCATCCTGTCTCTCTTAATAATGCCGTAATATTAGAACTATTGACCATCTTCTGATTTGGTAAAATTCATGTCTTGTCTTGTTCTATCACATTTCGTCCCACAATGTTTATTTTCATCTCGTCTCGTTCTTTTCCATTCCTCCTGTTCTGTTTGTCCCATCCAGTCCAATCCTATCCCATTTTGTTGCTTCCCGTTTTGTCCCGTTTCATTTTGTTCCTTCTATTTCTTTGTCCCGTCCTATTCCGTTTTTCATCTCGTCTCGTTCTTTGCCATTCCTCCGACATGTCCGTCCCATCCAGTCTTATTCTATCTTATTATGTTCTTTTCAATCATGTCCTGTTCCATTCAGTTGTTTTTCTTTCCTTATATTTCTTTTTGTCCCGTCTCGTCACTTAATATGATAAGAGGTAGGCGAAATTTTTTTCATATCCCATCCCATTCCCTTCTGCTCATTTTAATCCCGTATTGTCACTTAATATAATAAAAGGTACGTGAAATTTTCGCCCCTTCCCGTCTCTTATTATTTCTTTTTGTCCAGTCCTGCCACTTAATATAATAAGAGGTAGACAATTTTTTTTATGTCCTGTTCTGTTTCTTCTCCTCTCGTCCGATCCGGTCTTGTCTCATTTCATCCCAAAATACTTCAAAAAAATTCAGTATCCTTTTCTATAATATCTTGACATTAGCAGATATATTTATTTGAAGGTAAATTATACTTCCTCCGTTTCATAATAATTAGGTGTCGTTTTGACTCTTGACTTACCCAATGTATCTAGATATATATGGATGTATTAAAACTCAAAACACATCCATATACACGAATAAATAGTCCAGATTTATTTTGTCAAAACAACACTTATTATGAAACGGAGGGAGTATAATCTTACATAACTAAAATTATTAAATAATAGGTTTTGTAGATTTATACATAAGTTTTTTTTTAAGTGACTTTTCAATTTCTTGTTAAAACTATTATATTAATAAATGAAAATTATGAAATAATTATAGAAAAATAAAAAATATAAAAAATAAAATAAAGTATACTTATGTGTCAAAATTCTAAAGCTCCTCTTTGATAATGTGAAAGGCTGAGAAGAGAATGCCTTTAACTTTATATATAGATTCATGTTGTTTGTGTATTTTTTTAGTTTGATTTATGTGTAAGATATAAATATATAAAAAATTATGAATATAAATGTATTTAAAAAATATTTCAAGTACAATTTGATTTAAAATATTAAATTTGAAAATAATAATTATAGTAGGATCTACTATGTGCTGATGTGGATAGCCTAAATGAGAGTTATTTACGTCCAGAGGCACTTTTTGGAGTTTTGTATCAGGAAAACATACTTTCTGTATAAGGTGCACTTATTGTTAATGTTACGCCTAATTTTGCCTAAAATGACCCTGTCTTTAACCCTCCGCTCGGCTGTGTAAATTGTTTTTTACTGCACCTGTGGTCCTTCGCCGGAGCTTCTCCGCATACAGTATTAACTGACAAAATCACCGAATATAGGTAGCTACTTTTTTGCTGTCTGTATTTTATTCCACGGATTGGCGTATGTGATTGGTTCTGAAAGGAAAATTTTCTTCCTAATCGCGAGTCATTTGATTCCCAGATCCACAAATCATCGGAAATCACCCAGGCATCTATCAAACCAGAGATTTGATCGCAGATCGGTTGTAATTCAATATAACGGGATCCACACTACTCGGACATATAGTTTCCGATTTGCGGAACCCCTCAAATTCGGAGCTTTACCAAATGTGATATTGTGGCTGCAATCCAGGTTTGGATACGATTTTGTGGATGCCAAACCAGATTTAGAACTACATCCATCATTTACAAAATCGGATGTAGTTATTTTTTTGGTTTTTGGATACGATATTGTGGATGGAAACCCAGATTTGGTACATTTCCCTAGGTTTTTGGCTCCGAATTGTAATTACCCCCAAACTCGAATTACATACACCCTCAGCCATGCGATTAAGGTCATAAGCAATAACGTTTTGAAGATCCTACGACTTTATTTTGGACAGCTATCTTGGTTGTTGGGAAAGCACTTTTAGAGTCTATATAGTATCTTGGGTTTGCTCAAATTTGTATCTTTTTAGCTCAAGTTCGCTAACCACTCGGCGACGCTTTCTTGGTAGTTTGTAAAATGGAAGAACATTGTTCAGTCATATGCGGCGAATGGCGCTGCTTTTCAGTAGGGCATTGGGATTTCCTGGTGGATAAGAGCTTGATGTCCTGGGTTGTTGTTGTTTTCGTGGGGATTAGCCTCGCTGATTTGAAGAAACGTGTTGTCACAGAGTTTTTCCCGGATGGCAAATCTTCCCTTACAGTCACCGTGAGTTACTGGCCACCTAAACACGGCCGAACTTGCGATTGGTATTAAAACTCCGCCGGTTATTCTCACAAACGAAGGTAGTATTGCGTTCTTCTTTAAACACTACAATGGCAACCGGTCGATAAATTTGTTTATCACCTTCGCGTGTGAGAGCTCAGCAGTTTCTGAGTCTTGTTACATAACGCCGGCTTATGTTCGTAAGAGGGGGAATAAGTGTGATGATTTGAATGGGAACGCCAAAACAGGGTGCTCTATTTCTGTTGGGCTCGGAAGCTGCTCATCTAGGGGTCCTGCCACTGTTGATGTTGGAAGTCTTTGAGGAAGGAACTTCTCATTCGATGAGTTTGGTCCGGATGGGAACGAGTTTGAAAAAAACAGAGGATTTAGCGCATGGTCTTCTTCGGGGTGTATACAAACTCCCGGCCCTGGGGTCCGGACGAATTCCTCGCCAACGCTAAACTAATGCAAGATATTTTCTTCGGTGATGCGCGAAAGGAGACCAGCGGCGGCTTTGTGGATGGTCTTACAACATCCGATTCCGATGATAGTTGCGGCAATGACCCTCCAGGAGATCCTGATGTACTGTCGGTTACGACAAGGATTTTTGGGAACCCTTGATCAATGACCCCTTCGGTGGCTCTGACGCTGTCGACATCGTGTGTCCGCCAAGCGAGGGATTTGACGGTAAAGTGGCAGCACTTGGGAAGCGTCGAATGGTTTTGTGTTCGACGAATGACACTTTCGACCACTATGTCGTTACCGGGGACTCCTTGCCTGACGTTAAAACGGAGGGATTACCGCAGCCACGCAGATCCCAAGCTCCTCTCACAGATGATGACCGTCCACTTGAGATGGTAGATGACGAAGAGTTCGACATTCCACCTATATTCGACGACACTAAGTATGTGACAGGCGACACCAGACCTGGACATTGAGGTTTCCGGCGAGGGTATATACGAAGGTAGGTTGTTCAATAGAAAAATAGATTGTCAAATTGCTCTTGCTATTTATGCAATCAAGGAGATGTTTCACTTCAAACAGTCAATAACCAAGAGGCACTATTTCATTGTTAATTGTGTAGACAGATTTTGTGATTGGAGAGTTAGAGCGAAAGAGGTCGGCGATTGTGGTTATTATGAGATAACAAAGGCAAGTCTTGCCCACACGTGCTGCATAGACACCAGAAATGCATATAGAAAGAAGGTTTCCTCTCGCGTTATTGCCGCCGTTTTCAGAGCAAAGTACATGAATTTTAACAAAGGACCAAGGTCAACGCAGTTGCAGCGGATGGTTCTGGAGGATTTGCATGTGCAGGCGTCTTACATGAAGTGCTATCGAGCTATAGAACAGACTAGTATTGATGTCAGGGGCACAAAAGAAGAATCGTATTTGAAGCTGCATGTCTATTTCTACTTGCTCAAGGCTGGAAATCCTGGTACCATTACTGATATCGAAATAGAGTTGGACGTGGATGGGAATAAATGTTTCCTGTATGCGTTCCTTACATTCGGTGCATGAATAGCCGGCTTTAGCAGACTTAGGCGTGTCATTGTTGTAGACGGGACGCATTTGTGGGGTAAGTATAAAGGTGTCCTTCTGACTGTTGTTGGCCAGGATGCGAACTTCCAGGTGTTCCCATTGGCTTATGCTCTTGTTGACTCCGAAAACACTGAAGCATGGACCTGGTTTCTGGAAAGGCTAGAACGGATTTTAGGCGATAGTTCATCCTTGGTAATCGTTTCCGACCGTTGGAAGGCATTGTATCCTGCGATAGGTGCGGTGTATCCGTTGGCTGTTCATGTTGCTTGCATAGTACACCTGTCCCGCAACGTTAGCTCTATATATAGCTCTAAAGGGCATGAGAAGTTAGTGAGTATGGCGGCTTTTGCGTATAGGCCAGCAACGTTCAAGCCCTTTTTTGAGAAAATTAAGTCTCGCAATTTAGAGTGTGCTCGTTATTTGGAGAAGATAGCAATGAGTTTCTGGGCTCGTTGTTACTGCAAGGGTGAAATGTACAATTTCATGACCAGCAACGCAGCGGAGCAGCTTAACTAGGCACTTAAAGAAGGCAGGGGCTGTCCTGTCGTTGACTTTTTCAAGTTTATTCAAGAGATGATGACTAGGTGGTTCAATGCTAGACGTAGAAAGTCTTCTAATTGGCGCGGGAGTCTGCCACCGGAGGTGGCGAAGGTTATGAAAGAACACATGGAAGAGGTTAAAGGTAGTCATGTGAACCAGATATCTAGTTGGACTTTTGAGGTTGTTGGTAAATTTGGTGACCGTAACACAGTCCTACTTAGCGAGAAGAGATGTTCGTGTAAGAAGTTCGACAGGCTGCAAATCACGTGTGGCCATGCTATGCTCGCCGCTGACACAGTCGGAGTCCTTCCAAGTACTTTGGTGGGCCTTTGGAACAAGCCTGGTGCCTGAAAGGAGACTTATGTTGCTTTGGTGACACCTGATGGGAACCTTACTGATCCCATTATCTGCCCACCTATGACCGGGAAGGCGAAAGGATGCCCGCCTCCCCTCGAGAGGAGAGTTTTCTGTAAGTTATATGCTTTAGAGGCTTAGTATATTGTTTGATTTTTAGTCATTCGATCTGTTTGTAGGTTATTAGGAAGAAGAAAAAGATCCCGAACAAGTGCACCAAGTGTCTCCAACCCGGTCACAATCGCGCTCGATGCCCTGCCTTGTTCTGATTTGGTTTGTTAGTTATCTATGCTGTTCAAATTTGTGGATAGCTTGTGAACCAAGTTAAGGCTCCACCATGGAGATGTGTTAATGGATGGAAATTAAATGGTTGATTATAGGGGTTTTTAGTATAATGGTTGTGAAGTAAAAGATGGATATTGTTTTGACGTGTAGATGTGTAAATGGATATTATTTTTTTGGTTGTGTTATGGTTATATGGTTATTGTTGGTTGTGAGAAAGGTGATATATGTTGCCTGATAAACGACTGGAGATGTTTAAATGGATGTGTCGGTAATTGTTGGGCATGGAGCATAGTTTTACATAGTGAACTGGGAGTATGGACACTGGTGTTGCTGATATTAGAGGTTGTATATTTTGTTTAAGTGGCACTTTTTCTGGCAAAGTAAAAGGAAATATTTGAATGGATGTTTATGCAATGGTTCCCCATGGAGTATTATTTGTAATAGGGGAACCCACAAGGATATTGTTTGGTGGATATTGAAATATGCGGGTATATTTTTTTAGTCAAAGTAAGATTGGTTGATATAGAAATGTGGATATTGTTTTATACTGAAATGTGGATATTGTTGGGTGGATATTTGATGTGCGGGTAAGTTTTGTTATGTGAGGATGAATGGATGGTCGAAACAGTAAACAACAATTACATACATAGTGGAGATGTGTAGATGGATGGTTGTCCAGAGAGCATACTAAGAAGAAATTATGATTCCCATAGCTGTAACCATATTCTGACATCCATAATGATTATAGACTAATCTAACCCTTTTTTGTAAGAAGAGGTACAAAAAGTGAACCATTGGTAGGTTGTTAAGTTTCATAGGTTTTACAGCATTGGTATACCAAGATCGGGTTGTTGTTTTTTTGTGGTCAGAAGTAGAGAGGGATTATCAGCTCCTTGTACAAATCAAGTGTGTATTCCCTCCTTAGATATGTGACCATCTCGTCTGTTAATCCGACCTTGTGTGGCTCAGGGTCTCCTGCAGCGTGCATCTCCATGAATTTGATTGCCACCGGGCCGCAGTCTCTACACCGGAGGTTCATGTATAGATCCTTTATGCATTTCCAAGCGTAGGGTTCCGGTCCCTTTGGCTGCGATGTTTGGGGGCAAATTTTGTGAACAACATAAGAAATCATGCCCAGCAGTGGTTTGAGGTACTTGTCCAAGTTTTGGTTGGTCTTCAAGAAGTCTGTGTTAGGATCTAGTACTTCGATGCAGCCGACGCTAATGTTTATCGCTAGGCCCACCCAATGCTTGTTGTCTAGATTCATAGGGACGTAGACCGTGTCTGTGTCTTGCACCCACGTCCTTCCCGGAGCGTTGACGAACTTCGCAATCCTGTCACCCCACTTAGCCCTTTATTTTGTTTTTGGCGGCCTCGAAATGTCTACGCTTCTTTAGGATTTGACTTATTAGCATGGGTGAGTAGAAGGCGCCTGCTTCCTTTGCCGGGAACCTAATTTGCCTCCTCGCCAGCCAAGTCATCAACACCTCCATGTGTTGCAGGTTTGATTTGTCAGTTCTGATAACGAGTGTTTCCATACAAATTATGAAACAGTGTGGATGAATTGGTGTAGGGTGAAAGTTTTACCATTGTGGACATCCATTTTTGAGGCGTGGCTAGGTCTAGGAGGAATTGGTTTGTCATGACGAAAGCGCAGTCTGTGTAATGCTCCCTGCGAGAAAAAAGCATGTTAGTTGTTTGTACGAGCTTTAGTTATCCATGAAACGCGTTGAGTAGTAGTGGTCTTGCACTTCTGGTGAGGCAATTAGAATCTGCTCAAGCATTTTGAACTGATTTAGATCCAACAGGCGAATGCATTGGGTAGGATGTTTCCCTTGGTCAGGCACAAAACCTCCCGTGCTGTAGGCTTATGTTTGAATATCCGCGGTGGGGGTGAGGAATCACTGACAACAACCGTTTAAGCTCGTCCGTTGCTTTGGTCGGAGTTGTCTGAGTCGACCGTTTCCTGTTGATTTAGGTAGAGTACATGGTGTTGGTCTTTGTTAATGTTTCAATGACTAAGGTAGAGTACATGGTGTTAGGAATGTAGTTGGTTTGTGTTTACCTCCCCCCTCTCCTGATGGGGTTGTCATTGCATCCATTATGAGGTTGTCCACGTTCCCATTTCCGGGTCCTTTGGTGGGCTGATATGTTCGTTTACCTATTAACGGTAAACAAACCAATTTGTTTCATGAAATGTAGCTAGAGCTGTTGTAATAAACATCCATGCCTTAGTATGTAGTTAGTTACCTTGACGTGTGTATAGGAACTAGTACTTGATTCTGAGGATTTCTTGAGTCTTAGTCTGATGGTAGGTATGAACGTTTTTCCCTGCAAGAGGTTGAAGTAGATTCACGTGTTGGATCTTGTTCTTGGTAGGAATATTTTTTGTTTGTATGTAAGGACTTTACAAACCTGGGTTTTGGTTGCCGTTTCTAGAACAATGGCGTTGAGGTCAGAGTCATGGACGGCGTCCACCGTTTGTTGGATTTATTAGAAGAGCAATGCGAATAGAAGCAAAGACAGCTCTTTGACTGATATATCGAGATGAATAAAGTTTGAAGTTGTTACAGTTATCAATTTGTATTCCACTTCCATGTGAATAATTGTTGATAATTATAATAACTTATGTAATGTGTAGGCTGTCCACATGGAAGTGTTTGGATGTATGAAACTGACATTCGGCGGTGTGTATGATGTCTCCAATTTAACTGTGGAGGGGAGTTTGCGCAAGTAGTGTATTCCTGTAACTTTAAATAATTGTGTAAGGAAAAAAATGATCCCTTTTATTCGAAGCACAAGTTATTGTAATGGGGGATCCAATGCGTGTTAATGAAAAGGTTCCTTCTATTTATCTTAAAATGGAACTTGTCCCCCCACTTTCCCTGTTGGGCTGTCTCTCCAGCCAACAACTCTTCCTGCAGCTTTCCCACCAGTAACTCCGCCTGTGAAGGATTCCCATATAAACATCAGTACAATTTGAAATGTTGTATGTGTATAAAACCACGTGTATCCTTTAGTGGATAAGTGATTATGGATGGTTGTGTTTAGAGAGATATCCTTTCACCTTCTCTGCTTTGTGGCTTGTGGGAGTAGATATCTCCTCATGCTCGGACGAACCATTTTGTAGGGGTTACTGTGTTATGTAATGTAACGGCGAATCAGTACATATGTATTTGTGTTGTGAGTATATGGACGGTTTGTTGTGGATGGATTTAGAGGATAGTTTGAGTGTATTAGAGACCCTTTACCTTGACGGCGTTCTGGTTTGTCGGAGTAGATAATAACACATCCTCTAGAGCTCTATCTCTTGGTGGTTCCTGTTGTAAGGTCCCGCAAGGAAAATAAGGGTGAAGTGATAGTGTAATTGTGGAGGCTGGAAAGTGGATGAGTTATTATGGAAGGTGTGTGACACAGGATATCCATTCCGACCAACTTAAATGGAAAGAAGGGTACCTTGACTGCGTTGTGGCTTGATTGAGTAGATGTGAACTTCTGAACACCACAGTGTTCCTCATGTTTGTCATGTGTTGTGTGATTAGCGTTGAAATGTTTGTAGTGTACCTTGTGCAAGGGTGTGATGCTGTCATTTATGATTCCAATTGCAGGCTCTGGTGGTGGGAGGGCATCGGTGTTAATTTCCTTCATTGAGTCCTGTTCGTGACTGGTTGTTTGTCCATGCGGGTGAAAAATCAGTGTTAGTAGATGAATGATATGTTGTTAAAGAAGTAAGATGATGAAACGTTATTACCTGGGGAGACGGATGAAGTGGAGGTGAACCCATATTCGCTTGCGTGATGATATTTGCCCCGAAATGTCTTCTCTGTTGACTGGCCTTCTGCCTCCTCTGTTGTCTGGCTTCTGTGCCCTGTAAACATCCTTTCCCTATCGTACCTTCGGATGGTTACTTCTAAACCTGCGATCTTTTCGCTTAGCATTTGAAATTCTTGGCGTAGAAGGTGGTGGTCTGTTTCATGAGAACGGGATGGTTGTTTGGCTGTTTGGTGCTGATTTTTTTTAGGTTTTGGTTCTTTAGGGTGGGGAGAAGTGTTTTTCCATTTTCGGCGGTCCAAAATGTGTTGCCTGTGCAGAACTTGTTTAGGTTTGGTGGTTTGGGAAGCAACGGTTGAAGAGACGCATCACCGTGAGGCCAGTCATTGAGGGCGAAAGAGTACACGTCCTGGATTTTCTTCTCAAGGTACAGGACTCTTCGGTCCGTGATTTCGTCGTCCCATTGGTATTGCGCTAGAACGGATGTGTCTGTTGAAGTAAGAAAAGACCGTACATCGAGTTATGACAGGAAAGTGTGATTGAGTTTTTTTGTGAAGAGAAAAAGAGAAAGGCAAGAGTAAACACTTACATCGGGGTGGTTTTCTACTTGCAAGACTTCGTCGCAATTCAAACCAGCGTGGGTTGGGATTGATTCACCTGGGATATGAAAGAGGGTGTGGTCTTCGGCAGAGCTTGAGAGCCAGTTTTGCAATATGGGTATGGTTTTGAAAGCAAGTAGTTGTAGGGCATATGGGAAACCTTGGAGCCGCATGGTCCCACGACGTGTCTGGCCACTGAATTTTTCAACAGGGTCTATATCTTTTCTGGTTCCTTTCGGTTCTGGCCGCAGTGTGGTGAGGGTGCTGTTGAAAGACTCCCATCCCCAAGGGTACTGAATGAACTTTTCAACATCTGCGAGCATGGATACATATTTGGGCGTCGGTTTGGGATACTGGTATGTGACAACTAGAGCACCGTCTACGATGAGTATGAGGGCCAGCTTGAATTTCCTATCATCCGACATCTTCGCAAATATCTTCTTGCTTGTGAAGTATCCATCAATGTCGCCTAGAGTTTTCTTCGGGTCATTTGACACAATCTCTTTCCAGGTAGAGTCAACCTCGCCTTCTGGGATTGGTGGGGTGACGGTTTCATCGCAATCGTCGTCGAAAGGGCCGCAAGGGAGCCCAGTTATCGCAGCAAACTCTGGGAGGCCGAACCTTAGTGGCTTGCCGCCGAACGCCATCCACATTACGTTCTTTTACTTAGTCAGCAGCTGCCTAGTAGTTAGCTGGTGAATAAGCTTGCCAGATGTGGGGTATCTTGGTGAGGGGATGTCGAAGAGTTTTCCGAAGCAGGTGTTTCTGATTTTTTCCATCACCGAGCTGTCTTTGAGGTGGTGGTGGATGAATGTTAGGTGATCTAGTTTGGAGTAGACGTTTAGAATTTCTTTCGGGTATCTACCAGTGGCGAAGAGTCTAGGAGGGAGCTTGATATCCCTATCCGGATTGTTTTTTCCCGCATCTAAGGAGTAGAGGAATAATGAAAACAAAGTGAGAAAGCGATTAGAATGGACATGAAATTGTGTATAACCAGTCGTGGATAAGCAAAAGTTTCTCTTAGAGTAATCGTTTATGGATATGCGTATGTGTATATGTGCATGTGGATATCAAACCCGAAATTGATCGCAGAGGAATAATGAAACACAAGGTAGAAAACTAATTGGAATGGACATGAAATTGTGTTTAATCAGTCGTAGATATGCAAAGGTTTCCCTTAGAGTAATTGTTTATGAGTATATGTATGTGTATATGTGCATGTGGATATGCGTGCGTGGATATACGTTTTTGATGTTACACATAAAATGCAAAATCCAGATTAAGTGTTAATGTATATGGAGTTGTGGATGTGAATGAGTGTATGCACATGATTTAACAATTGCCGAATCGGTGTCGCTTTTGTTATTCACGAAAAAAAAAACAAATCGCAAATGTGGATGGTGGAAAGTGAAAAGTGGATATGGTGGTGATATACAGTAAAGTTACCGATAGGCTTAAATCTAGTAGGAAAATAGAATTAAAAAATTCGTTTCCGAATCTGCCATTTTTTTCTGCTGAGTTATTAAAGAGAGCTGATTGTATAGTACCTTGACGAGGTTTGTCTGTATGTGAGGAGGTCTCCATGCGTTTCGGAGTTGTTGTCGAAGTGAGATCTAAAAAACTACCAAACGGGGAGACGGTGCTTTCTAGGTTTTGTATGAACCAGACAAACTGGATCTCGCTTTTCTCCTAATAGTTGGCCGCATTCCTTTTAGTTTAAAGCCGTGTGGACCCTGCGAATTTGAAATCAGTTGGTATGTGAAAATCAAGGTTTCATGGGTTCGTGGATGGTGCCGGAGAAAAATAAAGTTTAAAAAAATATATTAACATGTGGTGTTTTACTGTTATGTGGGTGCGTTAAAAACGGAGGTCAAATTAGTCATTATAATAGTTGAAAGTGCATCATAATTGGTAAGTGCCTTTCTCTGTAAAGTAAAAGTCATAAAGTGTATCTCTGTGTAATTTTCTCCCTAAATGGAAAAAGCACTCACTAATTATATATAAGATATGGGTTCATCTTAGTTTTTGTTTAATATGGTGAAATCTGTTTTATGGCAGATGCAGTTAAGAAAATGTTGTTATTGTTGAGGAAATTACCAATTCTAGACCACAATTTGATTTTTTCTAGTCAACTAGACCACAATTTGAATCAAATGCAAAACTAACCTCTTTGGGTAGTAAAATTACCCCACAAGCCCTCATGACCAAACAAAAAAACGCATGCCTCGATTACGATTATAACCTCCGGAGCATGTAGATCTACTAAGTAGATCTACCTGGTAGACAATGTTAGAGGTCTACCTCGTAATAACATCTTAAATTTTAATTAACAATTAAATAAAAAATATTTTTATACAAACACAAGTATGAATAATTCTAATATAGACATTATCATATACAAAAAATATGAATGCATACAAATGAATGATTTATAGATAAGCAAAGACATATAGGTTAATATCTATAAAATGTGTGAGGTCTACCGAGTAAGTCTACTATGTCATTAAATTTAATTTTAATTATAAAAATTGAAAAAAAAATATTTTGATGAAAATTATTTATACATAAATACAATACAGACAACTTGCATCTATATAAAATATAATTTCATAGATTTGAACCAATTGAACTATAAAAAAAAAAATTAGGTTAAAAGCCTATAAAACCATGAGAGGTCTACCAAGTAAGTCTACTAAATAATCAAATCTTAAATTTAAATTAAGAAAATTTAAAAAATAATTTGAAATATTTGTTTCACAAATAACGAAATAATAGACATTTAACATCTATTAAAAATAAATTTCATAAAAATCATGAATCTATAAATATCATATGTAAATAGTTCATAAGGATAAGAGTTTGAGTAGATTGTTTAGGGTTAATGGGGAGAGTTGTAGGGTTTTGAAAAATTTTAGATGAAGAATTGTTTTTGGTTGGTTTTACGATTCAATGTTTGTTTATTTGTGATATACACTGTAAATTGACAATATGGCAAGCAAATCGTTGCAAAATTGTATCTAAATTATTCGATTTAGGGTTTAGGGTAAAGTAGACCTAACAAGTAGACGGATCGCGTAGACCGAAGTGGAGGTCTACCAACCGTTTTAACCTAGCGGGAATCCCGAAGTTTCAAAGCGACGGCTGAGATTGAAACGACGTTTCGGTAATTTCGTGGTAGACCGTAACGGTATACCTAAGCCGGAAATAACCGACTCAATTGTTTGCGTAGAACCGTAAATTGAACGGCTGAACCGATATTAATTGAAATAACCGGCTAATTTCTTGGTTCAAACCGATATAACGAAACCAGTTAATCGAACCGACGTATATAAAGCGGTTTTAACCCTGAGCAGTTAATTTCTAGGTTTTGTTAGAACATTGCGAGTCGGCGCTCTCCAGAGGCGATTTCAGGCGATTTCCGTGTCCGACGCCGTTTGCTCCGCCGCTATTCCTTTTCCGACCCGCTATTCCGTTTCCGACGCCGTTTGCTCCGCCTCTGTTTGATTACGCCGGTAATATCTCCGCCCTATACCTCGCCCTATACCCCTAGTGTCGTTAATCTATCTCCGCTCAGTCATCTAACCGTTTTATTGTTCATATTTGGTCCGCCGTCTGGTGAACTCGTCGCCGTTGTCTAACAGAATCGGAGCGCTCCACATCGATCCCATTTCCCGGTAGTAACTCCGTCACTCACTCCTCTTTCTTACCATTTTCGCTTTGTATAACCACAAATAACCTCACCGCCGAATTCATGTGTCGTTTTTGTAGTTAGATCTCGTCCAAGATATCGTTCCTGGTGCTTTGCGATAAGCGCTTAGAACTGTCGTCGTCGTCGAGAGGTACAACAATCTATAACATAACCTCTACAACTCATATATGTCTTTCTTCTTCGTGATTCGGTAGATTTCGTTTAGGGTTTAGAGTAGACCTTCGTAGTAGACCTTCGTAGTAGACCTTCGTAGTAGACCTTCGTTTTGCCTTCGTTTTTGCCTTCTTTGATTTTCCTTTTATGTTCGTTGCAGAATGAAGAAGCCTACCTTTCCAAGGAGGTTATACACAAGAGGGGCTGAACCGGAAGCCCAAAAGAGCATCTCCTACGGCAGCAACGACAAAAAGCTATTTGCTGCCGTGAAAAAACTACTGAGTGATGCCGAGTGGGAAACACTATGCGACTCGCGAGTTGGTGTCTTCTGCAAGTTTCACGACCTCGACTTCGCGTGGTCTTCGAAGTTGGTCCACACGATGCTCTCATATCAGTTAGAGTGCAAGAAGAAGTATGAGATCTGGGTTGCGGTTGCGGATAGCCCAATTAGATTTTCCCTCCATGAGTTTGAGCATCTCACCGGCCTCAACTGCGACTATGTGGAAGATATTGATGACCCCAAGTGCAAGGTTACTCTAGAGATGAGAGCATTCTGGGAGAAGCTCGGAGTAGATGTTGAGCTTGGTCCGAGTCAAGTGGAGATCATTCGTGCATGCGAATGGGCAACAGACTGGCCGAGTGAGGACAAACTTAGGCTTGGTTACTTGGCCATCTACACTGGCTTCATTGCTGCTCGGAAAAACACCTCGCACACTCCTGTCAACCTGGCCAGATTAGTGATGGATGAAGAGGAGTTTGAGAATTATCCGTGGGGGCGTGTAGCTTTCAAGAACCTGATCGAAGCCGTCAAAGAAGCAGAGCTATGGAAGTCCGGGTATGTCCTGGATGGGTTTGTTGAGGCTCTACAAGTATGGGCATATCGTTTCATGCCTGAATTCGGAGCGGGTTGTGGTGCGCCCATACGAAACGCTCCTGACATTCCGCTCTTGTCCTACAAAGGAGTCCAGGGTCTAAGGAACATTGAACTCACGATACTGAAGCAGGTACGATACTGAACTCACGATAGGCAGTAGACCATTTTGGTAGACATTATGGTAGACCATTATGGTAGACCATTATTGTAGACCATTTTGGTAGACCATTATGGTAGACCATTTTGGTAGACCTATTTATTTACTTTCCCTTTCGTGTGTAGGTGAACTTTGATCACTGCATAATGGTGGAGAGAGACTTCGTTTACCCAAAGTGGGATGAGGATAAGGAAGACCCGCGTGTAGATGAACTCATCAACGCGCTGTATGGAGACCTGGGCCGGTGGAGGTGGAAGCCGGCGGACTGGAATCCTCAAGGTGTTCTGGTGAAGAATCCTATACCCCGGAGTCTGCGAAGAGGAAAAGAGCCTCTGCCCCTGGAGATGAAATGCAGAAGAGGCAGTGTCCTGAGAGCGTATCCTCTGCTGAAGATGGCTTCAGTCGCTTCGAGGAGAAGATGAAGGTTCTGTTTGAAGATGGCTTCGGTAAGTTGTCTGCGGCGATGAAGTCTGGCTTTGAACAGTCTGATTCCAAGTTCACGATCCTGACTAGGAAGGTGATCCGCATAGAAAAAACAGTCCAGTCTATGCAAGCAGCATCAAGGCGTCCAAACACCGAACCTGTGGAACCTGACGCAAATAATGAGAAGAACGAGCCGTCTATTGAAGATGGTCGAGCCGAGGAGAAGTTTTGCAATTGACCAAACGTTGACTTTTTGCCAAGGTCTACCGTCTCCGTCTACCGGAAGACGTAGACCTCCAAATCGGTCTACCGTAAAAAAGTAGACCTCCAAATTAGTCTACCGTATCGGTCTACCTAAAAAACATTTTGTGATGCCGTTGACTTAAGTTTGACTTTCCTCGGGTAGACTTCCGTGGTAGACCTCAGTTTTTTTGCGTTGACCAGTAGACCTCACTTTCGGTCTACCAAGCAGTAGACCTACACGGTAGACCTCAATGACGCAAACTCTCTCCTTTTTGAGGAAAGTCAAACTTTTGTCAACGGCCGGACCAACGTTTTTTTTTTAGGTAGACCGACCTGGTAGACCTACGACAAACATTTTACTCGATCAATTGCAAAACTAACCCGCCACGTGTAGTAGACCGACACGGTAGACCTCCAAAAAAACATTTTCCTCGAACAATTGCTAAACTAACCCTCCACGTGGAGTAGACCTAATTTGAGGTCTACCACTTGTTTTTTTTGTTTGCAAAGGAATTGACCCGGTCTACTTTTGGTTGACCGGTAGACCTCAACTGAGGTCTACCATGTAAAAGTAGACCTTCTCTTCCGTCTACCTTTGCGGACCAAAACTGAAAGTCGTTCAATTTTGAAAGAAAGGTTACCTCGCCGTCGGAGAAAGGCTCTTCGAAGCCTGATAACTTAAATTTGGGCTTCCAGCAACGATCTCCGGTCGTCAACGTAAGCTAGACAGTCGGAAATACCAAGATCCAAGATTTGAGATTTCTTCTAGATTTTGGGATGAAAATGGAGAGAAAATGAAGAATAAGAGTTTGTGAGATGAAAGAAGGAGAAATGGTAGCTCACCAACGAGTTTTCGGAGCATTGAAAGCTCCATGTTCGGTGAAAATGGTGGTTGGCCACATTGATGATATGGCATTTTCGAAATTTTGTGTAGGAGATGAGGGGTCTTTGGTCTTTCAGCAGATACGGTAGACCTACAAATCGGTCTACTAGTCGAAAAAAGTAATGGCAATCCTGTAATTAATTAGAAAAATCTGGACAAACTTAAAACGAAAAAAGCAGGAGGTTACTTTTGCATTTGACCACAAATTTGGGTCTAGAAGTGAAACAAACCCGTTATTGTTGGTGAATTGGAAAAAAAAAAATTATGAAGAGAGAAACAGAAAAAGAATATTTTCCTCATATTGGCCCACACTCAAGAGACTATTTTGTATTTAACCACCACATTTTATATAAAATAGTTATACTTTTTCTATATTTCCCTTTTAGTTAAATATGATCCATTAGACCTGGACTCGCGCCCTACACGGAGTGATATATTATTAATTTGTTTTTATTAAAAGATTATTTATATATTTCCTCTGTTCCTTTTTAATGAATTTTTTGAGATTTTCATACATACATATTAAGGAAAAATTATTTTTTTAATTATAGATGCATAAAAAATTGTAATTAAGGAGTTTTCTATAAATTTAAACCAATAAGAATTCAAAAAGTATAATAAATGATTTTTGAAAAATAAAAAAGTGTATGAAAATGTTAAAACATTTATCTTTATGAAACAACCAAACTTAGCTAAAAAAATCATTTCTAAGAAACGGAGGAAGTACCATTCTAGGAATACAGGGTGTTTACAACAAAAAGAAAATGTCAATTTATATTAGACGAAATTTTGATTGATACATATTTTTTAGCTTGGCTTAATTTTTGTCATTGTTTATCAGTGTGAAAATCTAACATTTGCTTTCATATCAATTTCTCCTTTACAAAATATTCACAAAAGTGTGGATTTAAAATGGTTTTATATGTTGATAAATATAAAATGACATGTATATTTTATGTTTTTGATCAATTTTTAATAATTAAAATAATTTAACTTATATGATAAGTTATTAGATTTTATTATGTTTAAAATTTTTATCAAACTAAAATATTAAAAAACATACAATATAATTATTTAATTCAATGAAAACCAAATTAAATCAAATAAATAAACTTTAAAATTTGGAAACTGAGTAAATCAGTTTTCCTAGGTTGATCATTATTTGGAATTTTTTAATAATAGATTTTTGAATTATTATCCCAAAATATAATTGATGTGGGACTTTGAACAATTTTAGAGATTATTTCATTTTTAAAAATTTAAATATTTTGATGTGATGATATAAATTTTAAAAAGTAAAGTTAAACAAAAATGATAGAACAATAAATTGATTTTTAAACAATTCATATAATATAATTGAATAAAATTTTCCATATTTTATTGATTGATTGACTAATAAATACTTTTCAAATTATTTACAATTTTCTTCACTACCAAATAAGGAAATAGAAAGAAAATAATTTTAATTAATAATTATTTTTCTGATTAAAGTGTAATAAAGATTCAATGTGAATGGTATAAATGTAATTAATCTAATAATGTTTGTCTTTATTAAAATTAACTTTGAAAATGAATCTAGTGATGACATAACAGTATGGCATTTCTGTTAATAATATATAAGATAAATGTTATTTGTTCTCTTTTAATATATTAGAGATATACATAATTTCTTTTTTTTTTGTTCAAACGAGATAAATATAGAGAATTTGCATCCAATAGCTAATATTGGGCCCATATTTAATTTTTCAGCAAATGGATTTCATGCTCAAGAGAGAGAAAACAATTCGCCACAAACTCTTACCGTTTTAACCCTCACACGCCCAGACATTCATTCCCGGCAACACAATTAATGAACACGATTACCGTGCATTTTCGCCTGTAAAAATAGAATTAGTTCATTCAAACTAAAAAATCGACAGCTCGACTTACACATTCTCATTGCCGCCGAACCCTAAAGTCACTCAATCTCTAGCAAGTTAAGTGTAACTGTAATTGCCGCCACTGAAGAATTCCGACCGGCTTCAGGTGAGTCTCTCTACAATTTTCTTGCCTTATTTATTTTTAGATGTGCCGCGTAACGCCTGAGCCATCCAAGAAAATCGATGCATGCAAATGTTTCTGGGTGTAGATCCACCGTATCGAATCATGGACAAGGTAGTTCTTCCTTCCGGCATCTTTGCTTCCGGTCAAGAACCTGTAGGAGACCGCGTCAATACGTATTTCAAACTCAACACCATTAGGGCTGTTCTGAAAGCTCTGCAGCCGGAAGATCGACGCAATAAAACCCTGTTTTGGTAAACTAATTGAAAATTACAACAAACCGGCCTTTTCCGGGAAGCTACACCATTTTCTGTTGTGCAGACAGCTTGCCGTCAACAAACCTCATGAGATTTGGATTGTTTTCAGTGGTAAACCGATAAGAGTGTCTTTGAGAGAATTTGCCATAGTCACTGGCCTCAACTGCAACCCGACGCCACCCAAGGATGAACTAACTGTGAAAAGCAAACCTGGAGTTACGCCCTATTGGTTCACTTTATTCGGCGGTGAGGAGAATGTCACCGGCGAGGAGAATGTCACCAGCGAGATATTGTTGTCCATGCTCCGCAAGGCCAAGAACCTATCATCTGAGATACGGACCAAGTACGCATGCCTTTTGCTTCTCGATGGACTATTATGTCGCAGATCATTCAACATGAAGATCCCTAAAGAGCATGTGGAGATGATCAGGAATCTTGACTTTTTCTTGGCATACTGATGTACTTGCATTTTACATAGTTTTAGCACATCTTTTATGCATCTTTTGCATAGTTTTAGCTTCATTTGCATCATATCTTGTTCCTTTTCTCTTCTTATGCATTCATGTTAGTTTTAGGTTGCATTTGCATACATATGCATGTTTGGTCCTTTGAAATAGGTCTTTTGGAGCATTCTGGAGCATATGGGACATAAGGAGCATGGAGGGACTTGGCACATGGAAGCAGCTCAACTGGATACGCAAAGGAAGAAGGGAGAAGCCATCTTGAAGACCAGCTCGACCGTCCACTCGACCAACCGGTCGAGTTCCTCAACTCGACCGGCCAAGCTTCAACTCGATCGAGCTGGAAGTCAAAGTCAAACCCGAAAAATGTTGCTTCCCCCTTGACTTCCTTTGACCCTAAACCTAATCCTTTGTATTTAAAGGCTCTAAGCCACGAAAAAACCACCAAGCTTTAGATTATTTTGTTTTAGTTTCTTTTAATTTATTGTCTTTTACTTTTTAGAGATCTAATCCCATCTTTGTGTTCTTGAAGCTCTTGCTTCTTGAATCTTAGATCCTGGATAATCTCTCTTGTATTTGCACTTGCTTATTTCAATAAAAGTTGTTTAATTTCATCTCCTCTTTCTTATGATGTCTCTTTTATTGCATTTGCTTGTGTTTACATTCATGTGTAGTGAGTAGTTACCCATTGGGTTTGAGATGGGATAGATTAGAGGTTTCATATGCTTAATCCTTCTAGCTTATGGTCTTAATCTAGATTCTCTCTCTTTTGGATAGATCTTAAGGCTACATGACCACTACCCCTGGCTTGTAAGTCCTTAGGCGACTCCCCACACGAAAGTGATGGCATTCGCTGGAAAAGATCCACTAAGAGCTCCAATATCTCTTGCTCTAGACATAGAGGTCTAAGGGGTTGGATGGATTAGTTTGGGCAATGATCCTATAGCCTCCAAGGTTTGATTCTCACTGGCTAACCCCCTGTTTCTGAGATCATTCCTTGGTTGATAGCCTCCACCTTGGGAAAGGGTTGGCTAGGCATTGAGAAGCCCAATATCAAGAGAAGCCTTGATACAAGGAGTTTTAAGAGCTAGATTGATTAAGTGTAGATTCCTTTGATTGCAAAACCCTGTCTTGAACCCTAATTCTCTCTTTATCTTGTTAAAGTCGTCACCTTTAGCTTTGTTTGTCTCAACTCGTCCCTAAACTCGATCGAGCTGGTACTTTGTCTGACTCGACTCGAGCTCTTGGTCGAGCTGACACTTCACTGCTTTGTTTACTTTTATTGCACTGCTTTTCATTTATTTAGGTTGTTAGTGTTACTTCAAATCTTAACTGCTTGCTTGACTTTCCTGGTTGTTTCATATTCTCATAGAGTGACAAGTTTCCCATTTTGGATTGATAACCCTTTGTACTACATCAACTATCATGGTTAAAGGGAATTGTTGACTGTGTTTGTGTTTGCATCTTACCACCTCATCATATACCACTGATTGCATTCCACTCATCTCATTTCATATCTTTTCACATCCACACACAAATCCTATCATCACATACCCATGGGGAAGAGTCGCGTTTGATATGATATTCAGTGCATCAAGTCTAGGACTATCATGCAACTCTCGCAAGCTACTGTGGCAGTGCAAGGGTTCGTCCACGCCCTGAAGACTAGCTAGTCTTCATTGAGGCCGTACCGCAAGCTATAAAAGCAGTCGGCGACGAGACCGATCCAAAATCTGGTGAAGAAGGCGACCACCTGGTTACTGCGTTAGCAAGGAGTAGTATATTTCCCATGAATATCCTAGTAGTTTAGCCAATGAGAATTTGCGCGTAGCTTCTGGTCTTTGACATCAAAAAAGAAGGTTGTAATAACGAAACGGACATGTGCAAATTTTGTCCTAGCAAGATATGGGAACTCGACGCAAATACAGAGGTATTTTTTCACCTTCACGAACTATATAATCACTTAACACTGTACATATAGACATGGATATACACATGCATTCCACATAGCTGATAGTTATTTGATATGGTACATGCTACTGATTTACAGGCATCTGTTTTATCAATTATTCTTGCGCACACTGATTTTGAGGACACAATTGCCTAATCATGGCCATAAGACGTTGACGACCCAAGTGCTGATCGGATGGTTCTGTTAAGTAATGAGGGCTTCAAGTTCACCGGTAATATGTTTTCTGGTGGGCAGTCTGCTACTGCTTTCATTCCTGTGGCGGAAAATGACCCTAATGGTAAAGGGAAGCGGAAAGGTAAAGGGAAGACGGTTTCTAATGGTAACAATTCACAGGGAGGTCGGTGATGCGGGATCAGGTTTTACCTATTCGTATCCCTGATTCTGCAAGTGCACAGGTCAGGTGTAGTAACGGGTTATCGAACACAAGGAGCAGATAAGTGCACTACAAGCTATGCAAGTCTAACTTAGCTAGGACAAGAGGATAGATTGTGGTTTGGTATGCAAAATAACTAACTAAACTAAAAGAAAGGAAAGTAAAAACGGTGTGGATTCAATGTGGGAAAGACGCTAGGCAATGGGCAAGCTCGCAGAGATTCAAGAATATCAAGTTATGCAATCAAATTCATTAGGGGGTTTGAATGTGCCATCTAGAACTCAGGTCACGAAGGTATGATCTTTCCACTTTCGAGGCTCCGACCCCTTTGTTAATCTACCTAGTCGCTAAACTTTTGGTATGTCTCTAGGTGATTAAATCAAGCATTAGTTCGTTCAAGACCCAATTATTCACAACCCCGCATAGATCAACTTTCGCAGTCTATGAAGTTTTGCTCATCAAACACTTAGTTCTGGTTATATAGCAAGCTTTTGGAGAGTATGATGAGGTCATCGACCCGATCCAAACCCAAACCAAGCTACCAACACTCATAGAAGCACCCATGACACGCTCAAGGACCAGGAGCTTATGTGAGAAGTTCAACCTTACTGTGGAGAGCATCTTAGACGCTCCAGAACAAGACCTTACCGACATAAGACATCAAGGTATGATTCCTTTTCCAGGTCAAGGAACTCAGGATCTCAACAATGCCGTGGAACTCAAGCTTGTACCGGAGCAAGGTAAAGAAACTAAAGACTTGGAGAAGATCGAAGCTAAAGAAGTGGAGGAGATAGAAGATTTAAGGATCGTCCAAACAGCCAACGATGCCGAAGATTACACGAAGACTGAAGGACAAGGCCACACAACTCCTCCTTGGCCGATGCTGCGAGAACGTAAGGTATATTCAATTATAATGTTTAATGCAGGAACATCCGAAGCCCCTACTTGACCAAGGCCCACGTACAAGACAAGAGGAAGCCAAAGGCTTGTCATTTTTCTCTATTTCTAGTTTCCTTATTTGGACTAAAAACATTGGTCATGTCGTTTTGTTCTTCTTTGTTTTTGCTTGTCGTTTTTGTGCTTTCCTTTTATGTTTGAACTCGACCCTAGAAGGTCAAGCTGAAGGACTGTTTATAAAGTCCCACTGCAGCATTGTAGCCGTCACCTTTTTTTTGCTTATCAATAAAATACCCTTTTTCTTCTCAAGCGATTTGCCTTGTGAGATTGTTCTTTTGCTTGTTTCTGTGCATGTGAGATTCACCATAGACCGAGTGTTTGCTGTATCAAAGAGACTATCCATACTCTTTGTGGTGCCATCAACTTCCCCCATCGTTTCCATCCATAGATCTCACAAGAGAGAGCGTAGGCCAGCTTGTTTGATCCCATCCGACCGTTAATAGATTCAAACCCATTTGGATCTTATACCATCTGGTATCAGAGCCTAAGGCTCCTAAATCCGGTGATATTCAATCTATCCCTTTTCGTTTATTGCATCTTGTTTCTGTCCCATATTTGTTTCATCTAGAAAAACCTATAAAAATCGTTATTGCTTATTCATCGACATTAGTTGCATCTCATAAATCCGAAAACCCCAAAAATATTTGTTGCTTTGAGTTTATTCCGCGCAAGTCGTCTTTGCCAATTGGTTCCCTTTGGTAGTTTTGATTTGTATCTTTCGTTGCATTGCTTGTTTCTCGTTGAATCTAAGATTAAACCTTCAAAAAAAAAAAAAAAAAAAATCATTTCTAGTTGTTCTTGTTTGTGATTCGTCTATTGTGGTATCTTTGATTTGGTTATTGTTTTTGCTGAATACAGAAACTAGTAGCTAGCTTATAGAACCCCATGGGAGACGAGGCCGCAAACCCACAAGGAGAGCTCATGCAGATGCTTGCCGCGATGAGACAAGACTTGTTGAACATGAGGGCAGAGTTTGGCGAACGTGTCGGCCGACTAGAGCAGCCTCCACCTCCTCTCCACCCAGCCGCCGCTCCGGCAGGACCTAGAGCCAGAGTGGGGAACTTACACCCTCAAGGAGGAGACATGCCTCACCTCGAAGAAGATCTGCCACCTGACCCGTTACTTAACCAAAACCCGAGAGCTCACGATCCTCTGAGGAGACAGAATGCAAGAGGAGAAGAGCAGAGAGAGGGCAATACTGAGATTAAACTAACCCCTCCCACTTTTGCAGGAAAATCAAACCCGGATATCTATCTAGATTGGGAGAGGAGACTCGAGTACATCTTTGAGTGCTATGGCTATGGAGATCGCAAGAAGGTCGCCTTAGCAGCTGCCCAGCTCACTGACAATGCCATAGCATGGTGGGATCGCAATGTAGCTGAAAGGAGAAGGAATCGCTTTGCCCCAGTCACCACTTGGCGTGATATGAAATACTTATTGAGGTCTAGATATGTTCCTGATCATTATCACCGTGACTTACAAAAACGTTTTAGAAAGCTTGCGCAGGGAACCAGGACCGTAGACGAGTACTTTGAGGAGTTTGAGAAGCTGATGAATCTATTGGAACTAGAGGAGTCAGAGGAGGCCTTGATGGCTCAGTTTGTAGACGGATTGCAAGAGCGCATAGCCCGTAAGGTAGAGAGAACTCAGTATAGTGGTATGCACGAGCTCTTACATTTGTCTGTGCAGGTAGAACAGCAAATCAAGCGCAAGATAACCCTGTCAAACCGGAGCAGAACACCTCAGACTTGGAATACAAGCAACTCCAAACCACCAGAAGGGAAAGGGAGTGGAGATCGAATCTCGCTTCAAGAGCAAGTTTCCTGAACCCCCCAAGAACAACCGACCAGAGCAAGGTAAGAACCCTAACCTTTCAAGATCACGCGAGATAATCTGTTTCAAGTGTCAGGGTAGAGGTCACATGTCAAGGGAATGCCCGAACCAGCGAGCTATGGTCATCACGGCTAGTGGAGACTATGAGTCTCAAGACGAGATTGAGGTCGACGATACCATTGATTCTGGAGAAGAAGTAGAGTATCCCGATACCGGAGATCTCTTGATCACTAGGCGGATTTTGAGTGTTTTCATCAATCCAGAGGAGAAGCTACAACGCGAGAACCTATTCCATACCCGATGCACCGTCAAGAGCAAGGTATGTAATCTAGTTATTGATGGAGGTTCGTGTACTAACGTGGCTAGTGAGTTCATGGTTGACAAGCTAGGTATTGAAACCACCAAGCACCCTCGACCCTACAAGCTTCAATGGCTCGACAACACTACGGTGATCAAGGTATCAAAACAAGCCATTGTACCTTTCAGCGTTGGTAAGTACCAAGACCAAGTATTGTGTGACGTTGCCCCAATGTATGCTGGTCATCTCCTGCTTGGCCGTCCATGGCAATACGATCGAGCCACCCTTCACAACGGTCGCACCAACTACTACTCCTTCACCCACAATGATCGTAAGTATAATTTGGCGCCCCTCACTCCCTCTGAAGTCCATGAACTCCAAGTTCGTATGGACAAGGAACAAAAGGTAAGTAAGTCTAACCTTATGATTTCTTCTAGTGCCGTTTCTAAAACTTTAAGTGCCAAAGGCACTGTGCTACTAATGGTTTATAAAGAATGTTTAAGCACAGGAGCTCAGGAGGTAGTGATCCCAACTGAGGTCCAAGTCGTACTAGATCACTTTAAAGATGTCTTCCCTGATGATATACCACCAGGATTACCTCCCATCCGCGGTATAGAACATCAAATCGATCTTGTTCCTGGCTCAGCGCTGCCCAACAAACCAGCCTACCGGATGAACCCTGAAGAGAGTAAGGAACTTGAGAAGCAAGTAAGAGAGTTGATGGACAAGGGCTACATCCGCGAAAGCCTTAGCCCCTGTGCAGTGCCGGTTCTCTTGGTTCCAAAGAAGAATGGTACATGGAGAATGTGTGTTGACTGCCGTGCAATCAACAACATTACAATCAAGTACCATCATCCCATCCCACACCTTGATGACATGCTAGACGAGCTCAGTGGTGCCACCATATTCTCCAAAGTTGATCTCAAAAGCGGCTACCATCAAGTGAGAATGCGAGAAGGGGTTGAGTGGAAGACTGCCTTCAAGACCAAGCAAGGTCTCTACGAGTGGCTAGTTATGCCTTTCGGCCTAACCAACGCTCCAAGCACTTTCATGAGGCTCATGAATCAGGTTCTAAGAATGTTTATTGGTAAATTTGTTGTGGTATATTTCGATGATATTCTTGTTTACAGCAAATGTTTACTCGATCATGTTATGCATCTAGAACTTGTCTTACAATCACTTCGCAAGGAAGGTCTATATGCCAACCTTAAGAAGTGTTCCTTTTGTACTAATAAACTTGTCTTTTTAGGCTTTGTTGTTAGTGAACAGGGATTACAAGTGGAAGAGGAAAAGATCAAAGCCATTCAAGAGTGGCCGACACCAACTACGATCGGCCATGTCAAAAGCTTCCATGGTTTAGCTAGCTTCTACCGGCGATTCGTGAGAGATTTCAGTACCGTAGCTGCCCCACTTACTGCTGTCATCAAGAAGAATGTGCCATTCCATTGGGTAGAAACTCAAAAACTCGCTTTCAAGACCTTGAAGGAGCGACTTACGCAATCCCCTGTTCTTGCCTTACCCGACTTTGAAGTGATGTTTGAGGTTGAATGCGATGCTTCTGGCTTGGGTTTAGGAGCCGTGCTTCAACAGAGGGGCAGGCCGGTGGCTTATTTCAGTGAGAAGCTTAGTGGAGCTACACTTAACTACCCTACCTACGACAAGGAGCTGTACGCACTAGTTAGAGCTCTAGAGACGTGGCAACACTACCTACTGTCTAAAGAGTTTGTCATCCATACAGACCATGAGACACTCAAACACCTGAGAGGCCAAACATCACTCAAGAAGAGGCATGCTAAATGGCTGGAGTTTATAGAGACGTTTCCCTATGTCATAAAGTACAAGAAAGGGAAAGAGACATCGTTGCCGATGCCTTGTCAAGAAGGCATGCTCTCATATTCACCATGGAGGCCAAAGTACTTGGATTCGAGCACATCAAAGACCTCTATGCATCTGATCCCGACTTTGCCGAGAGTTACAAGGAAAGTGGTAAGGGAGCTTATGGTTCCTTTTATATCTTTGACGGCTTTCTTTTCAAGGATAAGAGACTATGCATACCACAAGGGTCTATGAGAGAGCTATTACTGACTGAGGCTCATGGAGGAGGGCTCATGGGACATTTTGGTGTAGACAAGACCTTAGCCGTGCTGGTGGATCACTTCTTCTGGCCGCACTTAAAGAAAGATGTGGAGAAGTTCTGCTCTCGATGCATCACATGTCGCAAGGCTAAATCCAGGTTACATCCACACGGTTTATACACTCCATTACCTATCCCTAACGCCCCTTGGGTAAATATTTCGATGGATTTTGTAATAGGTTTGCCTAAGATCAGGCACAAAGACTCCATTTTTGTTGTGGTGGATCGGTTTTCCAAGATGGCACACTTCATCCCTTGTGCCAAGGTGAATGATGCTACACAAACAGCCGACTTATTCTTCAAAGAGGTGGTGCGTCTTCATGGCATACCAAGGACCATAGTGTCAAATCGTGATTCAAAATTCCTCAGCCACTTCTAGAAAACACTTTGGAAGAAGCTAGGTACCAAACTCCTATTCTCTACCACTTGCCATCCACAAACCGATGGGCAAACTGAAGTGGTAAACCGTACTCTCTCCACTTTACTTAGAGCTACAATTGGTAAAAACTTGAAAACATGGTTAGATTGTATCCCTTTTGTTGAATTTGCCTATAACCATGCTACTCACAGTGCTACTAAGTTTTCTCCTTTTGAAGTTGTGTATGGCTTTAATCCCCTGACGCCATCAGACCTGACACCAATACCACAAGCCGAGCAAGTCAATCTTGACGGCCTAACCAAAGGCGAATTCATCAAGAAGCTACACCAGAAGGCTAAAGAAAATGTGGAGAAAAAGACGGAGGAATACAAGAGGAGAGCAGACAAGGGCCGCAAGAAGCTAACCTTTGAACCATGAGAGTGGGTCTGGCTGCACTTAAGACCCGAGCGATTCCCCCAAAAGAGGAGCTCTAAACTTTCACCGAGAGGAGATGGGCCGTTTCGTGTTCTCGAGAAGATCAACGACAATGCCTATAAGCTGGAATTGCCAAGTGAGTTTAACATTTCACATAGCTTTAATGTCGCTGATCTATCTCCCTTTGATGTTGAGGAAACAGTTTTGAGGGCAAAACCTCTTGAAGAGGGCGGGAATGATGAGGTCATCGACCCGATCCAAACCCAAACCGAGCTACCAACACTCATAGAAGCACCCATGACACGCTCAAAGACCAGGAGCTTACGTGAGAAGTTCAACCTTGCTGTGGAGAGCATCTTAGACGCTCCAGAACAAGACCTTACCGACATAAGACATCAAGGTATGATTCCTTTTTCAGGTCAAGGAACTCAGGATCTCAACAATGCCGTGGAACTCAAGCTTGTACCGGAGCAAGGTAAAGAAACTAAAGATGGAGAAGATCGAAGCTAAAGAAGTGGAGGAGATAGAAGATTTAAGGATCGTCCAAACAGCCAACGATGCCGAAGATTACACGAAGACTGAAGGACAAGGCCACACAACTCCTCCTTGGCCGATGCTGCGAGAACGTAAGGTATATTCAATTATAATGTTTAATGCAGGAACATCCGAAGCCCCTACTTGACCAAGGCCCACGTACAAGACAAGAGGAAGCCAAAGACTTGTCATTTTTCTCTATTTCTAGTTTCCTTATTTGGATTAAAAACATTGGTCATGTCGTTTTGTTCTTCTTTGTTTTTGCTTGTTGTTTTTGTGCTTTCCTTTTATGTTTGAACTCGACCCTAGAAGGTTAAGCTGAAGGACTGTTTATAAAGTCCCACTGCAGCATTGTAGCCGTCACCTTTTTTTTGCTTATCAATAAAATACCCTTTTTCTTCTCAAGCGATTTGCCTTGTGAGATTGTTCTTTTGCTTGTTTCTGTGCGTGTGAGATTCACCATAGACCGAGTGTTTGCTGTATCAAAGAGACTATCCATACTCTTTGTGGTGCCATCAACTTCCCCCATCGTTTCCATCCATAGATCTCACAAGAGAGAGCGTAGGCCAGCTTGTTTGATCCCATCCGACCGTTAATAGATTCAAACCCATTTGGATCTTATACCAGAGTATATGAAACCTAAGATCTGATGCTAGTTGATCAGAAAAGCAAGCAGCAATGAGTTCAAGTGAAGATGAAGATCTAATATAATAAACCCTAATTCGAATTTAGCAACCTAATGATTCATGAACTCTTTGAAACCAACAACCTAACTAGAAATCTACTCAATCATCATGAAAGTAAACAAGCATAAATCATAGTATTATAAGGAGAAAAGGGTTTAGAAAGCTTCTCTATGTCGAGATACAAAGAAGGGATCTTCTCCCTTAAGAAAACAATGAGAAAGAAGTAAAACAATGGAGAATCCCTCTAAGGGGAGCTCCCTAGTGCGTCTCTCTCTTGTGGCTCTTCTCCTGTACGGCTCTCTCTTCTAAAGAGGCTAAAAAAGAGTATTTATAGTGCCCTAGGTCTTCCACAAGTCGGTTGAGGTGAAACGGGCCAAGAATAGTCGAAACTGCATAAGTGGGCTTTTTGTTCGCGGAGCCTCGGGTCGACCGTGTGAGGGATGCGGTCGGCCGTCGGCCGTGATGTGATGTTCTCGGTCGATCGTGGTCCATTGCCTCCCGGCTCGGACGGTGCGGTCGTGCGGCCGGATCGGTCCTGGAGAAGGCCGAGCGAAGTCAATTCCCTTCCTGTCCGGCCGAGTGCGTTCGGCCGGCTGTGGACCAGTCTTCAGTACAAACGTGATATCTCCTAAACGGCTTATCCAAATTGCATACTTCCAACGGCATTGGAACACTAACTCATCTGCCTATCTTGGTGTGAGTTTCATTGAAATCCATTGAGTTTAAGGGTCCAAGCCGCTGCTGCTCGTCTGATGTACTGATGCAGTCCGATAAAGCTCCTCGGTATATGTCTCAGGGAAATAGAGATATCTCCCAATCTACTCGGTCAAATTGATTGATTCCAGTTGCGTTGCAAAGCTAACTCACGTATGCATCACGTCGAACTGGATTTGATGAAGTCCATTGAGTAGAATGTTTTTAAGGCCCTTCTAAAGTTGATGCTACGTCCTGGAGCGGTCTTGAAGTCCAAATCCTGTGTTTTGCTCCAAAATGCATCTTTTGACCTGTTTAGACTCTAAGTACTATAAATCCATAAAAACTACCTTTTTAGATCAGAAAGCCATTAAAAACCTTATGAAAAGCATAGTAAAACCATATAAAAAGCATGTAAAATAGAGGTATATCAACTCCCCCAGACTTAGATCTTTGCTTGTCCCCAAGCAAATAGAATCTAATCCGTGAAGAGGTTTGAAAACGTGGAAACTCCCTTGCTCTTTGAAAATCTTGTGAAGGGTTCCTTTCCTGTATTCCACTAAGAACATAGGCAACATAAGGTTAGCTTCACATACACTCCTGCAAGCTTAGCGAACAATACCAACTCAACTAGTCTCATCCAGTAATCCAAACTCTCTATTGCTAACCTCTTGCATAAATTTAAAACGTGAGTTCTTTATCAAGGGAATATCGATCATTAAGCACTTGTTCTTACCCACTTGATCTCTCCAAGATTGTCTTTGAAGTCATGAGTTCTTTTCCTCTCTCTTTCTCACATCAGATCTTTGAAGGTCGATTTTTCCCTACTTTTCTAGGGTATCATTTTATTTTTTCTATCGACCCCTCTATCAACAAGGATAAGTCTTTAGCTTGTTCCTTGTTTGATAAGGTATTCCATAAGACATGAAGGTACAGACATATGCATTCCTCATGCTTACTTGTTTTCCTTGTGCTCAAGCTTTTCTCAGTAAAATTTATATTTAGGATGGGAGAGAGAGGAGAACTGCTTAAGGTTAGACAAATCTCATTGAAAATCAAGCAAGGAACTGTCGACATGTATGCCAACCCCCTTGACAAGAGTTATTAAGATTGATTAAGGTGAGGTTAACTCTAGATTGCTTGGTTACCTTAGAAATTTCGCTGAGCTAGCATGTCGATCCACTCTAAGAGCTTCTGTTAGGCTTGTGCCTTTAGCTGATGTCTGCTCTAGGGTCATAGATTGTTAGCACAACACCGGCAAATCTCAAAGCAAGTTCATAATTTCCGGACTAGGTTTTGACTCAATAAAACAAAAGTTTTGAAAAAGGTGGAAAAGAGAATAAGATATAAGATGAAGACAAGGCATGAACAAACACATTAGTACCAACAATCCCCCCAGACTTAACTTGCACCGTCCCGGTGAAAGCAAATCCGATTAAGGGAGGAAAAAGAAAGAGGTAATAATGTGTGAGTAATGAGAAGAAAGATGTAACCTGATTAGACCTTAAGTCCTTGAAGAAACAACCTAGTGGTGGTATGTAGTTGACCTTTTCCAGCCTTAGGTCATGAATGAATGGGAGACTTCCTCATGTGATTTTGGTCGGTGAGTTTTGAATTTCAGGGCTTGGTTCACTCCGGGTTGCGTTCTGGCCGAGATGGGACATTTCGGTCGACCGGAGGGTAGTGCTATGGACTACAGCTCAAACTATAATGAATTCCTCGACCCATATTGAAATTTCATCGACCAACCTCATATTTTATGGCCTATGGTGAAGTTTGAGAGCATTCGAACGAGTGGATGAGAGATCCTTCACAAAGTGGTCAATATGGCTCTGGGAAGAGGTTTCTTGGCCATCCTTGAGTTTGGCTCGTTCGTTTTGTGATCTTCCTTTGGAAATGAGTTATTGAAGCTCCAGGAAGTCATTTTCAGCCGGAGTTCGCGCCTATGCCATGATTTGGTTTTGTCGGCCATTTGGTTGCATCGCGGACGACCGGATGGGGCTCTTCTGTATATCTCCGAACCGTGAACATTTCACCGTCCTATCTTTTGGATTTTCGGACCAAACTTTGATTTTATGGTCGCCTGTGAAGTTTGGTGGACTTTGAACATATGGTTGAGGAGTTGGCCGAGATTGATTCTCCATGCATGTGCCATGGCCGAGAGAAATAGGCCGGATGGAATTTCTTCAAATCCACTCGGGCCAATTGAGCTTTTCTTCGACCAAAGTGATTTTTAACCCTTCTTTGTCATTCCCAGGTTGTGCTCGCCTTGTTCCTTGTGATTTGGGTATGTTCCTCCTTTGAAACCTTCCTTAAACCTCCATAGGTATGATGGTTGTGGTCGGCTATAGCATTTCTTCTTGATATCCTTCCTGTCAAGTAATCAAATCCTTGCAAAATACTTGAAATCACTGATTAGATAGTTCTTAGATTGAGACCCTCAAGTAACCAGCTTGAAGTTCACAATCCAAGAGATTAAGGTAAAAACTATAAACATATTTTTGGGTCTTGGTTAGTGATCCCAAACTTCAAATTATAGTTTAGTCTATGTGAATTCATTGCATCATATAAGTTTGACAAGTAGAGATATATTTCATTCAATGACCATTGAATTTTAAAGCGATTTAGACCATGAAATGTAAGTAATGAATTGCAATGGTTCAAATGCCCATGAAGTGAAGATTAGTAGTGGTCATGAATGAAATATTGGAGAAGAATTTACTTACCTGTAGTGGAGATTTCGCCTTGAACAAGGGTGGGACTTTGGGTGGGACACTTTCATAGTATTACAAGGAGAAAAGGGTTTAGAAAGCTTCTCTATGTCGAGGTACAAAGAAGGGATTTTCTCCCTTAAGAAAACAATGAGAAAGAAGTAAAACAATGGAGAATCCCTCTAAGGGGAGCTCCCTAGTGTGTCTCTCTCTTGTGGCTCTTCTCCTGTGCGGCTCTCTCTTCTAAAGAGGCTAAAAAAGAGTATTTATAGTGCCCTAGGTCTTCCACAAGTCGGTTGAGGTGAAACGGGCCAAGAATAGTCGAAACTGCATAAGTGGGCTTTTTGTTCGCGGAGCTCGGGTCGACCGTGTGAGGGATGTGGTCGGCCGTCGGGGTCGGCCGTGATGTGATGTTCTCGGTCGATCGTGGTCCATTGCCTCCCGGCTCGGACGGTGCGGTCGTGCGGCCGGATCGGTCCTGGAGAAGGCCGAGCGAAGCCAAATCCCTTCCTGTCCGGCCGAGTGCGTTCGGCCGGCTGTGGACCAGTCTTCAGTACAAACGTGATATCTCCTAAACGGCTTATCCAAATTGCATACTTCCAACGGCATTGAAACACTAACTCATATGCCTATCTTGTGTAGAGTTTCATTGAAATCCATTGAGTTTAAGGGTCCAAGCCGCTGCTGCTCGTCTGATGTACTGATGCAGTCCGATAAATCTCCTCGGTATATGTCTCAGGGAAATAGAGATATCTCCCAATCTACTCGGTCAAATTGATTGATTCCAGTTGCGTTGCAAAGCTAACTCCGTATGCATCACTCGAACTGATTTGATGAAGTCCATTGAGTATAATGTTTTTAAGGCCCTTCTAAAGTTGATGCTACGTCCTGGAGCGGTCTTGAAGTCCAAATCCTGTGTTTTGCTCCAAAATGCATCTTTTGACCTGTTTAGACTCTAAGTACTATAAATCCATAAAAACTACCTTTTTAGATCAGAAAGCCATTAAAAACCTTATGAAAAGCATAGTAAAACCATATAAAAAGCATGTAAAATAGAGGTATATCAGTCGGAGTCTAAAGAAGGCGAGAACTATTACGTCACAGACCAAGAACTCTGCTGTGGAAGAACACATGAAGATAATTGAACATGTATCCAAACAGATAAAGGATGCAATATCCGGAGCTGAAGGCAGGATGTCCAAACGAATCAGTTCGAGTTTAAAGGATATGCAGGCTAGGCTCGGGAAAGATTGCAAAGTTATGGTTCAGAAAATGGTTGAGAGGCATTTGCAAAGATACAAGGAGAATGATTTTGTCGCTATGGTTGTTCGTGAAATCAACGCAACACACGTGACAACAGACAAGATGGCATTGGTTACAACTGGTAGCAAGTCACACAATGTTAGTGATTGCGTTTTTGTATACACATGAGCTTGACCGGAGATTAGTATGTGTTGAACCATATTTTATTGTAGGGCACGCGGTCTGAGAATGCAACAACGAATGATGTACAGAACGTTCTCGAGAAGTTCACTGCAATGACCAAACAAATGGTTGCAACGAGGTATGTACTTAACTAAGTCCCAAAGCATTGGTAGACACATGTTTTATTTTAGTTATATACTACATTTCATAGCACTACATATAATTAAATAAAATCATACGTATGCAAAGTAGCACAATATCTACATATATGGATAACCATTTCATATGTTACATGTATACATTCTTTGTACGATTGCATAGGGAGCTGGATTTTGGCTTCGGGTTGGTCCTCGTAGCTAAGGAATTGCTCAATATACCAATATGTATCACACCCACCAGGCCCGTGGTATTGCTATGTGCCTGTACTTGTGTTCCCGTTTATATGTTTTTATATTCGTTTACCAATTTTGACACGAGCCCTACTTCGCCGCAGGTGATGGATTCATGTGTAATGGTCTTCACGGAGAACTTGCTTTCAAGCTTAGATCCAACGCCTGAGCCATGCGCAGACTTCATGCCATGTAGATTCGCTGGTCACTCGGCTCTCAGTATGGTAGATTCAAGAAAGCGTATAAGAAGGAAAACTTCCAGCTCGATGATGACCTAACTAAAAGTATTAAGGACAGGTTTGTTGTAACCGGTGAGATATCGAGTGAGCCGGTGAGTGGCATATAATAACGAATGTTTGTAGACATATATTTATTTACGTAGCTTGCTATTTTTATTTATAACGGCAAACTTATTTTCGTTTCGTTTCAATTTGGATCATCGAATCTTCATATTTATCTTTCTCACTTTAACCCAAAACTATACACATGTATTTGGGCCTTACGAAAACACAATGCCCAAATGGTATATTCCAATCAGACATAGTGGAAGCTCACGTGTTCGCCTTTTTCAAGTGGGAGAATAGGTTCTGTCATCAGTTAGATAGAGGAAGTCGAAGTAGGGTTACTCCGCACAAGCCGCCGTTTGCATTAGGTAAGAATTATCCAATTTCACTTCATTAACAATCTGGCGGATTATTGTTGCGGTCAATTGTATTTGCGTTTTAATTGAGATACAGATAATTCCAGACAAGCAATGGAAGTTGGTCCCGAGATCCCGTGGAGGTGTCAGTGCGGCGTCGCACAGTCATCCTAAAATCCAACACTAGTCAAAACCCAGGCAGGAAATTCTACAAATGCGGCGCTATTTCTGGACCTAACCACGTTTTCAAGTGGGTAGACGAAGCGCAAACGGAGGAGTTTGATGTGATTCGATCCAGACAAGCGGGTATAAAGGAGTCCGTAGCCGCAATCAGAGAGGAAATAGTCGATATGAGGAAAGACATGGTTGAGGTGATTCAATTGGTGGAAAAAATTGGTAAGAATTTTAGTCCAAACTAATCGTTGTCCGTTATGCTTAAGATTTCGGTAGTCGTTTGAAGTATATGTGCTACATATATTAGACATCCATGTTTTTACATAGAGTGTTATATCTTAAGTTCCAGTATACAAATTATTGCGATATTTAGTAAGACAAAAAAATATGAACCTTAAATTATGGCACAACTTTTTCACATTATTCCGGAAGGTACAATATAGTACATTAGGTAATCCTCTTGGGATCACAAGAAAAGAGAAAGTACAAATTATATGATTATCTTCGCAGAAGACTAAACTGAAATAGGAGCATTATATTACATAAATAGAATGAAAAAGCACACATATAACTTAGCCGACTGGCTGTCTTCATACACGGAAAATTTGCAGCCTAACTGCACAAAGTCGGAAAAGTTAGTTAGATCGTAGCCATAGACGTGTTCATTTTCTAAAAACATGAGTTACACTTTTAGAATTAAGTTATACCTTATTCGATTACTGAAAGTAGATTATCATATCGTCATTTTGCATGATGCACGGTTATGCCCAATTCCTCAACAACGAGTACATGCCCTCACCTTCTTCGTCGCCTACCTCTGTCAAATGTTAACATATTATATAACGACGTAAGTTTAATAGTGGATATCCATCAACTTTAGTTAATCGATATTAAAATACCTTAAACTCTCCACTTGAAAGGTATCTAGTACGCTTTGGCCTACCTGGTGGCCTCCTCCTCTGGGGTGCAAGGATGGTCAAAGTAGCAATATCATCCGGGACGGCGTACAAAATGCCCATGTCAGGAACATGATTGATGCTCTTGTGGTAAGCAAGGCGCCAATAGAAGTGACCATACTCTTCCGCAGCCAGAGTGTGAACTTGGATTTTTGCCTTTACCGCAGCTGCTATGGCTTGGGAGCAGGGGATCTTGAGCATGTCAAACTCTTCGCAGGTACATGTTTTGTTATGAAGATACACATGAACTGTTATACCCAATTGTGTCTTCACTTCATAGATCTCCTCATTAACCCTGATCACCTTGTAGTCAGTCGACTTTTCATAATGCGACTGAACTAAACCGCCAGCCTTTGGAGTTAGTTCGGCTTTGTGTTCGGTCGCCTTTTCACGGCGCTTTGTGAACCAAGACGTAAGGATGCCACAGATGTATTCAATGGCCGAGACAATTGGCAACTCCCTTGCTTCTTTCAGAACTGCATTTAGGCTCTCTGCTACGTTGCTAGTAAGAATGTTGTAACGCTCACCATTACAATACGAGCGCGTCCAGTGGTGGAACCCAATGGACCTCAAGTATTCTGAACATCCCGAAGATACAAGCTCAATTTCGGCAAAATGATCATGGAATGAAGACTTCTTGTATGCCCGGGCAGCCTTTGATATCATTATCAAAGACTCCCATGCATTATCATTCTCACTGTCTAGGATAGCAAATGCAATTGGGAATATCTGGAAATTTTCATCTTGAGCACTAGCAGTCAATATACATCCACCGTACCGACCCTTCAAGTGAGCTCCGTCCACTATTACCACCTTCCGCATGTAACCCAATCCCCGTACACTCGCTCAAAAGGCAACAAAGCAATATTTGAACCGTGTCCTGCCGGCCTGGTCGACGGTTGTCTAAATACTTGCAACTGTTCCCGAATTAGCTGCCTTAAGAAGGTGTAAATATGCGGGCAAACTGTAGCTGTCAGCGTCGGATCCTTTCACACTCTCTATTGCCAACTCTCTAGCCCTCCACGCCTTCCAGTATGACATGTTGACACTGTGTTCCTGCAACATCGCACGAATAACCCCTATCGGATTTGGACCGCGTCCGGATCCTGCGTACCTACTACGCATAATCTCGGAGATGACGGACGTGGTTGCCTGATGGTGGAACTGACTCCTGACATCAACTGGGCAAGAATGGACCAAAGTTGCGGTTCTTACTTGAAAGTATTCACTATCCTCCATTCGTGCCACGTAAGCCCTCCATGGACAAGCATCCGGGACACATCGAACAACTACCAAATCGTAGTTTGACCTTTCGTTCTTGTAGCTGAATCGGCGATTTATTGCATGCACAACTATCTTCACCTTGCAGTCGTGCTTGTTCTTGAAAACACGCCCAACGAACAGATCATCACCCTCATAAGCAACATCAAGTATGACACTCTCAGTCATGTTGGGAACTGTGCAAAATCAAAGATGCACGAACAAATACATTTTAATAAACCCGTAAATACTCACATGCAACCACCATATAATCGTGTACCCATCTAACACACTAATTTTGGATACGCTATTTTCGTACCTTCTTCCTCAGGGTCTTCTACAACAGGTGCAGCATCTCACGTAAAAGCGTGTCCCGAGAGATCCATTAGATGCATTGTCTCCGGACGGATATTCCCGCCATGAGCTCTGATAACCATGTTCATAGCCAACCCTCTCTGCTCAACATCTGCCGGACACTCTATCCGACGACTTGTTTGGCCTGCACGGAAGTTGGCTTGCATGTATTATGCATACTATCAACAAGTGGATATCTATATATACGAGTATATATAAACAATAGGAGGAAGCCATATATACCCGGTACACATGGCCATAGGTTAGTGGTATCCTCGTGTCTCTTTGCCGGTGGTGCATCTTCATCAACAGCTCGCACTCGCTCCTTTCCTTTGCCTGTGAAATTTTATTTTTAGTAATAGCACGAATATTAATATCTTGACATGAGGCGCTGTAAACATTGTAGATATATTGAGAGACACATACCCGCAGCGTCAAACTGAGGAAACAAATCCCTGATTAGCTGAGTGACCTCCACACAGTCATCGTCATCACTCAAAGTAACACTAGCCGGGAAAACACTCAGAGATGAATCCTTATCACCTGATGCATGGACGTCTACATTAAGTAGCAGTGGCCTATGAACCTCCATATCCGCGGTGTTGCTTGACTACCCCGTCTCTCTTGTAAGCTGTGTCAACATTATTCCGTCATTAGTGTTTTCCACCGTAGATTTGTCCCGTTGTACAGCCTGATCACGATCGTATACACTACCTTTCACAACTTTTGCTAGCGCAAACCCGTGTATCACTGGTACAACACGGAAATCCTCCACGTCGATACTCATGTTCAGTGGTAATGGCATGACATAGAGCTTCAAGTCATGCAAATCAGTTCTCATGAGGAGGAACATGTCCAAATCATCATTACTGCGGATGTGGATTGGGACAGGCTTGACGCTTCCATCAACATCCATCCACTGTGGCATCTGGTAAGTAAGCTGGATGTGCTCCTTAGCTTCTTTTATGTGTAGTTTCGCCATTATCTTATTGCGGACAGCGGCGATACCATCGCCTTCACACAGCTTCATGCCTTTTGCTGAGCCTATCCGTCATCGGCACCCACTGCCACACTCCGTCTCCATTTATGTTCCACCACCCTTGTTCAACTCGCACAAGATCACTGAGAATCTCCCACAGAAACACCATCACTGCAATGAGATTCAAAAAGTTAAAGGATTAGTTACGTAATCTAACAAATAGATGTCTAGATTAAATATAAAAATCCAAGATAATACTTACAATTTTTCTGAAACTACTATAGTTTATCTGCTAATCAAAAGCTTCGTGTACTTGATCCTGACCACTTCTCTACTTTGCATGTCTATCTCTTTTATAGACGGAGAAAAGATTTAGGTTAGCGCTTCAACTTTGACACTCTCGCCCAATGTCATTAACTACGGACACAAGATTTGCAATTAATAACCATATATGTGTCAGTTAATCGCAGCACAGTCGACCAATCAGCCCGATTACGTGTCTCGTTTAACAATTCACTTATTCTCTTTGTAAACACCCCCACGCGCATTGAAGACGTTGCAACTGCTTTTCGGGCATGCAGACCACTCTCTCATTTCACACTTCGTACCCTTTTGCTACTTCCTCCTAACCATCTAGACAATTGCTAAAAAAGGGTCGAAATTTGCTACACACCAAATTCTCTCATAGATATACTTAGTTCTTCCTTCATTTATTCTATTCTTACGCGTTTGTATTCGGGAGCATAGACCGCAGGAGTGTCTGTGGATATAACACGTAGAAGCTTATACCTTATCTACATCTGACACGTGGCACAAAAGAAGCATGGCCCCCCAAAACGCTTCTCTTGTTCTGTCTACCTGATGCCGCCACTCGTCACGTCCCTCCCATCTTATCCGAAAGATCCAACGGCTCTGAATTGGTTATCAGAATTTTCATTCTGTCTCGGTATTTCCACAAAATACCAAATTGATCCATCTTTTGTTTTCAAATCGATATTTCATTCACTTAGGTAATGAAAATAATCATAATATTAAATAAAATAATATAATTAAAACCAGAAAAAGCATAAATTTGCAGACGAAGAAAAGCGTCGGTGTTATTAGATAGGGTGATCAAAACCGATCCCATAAGAAAGAAATTTGTTTATCGAAGACGACGTTAATGGCGGAAACCGTAGAGCTACCTAGTAGGTTAGCGATTCTTCCTTTCAGGAACAAGGTTCTCTTACCTGGCGCCATTATTCGAATCCGTTGTACTTCTCATAGCAGGTAAATTAGCTCATCTTACGACTCTTATGATTTGATCATCATCATCTTCTTCTTCTTCTTCTTCTTCTTCTTCTTTCCCTGTACTGTATTTTTTGGGTTTAATTGAATGTTTGTACTCGTTGGAGCCAGTTCCAGCAATCAAATAGTGCCAAAATGTATGAGTTAGGGTTAATTTTGGTTTGTTTGTTTGTTTGCTGAGTATTGAGGGATTTTAAATTAACCTTGTTGGTTTTTATAACTTGTTTGCCTAATTAAGTGTCACACTCGTGGAGCAAGAGCTATGGCAGAAAGAAGAGAAAGGGTTAATCGGCATTTTGCCTGTTCGAGATGATGCCGAGGGTTCTTCAATTGGGACGATGATTAATCCAGGTACTGGATAATTGAAATTGATACCGGATGAATTTGGGTTGATGAGTCTCTGTGTTGAATTTAAACTTCTTGTGGCCTAGGCGCTGGAAGTGAATCTGGAGAAAGAAGCTTGAAATTTCTAGTTGGCACAACAGATGCTCAAAAGTCTGATGCTAAAGATCAGCAAGAAGTTCACTGGCACAACAGGTTCAGTTTATCTTACACTCATTAGACTGTGATATATCATAGTAAAACAAAGGCAACAATTTGTGATTCCAGAGTTCATAAAGTGGCTCGAGTGTGATCTGATTTCTGTTTTGGTTTGATTATTAGCATATGCTGAGCGATACTTTTCTTTTCTGATTCACAGGGGAGTAGCAGCGCGTGCTCTACATCTTTCAAGAGGCGTAGAGAAACCAAGCGGAAGAGTTACATATGTGGTTGTCCTTGAAGGTCTCAGTAGGTTTAACGTTCAAGAGCTTGGGAAAAGAGGACCATATTCAGTTGCGCGGGTTACGTCGCTCGAGATGACTAAGGCAGGTAAGATATATTACATTCGTAGCTTTTGGTGACTACTGGTGTCAAACTTTTCTCTTCTGTCCAAGCATTCGTAGAGTTTTTTTTTTTTTTTTCTTTTTTTTTTACTGAATTAGTTTCCTGCCTCTTTTGAAAGATTTTAATCTCTAAAATGCAAGTTCTACTTGTGCTTCATATACATAAAAGTTTTTGCGTTTGAGAATTGTTTGAGGTTAGGGATTATCAAAGATAGTAGATTTGAGTCAGGGCTTGTTTGGTAGTAATAGTTTTCCCCGCTTATTTCAGGTTGGCTTTTAACTTTCTATTGCATTTGGCACCATTGATGTCTTTAGCTGGTTCCCTTTCTGGCCATCTGCAGAGTTGGAGCAAGTGGAACAAGACTCGGATTTTGTAGCACTGTCGCGCCAGTTTAAGACCACTGCTATGGAGCTGGTTTCTGTGCTTGAACAGGTATCTTTAATGAAACTGAAATGACTTCCTGTTCTTTTAGTTCCTCGTTTCTTAAGTTTCTTTGTTGCTTCAGCATTAGACTTTCCCAGATTAGTTAACAACTTGACAACGTTGGAACCATAAGTATATGCTTTCACGAAATTGGTTCTTCTTTGGGGGACTTGGTTTCTTTCCATGGGTTTAATTTTTCAGACTTTCTTCCACTGAAAGTTAGATAATTCTTGATTGAATAAGTAAGTCATGCGTTAATTCTTTTTTTTTTTTTTTTTTTTTCAGAAACAAAAAACTGGTGGAAGGACAAAAGTTCTATTGGAGACGGTTCCTATTCATAAACTAGCAGACATATTTGTTGCTAGTTTTGAGATGAGTTTTGAAGAGCAACTATCTATGCTGGATTCAGTTGACCTTAAAGTAAGGCTTTCAAAGGCTACTGAACTAGTTGATCGGCATTTGCAGGTTAGCTATTGCTATTCATATAGTTTTGAAATCTGCCCTGAATTTTCCTCTCGTCGTTTTGAATTTGTGTTGATGTTTACTTGTGGCAGTCAATTCGCGTGGCAGAGAAGATTACTCAGAAGGTGGAGGGCCAGTTGTCAAAGTCACAGAAGGAGTATCTCTTGCGCCAGCAGGTTCATTTCTTTTGGCACTCGGTTTTAGGCTATTGTCCGTAAGTAGGATGACTTATGACCATCAAACTTGTTTTTGCAGATGAGAGCTATTAAAGAGGAGCTTGGGGACAACGATGATGATGAAGATGATGTAGCTGCACTTGAAAGAAAAATGCAAGCTGCGGGAATGCCGTCAAACATATGGAAGCATGCTCAAAGGGAATTGAGGTATGCTGTGCTACAAGAAGATTGCTTTTGGTTGTGTGACTTTGTACCAACTTAAAGACATAATTTCCTTATTAGTAGTCTTCTTTTTCATGTCCTAATGCAGGAGACTGAAAAAGATGCAACCTCAGCAACCTGGTTATAACAGTTCACGAGTTTACCTGGAGCTGTTGGCTGATCTTCCTTGGGAGAAGGCAAGCGAAGAACATGAGTTGGATCTAAAAGCAGCAAAAGAACGTCTTGACAGTGATCACTATGGTTTAACCAAAGTCAAGCAACGGATCATTGAATATCTGGCTGTTCGTAAGGTTGATTGTTTGTCTTTCTTCTTCTACTTTAAAGTGAAGCATCTTCAGTCTCCTGGTTTTATCTTGATTGAAACTTATCCGTTGCAGCTTAAACCAGACGCAAGAGGCCCAGTTTTGTGCTTCGTTGGTCCACCAGGTGTGGGCAAGACATCTTTAGCATCATCTATTGCGGCTGCGTTGGGTAGAAAATTTGTTCGCTTATCTTTGGGTGGTGTGAAAGATGAAGCTGATATTAGAGGACACAGAAGGACTTACATAGGAAGCATGCCAGGGCGTCTCATTGATGGATTAAAGGTGAGTTTTTGTTTTTCAAAAGACATAGATATAACTTATGCTGAAGATATTTGAAAGAAACTTGGGGTTTACTTTGTAAAAGGAACTAAGTTGTAGCAGATAAGTTTGATCACTGTCTATCTATCTGTCTACCCTAAGAAATTATACGTGAAATAAAGTATCTTAGCTTTTCTGAAAACGGGCAGTTTTCAAACTGTGTAGATGCTTCAAATATCTGCGTGTCTCGTTTGACTACATTCATGCTGGTTGTTTGTTATATCTTTTTATCACTAAGGATTTCGCTCTGTTTTTATTTTATTTTAGAGGGTTGGTGTTTGCAATCCAGTTATGCTGTTGGATGAGATTGACAAAACAGGCTCGGATGTTCGGGGTGATCCAGCTTCAGCACTGCTGGAGGTTTTGGATCCAGAGCAGAACAAATCGTTCAATGATCAGTATCCTATCATGCTCTCTATTTCAACAAATATATTAGACTCAGCGTCCAAACTTTTGTTAGCCTTGTTTTAGGTGTCTTGAGTTTTTAATGTTGAACAACCATATTCTATTTTACGGATTCAAGAGTTACCCTTAACTGAAAAAATAGCTACCTGAATGTGCCATATGACTTATCAAAGGTGGTTTTTGTTGCCACTGCAAATAGAGTCCAGCCTATTCCACCTCCTCTGTTAGACAGGATGGAGCTGATTGAGTTGCCAGGCTATACGCAAGAGGAAAAGCTTAAGATAGCAATGCGTCATTTGATTCCTCGAGTTCTAGATCAGCATGGGCTGAGTTCTGACTTCCTCAAGATTCCGGAGGTACGTCATTACTTTTGTAGTTGTGACTTGGGGGTGGGCTTATGCAGTGTCTTACTTGTTTTCCTTCTTATACTGTGCATAGTCTATGGTCAAGAATATAATTCAGAGGTACACAAGGGAAGCCGGTGTTCGTAGTCTAGAAAGAAACTTGGCTGCTTTGGCTCGTGCAGCTGCTGTGATGGTCGCAGAGCATGAACAAACTCTTCCATTGAGCA